AGCAGTGGGAAGACGTACACCATGACAGGGATCACAGGGCTGGCTGCGACTGATATCTACGGCTACATAGAGAGGGTAAGGGATTCCAATTCTGGGCTTTTTTGAGATCAGCTAAAGACGGAGCCTTTACACATATTTTGGTCTCATTGATCATCTTCTCTACTGGGTCCTGACTAAATTTCGCATCCCAGCACAAGGAAAGGGAATTCGTGCTGAAATTCTCAGCCATGGAGATTTACAACGAGTCCGTTAGGGATCTCCTCAGCACTGACAATACTCCGCTCAGGCTTCTTGATGATCCCGATGTAAGAAAGAAAAACCTTAATTTGGTAACAAAATGTGTTGGGTTCTTGATCTCATGATGGTTTTGTTTCTCTTTATAACAATCTGTGTAGAGGACAACCATCGTTGAGAAACTCACAGAGGAAACAATCAGGAACTGGGAGCATGTCATGGAACTTCTGTCGATCTGTGAAGGTCACAAACAAACCTTTGCTGAATGATGTTTCTCTGATCCTCGATGCCCCACCCCGTGTTCTTAAAAACGTTCTATATTTACTTCTGCAGAGCAGAGGCAGATTGGAGAGACCTCGTTGAACAAGACGAGCTCTAGATCGCACCAGATTATCAGACTGGTATATCCTCATCTCATCAGATCAGTCCGCGTGAACTCTTCTCCAGATTGGTGCTCAATCCTTCTTCCAAAATGGGTTTTTGCAGACGATCGAGAGCTCTGCTCGTGAATTTTTGGGCAGGATGAGCGCAAGCACCCTCGCTGCCAGCGTGGTATGGTGCCTCACCATGGATCAGCTGGCGCGTCATATTTCCAAATATGGGAGGATTTAGTGAATTTGATGCTAAATTGGGTAAACTTTTTTCTTTTTTTTGGGTGCAGCATTTCGTTGATCTGGCGGGGAGCGAGCGGGCATCCCAGGCAATGTCAGCAGGCGCAAGGTTGAAGGAAGGATGTCACATCAACCGCAGTTTGCTCACTCTAGGAACCGTAATTCGCAAGCTAAGGTTGCTCTTCAATCCATGCCCAAGATTTTATTTTATGGAGTTGCATTGTTTTAATCTTATTTTTGATAAAATATTATGTTGATTCTAACCATGCGGGGAAAATAAAAGCCTACAATTTTTCATTTATGGATGCTGCCAATCTAGTTTATGCAGATTCTAGTGAACTTTTTCTTGCTTTTATTTAGTAAAAAGTGGTGAATCTAATTGCAGCTGATTATTTAATTTAGTTTCATCGAATGTGTTCTTCATCACCAGGTCATCGAATAATTTATTTTTTTAAAATTTCCTGTGGCCATCATTTTTCTCTCAGAAAAACCAGGAGAATTTCCCAGAAGATGTAAATCCGTCCTCCAAATTTTAAATCAACTGCCTACAGATCTCCCATAAATAGAGATTTTTCTTCTTTTGAAATCTTCATAATTTGACCGATTTATCCTCGTAATGATTGGCTGATTTGAGGTCAACGTTTCCTGAATCAGGAGTCCTTGTTTTGTTTTTTTTTTTTTTAATGATCATCCCCATTTAATATGCTGATTACTGAACAATTTCTGCCATGAGCTTTCCTTTCAGCAAGGGTCGGACCGGGCACATCCCCTACAGGGACTCCAAGCTGACTCGCATCCTTCAGCCGTCCCTGGGAGGCAACGCCCGGACGGCGATCATCTGCACGATGAGCCCGGCCCGGAGCCACATCGAGCAGTCAAGGAACACCCTCTTGTTCGCAACGTGTGCCAAGGAGGTGGTCACCAGCGCGCAGGTCAACGTGGTCATGTCCGACAAGGCCCTGGTGAAGCATCTGCAGAGGGAGCTGGCGAGGTTGGAGGGCGAGCTGAGACGCCCCAGAGCTGTTTCCATGAACAATTATGCCGAGGAAATGCTGAGGGAGAAGGACGGCCGGATCCAACAGGTAGCCCCCCCGAGAAATTTCCCAACTGTGTGCAGTCAAGAACCGGTTTTTATCCTTTTCTTCTTCCTTCGATGATGATGATGATGGTGACTTTGTGTGATCTGCAGATGGAGAACGATATCAGGGAGGTGACCCGGCAGCGGGATCTGGCCAGGTCTCAGCTCGAGGATCTGCTGCTCAGGACCGTGGGGGACGACCAGGAGTCGAGCCACCAGGTACCCACATTGGACGATTTGATTCTGGTTTCAAGGGTGATTTCTTGTTTCTCGCAGCATCACCATGTCTGGTTTCTCCAGGAGGGGATTTTCAGAGGTTCCACCTCGGATCTGCCCAGTGCCTGTGGAGATGATCTCTCCGTGGACAACTCATCCGAGATTCTTCACTCTGGGTTCTTGGAGACCATCTCGCCTCAGGATTACCCCACCGAGGATGCTAATTACAGTAAGAACCGCCAGCGATCTTCAGAAATCTCTAGTGGGTATTACCCGGCTTCCCCTCAGAGCTCAGCCGGCGGCGTGAGCAGCGAGGGGGGAGCTCCTACCAGAGGAGGGGGAGAGTTTCTCTCTCTGGACGCTCGCCCGGAGATGGACGACCTCTGTAAGGAAGTGCAGTGCATAGAGGTGGAAGAGGTGAGTACGATCAGGAACGAGAGGTCCAGTGGCCTTCTGACCTCTGAGAATGGCCATGGAGACTGGAACGCGGAAGGCCGAGCTTCGTCTTCCTCCATGAGCCGCCGCCTGAGCAGGAGCAGGAGCTGCCGAGCGGCTCTCATGGCGAGCTCCCCCTGCCCTTGGTTTCCGGAAGAGGAACAGGTCGAGTACACGCCGCCGGGCAGTAGCTTTCTCGGGGATTCCCATCAGAGGAGGCCTGAAGATTTCCGCAGAAGGCTCTTCCCGCTGAACTATGGAGTCAACGGCGAGGCTCCTTCTCCGACGACCGTCTGCAGCTCGAAGGCCGCTCAAACCCCGCCTCGAGAGGACGTAGACGATGGGCAGGTGCGAACTCTCCATCTCTCTCTCTCTCTCTCTCTCTCTCTCTCTCTCTCTCTCGCTCTAGCCGACTGGTTTGATGGGTGCAGGATGAGAAGGGCAGCGGGAGCTCTGTGACGGGGAGGTCCATCAAGGACGCGGGTGTGGATCCGATGATGTCGCCGGCGGGATGGCCGGAGGAGTTCGAGCGGCGGCGGTTGGAGATAATCGCGCTGTGGCACTCCTGCAACGTCTCCCTGGTCCACCGGACATTCTTCTTCCTCCTCTGCAAGGGAGACCCCGCAGATTCCATCTACATGGAGCTTGAACTCCGGCGACTCTCCTTCCTCAAGCGCGCTCTCGCCGGCGGCCATGCCAGCAACATCTCGGCGACCTCAAAGTTCGACCCCCTCTCTCTCTCTCTTTCTCTCTCTCTAAATCTCTCCGTCCCTCTAATTTGTGGGTGTTGGCAGTACGAGAGCTCTGCGGCGGGAGAGGGGGATGCTCTGCCGGCAGATGCAGAGGAAGCTAACGGCGGCGGAGAGGGAGGGGCTCTATCGGCGGTGGGGGATTCCGCTGCAGACGAAGCAGAGGAAGCTGCAGCTCGCCCACCTCGTCTGGACGGCCGCCGGCAGCGTCTACCACGCTGGCGAGAGCGCGGCGGTCGTCGCTAGGCTCGTCGGCGAGCCTGATGACACCCACAAAGAGATGTTCATCCTAAGCTTCCCCGTCGGAAAAAGCCCCTGGCAGCGCCGCTGATCCGCACGGCGGCGGAAGAAATTTAAACCCACCTACGCTGCGATTCTCTGAAACTAAGTGTTCTACATAGGAGAGCTGTCTCTGAGAGCAGAGGAGATGTCTACGAGGGCCTGAGTACGGCACCGTGGGTGATGCGCCAGCCGGCGGGGGCGGCATAGGACATGGCGTAGCGGACGGAGTACGCGGCGCGGGTGGAGTCGTTGTGCTCGGGGCGGGAGGGGTCGGTCAGGCGCGAGGCTTCGTCGAGGGTGGCCTCCACCACGGCGCGGCGGCCGTCTAGGGAGACGGTCACGCTGTCGATGGAGAGCCCCAGCAGCTCGTACTCCCAGAACCAGCCGTTCCCTGCGATCTCCGAGGCCCGCTCCGCCCAAACCTTCAGCATCTCCCCGTCCAGAACCTGGCTCAGCCACCGACGGATGAGATAGAGAGAGAGCGAGAGAGAGCCTTGCAGGGCTACAGGAAGTGATATAGATGGCGACTCACCTCTGAAAGCTTCTCAAGAGAATGGTGAGGCCCCAGGGCCTGAGACTTTGTGCTCTGCCACTGACGAACCACATCTTCGGCGAGCCTCACATCCATTCTCGCCGTTTCTCCTGGTGAGCTCTCAGACAGCGGGAGATCTGCATCAACCAACCTTCAAGCCTCAGGGGTCTACCATTTTTTCTACTTACATACTAATCGGTTTCTGTCAGACGTCACTAATCTAGGACATAAATAAATAATAAATGCCATAAATTACCATTAACAGAATAATGATGCAATGAAATTATGGCATTTTATGTTCAATACAAGAGATCAGGCGCAGGGTTTACCCAGGTTAGTGACATCAGCAGCCACAGCTGAGTCAACGCCCTTCCTTGCGACTGGTGTCAGACTCCTGGCAGAAGAAAACCTGAAACCTAACGAAGCCAATATGCCAACTGTGACACAGGCACACAAGATTTTAAGATTAGCTTTCGTCATGGCTGTAAGAAATCCCTGATTAGTGGAATCTTTAGAAGTCAACCCTCCAAATCTCTCCACGGAATCATCCAAGACATCAGCACCACTCCTCGGTTCCAGCCCCTCAGTCTGCATCTCATCATTTCTGTCGCTGCCCCCCACTGGAAACACTCTCCACAGAGCCTGAATGGCGTTTGACTTCACACTATCAAGAGCAGCTGTTGCTCGAGCTCCCATTCTTGCTATAGCTGCGGCAGCGGCCAGAGGTGACCCCCCACCCCCCTCGAGCATTTGCAGATGCTCAAGAACATTTGGATCATCGAAGTAGTCTCCAATCCTGGACCATACATTTTGTGTCTCCCTAAATCTAGGAAAGACTACCTGCATAAGCCAATGCTCCAGAAGTGTACACAACCCAAGAAGCAGATTGCCGTCCTCGTCCTCGTTGGAATGTTCCATGATGAAATCCACAACTGCCTGGCTTCTGCAATGGAAGCTCTCATCATCAAGACCCAGCCAGAGCCGACATGAGTCTACGTCCCCAACAAGCAAAGAACAGAGCCCCCTTCCAAGCGCAAACTCAGTCTCTAAGTCAGCCTTTGCAGCATAATCAGAAGCAGCGCCTAGAGCAGCGACCTTGGCTTCCTGAAGCTCTAAGAAAAGGCTGTCGGCAGTCTTAATGAGCTCTGGTCTTTTACAAACAAATGCCTGGGCAACAAACGCAAGGGCTGCCATATACACTTCAAACCCCTCCACGGCCACATTGCTCGGTCTGTCCAAATGTAAATCCACCTTCGCATGAGAGAATAAAAGTGTCAACAACTGTGAGAAAGGTCACATTATTAGTGAGAGAACTTCAACACGAGGCGTCTTACCTGCTCAGCAGCAGTCATGCATGAGAAAGCTTCTTTCATGAAAGCTCCACGAGTGAATCCCCCTCCTATGGCGTCAGCACCACCTCCTCCAACCGCCCATAATATGTTACGAACCCCAAGAAGACCCTCATCTCGTCTTCTCCTGTATTCCTCATCCAGAGGTAAAGCTAGAAGCTCAAGGACATAGCGTGGAGTAATTTCTTCTAATGTCTCATCAATCTGCACTTGCAAAGAAGGGGCAAGGTTCGTCGCACCTTCCTCCTAAGAAAGCACACATCCCATTGGTCAGGTTAATTTTTTTTCGAAATATTCGATACATGATTTTTAAAAAAATTATATACATCAGTTCTGATGTTTCTTCCATTAGTTCCATGCTGAGTTTTACTTCTTTTCCTCCGTAATAAACTCCTTTGCCATGGAAGCTCTGCGCATGAAAGCCACCGGCCCATTTCTTCCTTTGTATTGAAAGATCATATGTCTAACAAGTAGTATAAATTTAATAATCCCATGCCTTAGTTGGTACTGTGGCATGCCCATAATAGACCAAACACCTATCAAATTCAACATTACCACTCCTCCCAGTAAATGAAGTATGAGAAAATCTTAAGGACCAGGCCGGAGCACCTGTTTCCACAGCTTAAAAGTGGAAAGGTAAAATTAGCGACCATAGAAACAGTGGGGCGTCTGGACTCATTTTCTTCTGCACGCCAAAACTTCATGAATAGGCTACTCTGGCACGCGGTTGTACATTTAGTGCTGTGGCCCTCATCTATAGAAAGCTCTGTTTGTTCAGCAGCCAAGACAGGTACCATGGTTTGTTGACCCTCGTATCCTCAATGTCCTTCTTAACGCACTATATTTGGTCCTGTGATTTACATTATTCATGTCACTGTTGTTTTCACCCTGCCCAGGGTAATTTGACTTTGGTTTTATCCGGTCTAAAATGTCAAAATAGGCTGTAAAATCTAGGTTCACAATCGGAACTAACAACCAAGCAACAAGATTGTCTAGAATCCTTCCCGCTCAGGCTCTTAAACGTGTACAGCATACCACAAGAACATCCCAGGTAGTGGGGAATCTCTCTTCAAATCATGTGCGCGACTTAACCCAGATTCTCAGAGAAAAGAAGAGAAAGAGACTTTCAATCGTCTGTTTTAGATTTCAATAGGAAACCACCTCATGAACTAAACTAGTGACAAGATGTAGTCTTCCCACTACATTAAATAACCGTGCCAACTAAGCTAAAACGAATCACCTGTGAGTGAAATGAACCAATATATTTAACCACGTGATTTTAGTTGGAGTGTGGAGCTGTTCCAACACATCCTCAGATGCAGGAGAACCTTTTGGTGACCTTGTTATACAAGGAAAGCACCAATGGGACACAACTCAAGCTAGCCCTTGAAATCCAAAACCACCTAAAGAATCAGACCGCCAAACTCAAAACTTAATGGCTTTGAGCGGAATATACACATACATTAAACCACAGGGTTTAACTTGCTTATTTTAAACTGGGACTATTTTAACATATCATAAAAGTTAAATGAGTACGAAAAGAATGCATTATCCTCAATGCAACGTATTAAATTAATGCATCAAAGTTAAATTATGTCAAGTATGTCCCAAACGGGGGAGAGGATCAGCACAACCAAATTATGATCATGAGTAAAAAGAACATACCTTCAAGAGTTTCAATGCTCTCTCAAGTGCGTCACAACTGCTGATTAAATCAGGTGGGCTCAAAGCCATTGCGTCCCTCGAGCGGTCAACATAAGCCAGTGCCATTGCCAGAACAACATCCCGCTTGAATGGCTTGGACAGCCTCTCCCTCAGGAGCCGCTTGCCCACCTGGATTACAACCTCCGCCTCCCCTGATTCTTGCAGTAAGCACAGAACACCGGGAACCTAGGAGGATGGAGGGAGGGGGAGAGAGAGAGAGAGAGGACTACTAGATTAAAAGATAGCAACGGTAATAAACTAGTGTCGGAACAAGGCAGAGATATTTGACCTTATCCCAGGGGACCTGCGTGACCAGGGCAGCATCATGGTCGTCCACGAGGACCTGGTTGTAGTCCCCGCGGGTCCCAGGGTTCGAAAGGGTGTCGCAAGCTGCCTGGAGAATCTGGCGGCGCGCAAGCAGAGCATCCTGGCTAAAGCCATCCAGCGGAGGAGTGGAGCACTTCACCTCGAAGGCTCGCCTTATTCCGTCGCTTAGGAAGTGAGTATCCGCTCCTAAAACCTAGCAAATGCGCCACACACACCAGGGAGAACAGATTAAGAGAGAAACAGGGTATGCAACTGGAGCATTGTTTCCCAGAAGTGCAGGAGGCGACATGGGGCGGGAGGGGACCTTGTAGAAATCGATGGGAAGGGAAATGGTACGGTCGGCAGATGCGGCGGGAGGAGGCAGCGGAGAATGGATGGAGAGGACCGTGGGGCTCTCTGATGAGTTGGCGAACTGGAAATCTCTAGCGAGACGGTAGGCGACCTTGTTGCCGCTGATACCGCCGTTGGAGGAGCAGGCAACAGTGGTAGTCGAGGGGAAGGATAGGCAGGCAGCGCGGAATATGCATTGTCTGCTCCATGCGATGAGAGGAGAGTTCAATGAAGAGAAGGTAGAGGAATAGGTCGAAGCACCATGAGACGAGGAGAGTCCTCGCCGGAGAAGGAGGAAGAGCGGCGAAGTCTGGCGGCACGAGGCGGTGCCAGAAGAGAGCTGCAGAGAATCCATTTGCCGCCAACTGCTGACAGTCTACGAGTAGTACTTGTGGAAATGTGGATGTAACTTAAAAGTTATTTTAAACGTTTATCCTTTTCACCAAATCCGTTGTAGTCTAGTTGGTTAGGATACTCGGCTCTCACCCGAGAGACCCGGGTTCAAGTCCCGGCAACGGAAGCTTTTTGAAAAACCCCATTTCTTTGTTATTGCTACTTTCATACCGTAAATATTATAATATTTATTTAAATACCCTCCGGCGAACCATATCGGCCCTTGCCCTTAACCTTGTTGCTGCTTCTCTCTTGAACGCCTCCCTGTGCCACTGCCTCCGTCGCCTCTCTCTCTCTCTCTCTCTCTCTCTCTCTCTCACTCTCACTCTCGCTGTGCGTGCGGGCGTCCGAGATCCTGCGACATGGCGATGCAGTGGGCTGTGCTGCGAGTGATGCAGCTCGCAGGGCGTCAGCAGCAGTTTCAGAGAGTCGCTGCATTCTCCTCCTACTCCGGTTCCCTTACGCCTTCCCTCGCGTGTGCCGCCGATCCGGCGAGCGCTGCTCCCGCCGCCTCATCGTCCTCCTCGGAGTGGGTGGCTTCGCCGGAGACGTGCGGGCGTGGAGACAAGAAGACGAAGAGGGGGAAGCGCTTCAAGGGTTCGTTCGGTAACGCACGTCCTAAGATGAAGAAGAAGATCGAGAGAATCAAGGACAAGCTCGAGGTCCCCAGGTCCACTCCTTGGCCTCTTCCGTTCAAGCTCATCTAGATGGTGCCCTAAGCGAAAATCGGCGAAAGGTATTCCCACACTCCACGTCCTTGTCCTTCTCTTGGAGTCATCCCATCTACGGCCAAATCCGTACTTGCTGAAGTTGTAATGAAATAATTTTCTGTTATAACCTGTGCTGAAATTTCCCCAATCCTGGTCTGCAATCAGATCATGCTCCATTTTCCTTATTTTCTTTACTTATTACACTTGAATCCAAACTTGTTGCTGATATTCCTACCCGCGTGAATTATCTTATTGAAGTTATCTGGCATCGGTTATATTTCTAATGCCAAAAACCCTAGCTAGGGATCGATGCCATTATCTAAATGCTTGTCGCAGATAAACTGGTTCGTACATGTTTCTTTTTCCATTTTTTATGCTACAAAATCTTCGAGAGCATAGTTTCTGTGGAGATGGCCTTGTGGGGATGGAGAAGATGCATGAGAGGCTAAGGATGATCAGACATGAGGATTCTTAGCGCAGGTCGCCTTCCCAATTTTCTGCTTCGATTCCAAATTATTTGACCTCTGGTGGATGAAATTGCTAAATCTCCCCTCCAATTGGAAAGCTTTCACTGAATTCTGAGAAGATTTATATGAAGCTGAGAGGAAAATATCAATAAAATGGCAAATATGATGTCTGAGAAAGGGTAGAAATGGTTTATTTATTAATATCATGACGAATTCTAAGTCATATGAACGATCATTACCTATCTCTTAGGCTCTGCTCTGTCCCATGGTACTCCAAGTTTCATATAGTTTTGGAAGTCTAATTTTTTGTATTCCTGACAGATGTCTCCTTTTCCATGCGTGTAATGAATTTTTCGGGGCATTTTTTTGACGAGCAGTGATGATTTTGGATAGAACGGCCGCTGTTTTGGCTTTCAGATACTGCAAGATGGCTATGCCCCTCAGATTCATGCGTGATTATCGTCAGTGTGTGATGAAAACATTTTGTGTGAAGATTTCTTCGATATCCATAGGGAATTTTTAGTAAAGTCTGAATTTTTTATCCTCATACCGTTCTTGGCATTTCTCCGTGGTTGACTTCACTCGCTGGGCGATCTGACCTAGTGAATGTTTCTGAGGTGCTTCAACTGCATCAGGGGTTCTTCCAAGGGTTCTGTCTGTCTCTGTCTCTGCACCTCAGTCTCTGTCTCTGTCTCTGTCTCTGTCTCTGTCTCTGTCTCTGTCTCTGTGTGTGTGTGTGTGTCTCTCTCTCTCTAAACAGGGTACGTATTACCATCATCTAGATGAAGAATTGGCTCGGGGAGGTGGATAATGGGTTTCATTGACCGACTGCTGATGAATGACCGTTGACCGACTGCGTAGAACACCTCTTTCTAGATAGAACCCGAATCAAAAGAAAAGATTGCTCTCAGATAGATGAAGACCCAGTAAATGTCTCGTTAGTTGACTTCACTCACAGGGCGATCTGACCCAGTGAATGTCTCAGAGGTGCTTCAACTGCGCCAGGGGTTCTTCCAAGGGCTCTCTCTCTCTCTCTCTCTCTGTCTCTCTCTCTCTCTCTAGAAAAAGGACGGATATTACCATCATCTAGATGAAGAATTGTCTCCGGGAAGTGGACAGTGGGTTTCATTGACCGACTGCGTAGAACACCTCTTTCTAGGTAGAACCGGAATCAAAGGAAAATCTTGCTCTTGGTTGCATGAAGAGGTGGATTTTAGGAAGTACGGTTGGATTTGATAACCTGCTGGTCTTAGTCGTTGGGCGCCTCCTGATCTTGGTGAACGGTAAATAATTGCTGATTTATATTATGGTTTAATGTATAAATATATTATTTTATTATTATTTAATTTTCGTTGTTCTCCTCGCTGGGCTTGGACTGGAGGACGGGCTCTGGTTTCAGGAAAAGCCCAGGCCCATCGCAGGTGGTTTTGTGAAAAACCCCTATAAAAACTGCTTCTATCTGAATAATTCCACGTGTTTCAATATCTCGGGAAGGTCAGGCACAACAAAAACCGTCGCCGTCTCTGGTGACACTACTTAGTCGTCGTTTCCGGGCCCAAATGTCAACGCGGTGGGCCGCAGAGACGCGTTGACATCAGCTCGGGACACCCCGTCATGCCTACGACAAAGAAACCCGCCGTTGAATCGGGTTCGTTCGCCCATCCGTTGGACTACGACAAAGAGGCCCTCCGTTGACCTGCCGCTAGCGGACCTTAGGCGGTAAAAGATTCTGGTGATCCGCCGGTGAAGAACCCACCGCGCAGTCCCCCCCGGAGCTCCTCGCCTCTGCTGTGACCTCGATCGCCACCACCCCGCCGCCTCCCTCTCTCTCTCCCCTCCTCGCTCGCTCGTTATGTTTGTCAACGGTACGATTCCTTCTCTTCCATGGTCCGTGGTCCGCTCGTGGACCGCACAAGAACGCGTGATTGAATTTCCTCAGACATCCTCCGCATCCACTGGAATTTAAGAATCTTTTCTTGTCAACAATCCCACTGGACTACGCCCAACAAATTTAGTCAACGTGGACGGCGCTCTCGTTTCTATTACGAGTCAACGTTATTTAACACCAAGCCCATCACCCGCTTCTTAATCATCCTCTCTCTCCGTTGACCCACAAAGAAATTCAATCAATAAAATCATGGGGATAATTATCAGTAGCTATTAATCAGGTCCTGCGTAATAAAGGAGTATGCTTTCCAGGATTTGACCGCCTTAGTCAAGACAGAATTCAAAGAAGACGGCTTTGGAGACATGTCAACGCAGATATTCCATCAATATTTGGAGAGAGAAAGAGATAGAGATGCCCACGTCTGCACACAACTTGTTATTATTTTAAAGACATTGTTAATGAGGATAATTTCCAGATATGAGACGTTGACCCGGAGAGATGGAGAGTAGTCAAAATTTTACTATGGAAAAGAGAAATCAACAAATATCTGGGTTCATATGGACGCGGATATCTGTTGTGCCGAATGTGAGGACTCACCGCCGTTGACTAATCCGGCGATGTAGAAACGATGAACCCTCGAAGGGGGGGGGGGGTAGATCTGGCGGCCGGTGGGGCCCCCAAATTTATTACTGAATTTATTGTTATGCCGAAATAGCCGACGTCAGAGCCGATGGGCGGACCACGAGCGGACCACAAACGGTACCTCCCTTTCTTTTACGCATCATTTCACTGTCCACCAACGCCTCTACGCCTGCCTTCGCCCCCCCGCCCCCCCCCCGCGCCGGCGCCTCCGCCGCCGTTCCCCTCCCAGCTACCGCTGTCTCCTCTCTCTCTCTCTTTCTCTCTCTATCTGTGTCTCTGAGGCTCTGACTGACTACTGCGTCTCTGCTGCGCCCGTTACGGACGCCATCTCCCCATTTAGAAACTCTTCTCTCTGCCCTCTTGTCGGTGCAGTCTCTCTCTCTGTCTCTGTAGAATGGGAGCGAAGGTCTGATTGGTATTGATCTCCTTATTCAACTTCTAGGAAAGTCTTCAGAGGGCCGTCGTCAGATCCGTATTCGGGTGGGTTACCCTCTGACCAAATCCCGGCGACCGAGAAGGAAGCCTGCTGGGGATATCTTTAAGGGGGGTTCAAGCAGGAAGTCGGAGGCTGCAAGGGAGAGGCGTGGAAGTGGTGGCGAGGAGGAGGGGAGATGGGGCAGTGCTACGGGAAGGGCATTCCCGTGTCCAGGGAGGACGACGACGGCGGCGGCGGTGGCGAACAGGGCCATCGTAAGACGCCTCTCCGCCAATTCATCTCCTCACCGGTGAACGGCATCGTCACCGGCGGCGACTCCGGCGGCTTCGGCGGCGCGCCATCTGTGCCGTCGGTGAGGAACACTCCGAGCAACCCATCGTCGTCGTCTCCAAACCCTTGGCCCAGCCCCTTCCCGCACGGCTCTACAAGCCCCTGGCCCAGTCCATTCCCTCACGGGGGCTCCTCCAGCCCCCTTCCCGCGGGCGTGTCGCCGTCTCCCGCAAGGTCGACGCCGCGGAGGATCTTCCACTGGCCCTTCCCTCCTCCTTCTCCGGCGAAGCATATCAAGGCATCGATCGCCAGGAGGCAGGGTCGGCGAAAGCCCAAGGATACCCCCATCCCGGAGGACGGTGGCGGCGCCGGCGATGCTGCCGACGAGGGGAACACAAATGGTGCAGGAGAGCAGGAGCGGCCCTTGGACAAGAGCTTCGGTTACGCCATGAATTTCGGGGCAAAATATGAGCTGGGGAAGGAGGTTGGGCGGGGCCATTTCGGCCATACCTGCTCTGCAAGGGCCAAAAAGGGCGACATCAAGGGCCAGCTTGTTGCGGTCAAGATCATCTCCAAATCTAAGGTGCCATCCCCATTCGCTCCCGAATCAATATATCCCATTTTCGTCTTTTTAGATCTGTTTTCATAGAACAGAAAAAAACAAAAAAACAAAAACTGGAATTTAGATTATTGTGAACGAAGGGAATACAAAGCCAGAATAATTCATGTCTGCCCTCTGAAAAAAGAAAATGTAGAAGAATTAAAATATTGAAGTTATTTTGCTCTGTGGACGGGATTTCAGAACATCAAGACCACCCTTGGCTATGTCTCTGAAATGCTGGTTCTTGGGGTCATGGTTTATGTACCTAGATGCCATGGACAGGCCCTAATATTCAAATAATTAGCCTGTTTTTATTCGTCTCAGAAGAATAAACAGTGAAGAAAGTCCAAATTCCGTACGGCAACATCGTGGATTAGATAAGCAGCCCAGCTGAAACATGCTCCTTGTCTTATGCATTGCAGGACTTCCTTCGTTCTTTGATGAATTACATGGTCATCATCTAAAATGTAAAGGAGAAGGTAAATTAGACGACCTCACATGTGGAATATTGCTTAAAATCGCATTTTAGGGTTCCCGATTCTGTTACCAAATACCGCATCTGTCTTCAAGATGCTCACCTTACGGCTCTCTTAAAGTAAGAGAGAGAATATATCTTATGAGACGTGGATAGCATGACTGTTGGTGATATGGATGAAACAAGAGTTTTAAATGGGCAGATATTTAATATCTTGGTTGGGAAAATTGGATTATGCTTTTCTTTTCATTGATGTTTCAAGCTCAGGAGCTTTAGTGGCTATGAAAGGAGAAGTGCAATGGCTCGCTGTAATACGATGGGAAAACAATGAAGAGGTGGCATCTGTTGGGACAAGGAAGAAAATGTGCAGGCAATGCTTGCCTGAAAAAATTCACAGAGGGTAACAGTGGCCCAAGTAAAAAGCTGATTACTATCCAAATATTCCAGGGCTCCCTCCTATCATTGATGAGGATTACAGTTTTTGTCACTTTTTTTCATATGAGCTGAAGTTGACCTCGTGTAATTTTGCGACACGGTCGGTATAAGCCCACTTGATTGTTTTGGTTCTTGAGTCAAGTTGGTCAACCTTATGGTGGACTAGCTGAAGGAAGTGAGGGGTTGTGCCTGATACTTTCCTTGGGGCTTTGCTTGGTCTCAGGCGTGAGTATTTTGATTCACACTTCGAACTAGAGTGTTCTATGCGGGAATTCATGTAGTTCCATATCTCCCCTTCACTAAATTCTTACTCAAATATATTTCTTTCAGAAACAAGTCGCTGCGAATGTGTTTGCACTAGCACATGCTTACCGTGAATTGGCGTAATTGAGATAAACCTTCACTTTGATGTTTTGAATTCTTAGGTATCAAAACTGTGTCAGTCAGTGCCCCGGGTAACATCTCCTCCTATTAGGAATGTACTGTAGGGGGCTCCTGCTCTATGGCTTCGGATTGAAAACAACGCGGGTTTTTTTATACTCTTTCTATAAATCATGCCAATATCTAAAATTTCTGGTAGATGTAGTTCGTAGACGTTTGAATCATCAAGATATTTAGGACTGACATGTTCCGCATTTATGTTTAATTATCTTAAATTTCCCGGGATCTAAATGTCGAAGCAAGTCCCCTACTCTTGGCTGTGAAATTTCAGCAAAAATGGACGTGGCGCTTGTTTTCTTTATTTGTTGCACTGTCAAATTCACAAGTATATTTGCTATTTCATCTTTTCCTTCATCCTGCTCTTAGAAATTTTGTTGGCATTGAGATTTTTCGGTAAGTTTCACATGAAATATAGATTAATGATTTCTTTTTATAGATAGCTAATTTTAATCGTACCTTTCAGATGACAACTGCAATATCTATTGAGGATGTTCGTAGGGAGGTGAAAATCCTGAAAGCTTTATCTGGGCATAGAAACCTGGTCAAGTTTTATGATGCATGTGAGGATGCACTTAACGTCTACATAATAATGGAGTATGTTGTGTCTTGTTCTTTCCCTGTTTGCAGTTTGTTTAAATCTTAGGCAGCATTGATAAATCTAGTGTGGTAGGACTTCAAAGTAAGGAAACTAGGCTGTAACATTAAGAGCAACTTCATGACTGCATGCTAGGTTTTTTGGGTTCAAAATTATGTAAATATGCTAGTCTAGAATAATTCATAATTCTTTATTTCAATTCCTGTAGCCTCCTTTATTCTGTGGGTTATAACTTAACCATACTTCTTTCGGTCCAAGACGTCTCTGGTGGGGCCTTGTTTATTGCCCTTCTTGTTCTTTCTTCTGTAAAATTGTGGGTAACGATCGTAGTTTAGATGAATATGCAAATGCATGCGGTCATCTATTTATGTCAGACTTTTGGGCTCGGGCTCATCTGTGTCCAGAATGTCCAGAACTTGCTTGCCCTGGAGATCACGGCTAGGTTTTAAAAGGGAAAAAAATCACTACCTAGTTCGATTTTGGTGGGACCGACTAGGTCGTCAAGCTCTGTATTAAGTCTGCATCATTTCAGCTTTTGTAAAATACACAGTGAGATAGGGTACAGAAAACATAATTTCTCGAAACATTATTTACATCTTTTGAATCATATTCCATTCATTTTACGATGTGTCTGATGTGCATAAGTAGCTACGAATTAATTCGTTTTCATTAATGAATTGCCACTCTAAATATTGGTTTATGGCATCTTTCGTGTACGTGAGTGACATGGTGACAGTTCGATGGTGTTTAATTAATTTATCGTTTTCTTCCTTTATTAGGTTGTGTGAAGGTGGAGAATTGTTGGATAGAATATTATCAAGGTACATTATTTTTTATGATCATTCGCTGATATAATTTTGGATGGATTTCGACATGTCTACCCATGCAAATGGTGGTTACATAAATATGATAAGAGTTGTTGTATGGTGATAATACAGAGGTGGACGATATTCAGAGGAAGATGCAAAAACGATTGTCGTGCAGATTCTGAATGTAGTTTCTTTCTGTCACCTCCAGGGTGTTGTTCATCGTGATTTAAAGCCCGAGGTTTGTCTTGTTGAGATTGTTGCTATAAACGGTCCTTTGCATGTAAAATTCACCTTGTTCTTTTGAATTCTTGATTATCCTTTAGAGCTGAAACTCTTTCATTTGGCTGCTCGGCAGAATTTTCTGTTCACTAGCAGAGAGGAAAATGCTCCAATGAAGCTAATTGATTTCGGGCTTTCTGATTTTATCAGGCCAGGTAATTATTTCTAAGGTGCAAATCAATAATTATGATGGTTGTGACGATCCCGCCGAATTTCCATCCAACGCAGCAGCTTTTTGTTGCTTTATTGAATGGCCTAAAAATGGTTACAATGAGTTCAGAGTTTAACCTTTATCCCTCATTCTCATTAGGATATATTGGCTTTGCGGTAAATCAATGCTACGAACTCAGTGCATATAAGTATCCTTGTTGATTTTTGATCCATAAATCCTTATCAGAGATCAACATTTTATTCATTCATTTCTTTTGAAATGGTTGTGAAGTAGCTGTCCATATGTGGATGGGCAGACATATACTAAAAAATAAACAGACACCAGATTTACCGACATTCAGATCAGAATTACTGGAGCACAACATCTTAGAATACGCATAAAACATGTTTCTGTAGTATGGAGACAACGGTACCTTGATTGATATAGAAGCCACAATCTTTAACTTTACCTTGAACCTAATGTAACTAGGATAAAGATTTCTTGTAATGACATGGCACCAAGAAAGACAAGGAGAAATCACGGATGATTAACTACGTCAGCATGAGCATAAAATCTTTATATTTTCTGATTTCGCCTAGACTGCACTATGTTCAGAGAGTCTCAAAAGCTTTTGCTCCATTTGAGCACGCTTCCTTTTCAGATCTTTCAGTTTGATATTGCAGAAATTTGAAATATTGGATCGAAAAAATTCCAAGTGCAGAGTAGCTTGATTGACCTAAGGGAGATCATTCCACTGTGAAGAAGACCTTAGTGTACATATCTCTATGTCTTGTGTAAAACTTCATATTGTAAAACTCTTGGATCCCGGATTGCATCTAGCACAAGTCTAATGCTTGTTCCTTCAAGTTGGGTAGACTAAATAGATCAACCTCGAAGACTTTATTGAATCTTCGCACCACCTTTAACAGGAGCCTTGCAAGTCGGTGTAACAGCCATGGCATCATGGTTGCCTGATGCATGGTCTCTTTGGGCACTGGCGTCATGTACCTGACCCGAACTGCACGGACTTAATTGTCTGGGAGGGATTCTTCTGGGGAGCTGTTATTGTTTATAGTCTGAACGGTAACGAGTTCGTGCTTTTGCCTATGGTAGATTATTTTCTGATGGTTTTGATATTTTCTGGAGTAATTATAGGTTAATATTTAAAAACAACCATGGAGGCATGTTAATGAGCCAGGATACTGCTTGTTTGGCTCATCTAGTCCAATTCTCAGACAGGATTTAGGCTTGGCAACGTTGGAGAACCTTAAAATATGATAAGAAAGTTTAATAGTATTAAATTTTACCAACTTTTTTCTTAGGCGGGCAAATGGGCCAAAGTCTGCTGAATAGGTTAGTCACGGTCTTCGGTCTCTGCTAGTTGGTAATCATATATTCTCGGTGGAAAACTTGGGCAGAACGAAAAACGAATCCTTTTTCAGGCTACGTTTATCTTCAAGAACACCCAGTTTGTGATGAGCTCATGAATAGCATGATGTAGCTTCCATTTTTGTTTCTTAATGATCATTGAGGTCCTTATGTACACATGGAAAGGCAGAGTTTTTTGCACAGTTTTCGGCCAATATGTAAAATTCTTACTTGCATTTTTTTCGTGTGCCATCGAACTTTATGAAGTGCTGACTGCTCTATCTTCTTGAATTTAATGCCCCATCCTAGGCAGAATCATGTTCAGTGAGTGGAGTAGACCACAGACCCATCTTTGTAATCTCATGTTTGCTTTTGCTGTAACCTAGACTGGACTATTCTATTATTTGTAGTAACATTGCCTTTAATCTCATATCCATTAGCATCTTTTTTTTGCTTATTAACATTGGTTGAAGTAGATGCAAGTGGGAGAAAAAAATAAAAACCTGATTCCTGGTTTTCTCTGCAGATGAAAGACTGAATGATGTTGTTGGGAGTGCGTACTATGTCGCACCTGAAGTCCTCCACAGATCATACAGCATGGAAGCAGATGTTTGGAGTATTGGCGTTATAACTTATATCTTATTATGCGGAAGTAGACCATTTTGGGCTCGAACAGAATCAGGAATCTTCCGTGCTGTGTTAAGAGCTGATCCAAATTTTGACGATTCTCCTTGGCCATCAGTATCTTCAGAAGCCAGAGATTTTGTAAAAAGACTACTAAATAAGGACTACAGGAAAAGAATGACTGCAGCACAAGCGCTAAGTATGATACTTAACTATATATTTCAGTTCTAACTCTTTTGAAGTGTTTCTTTGCTATCGGCGCATACATGAAAATTAGTCAAATGTGTTGGGTAGTCATCCAGTCAAACCTTATTAGATTAGTCTTGTTGTTCCAAAGAAAGTCTTCCAGGAACTTTGGAAAAAAATTCTCTACCTCAGAAATGCCTTCCTCGTCGTTGTAGACTTTGTTCTGGGACGAGTTTTACAATCAACCTTCCATTGTCGAAGTAAACCGTTCGAGCTCATGTTTTCCCTGTAGCTGGAGAGGTTTTCTGTGAAGCAGAAAAAAGCTTGATATGCGGCAAATTAATTAGCCATCATCATAGATGGAACAAAGATTATTGGTGTATGTTATCGTGCTTGCAGCTTTTTTTCATGCTCAAGGTTGCGTGTTGTGCAGCTCATCCATGGCTACGCAATGAACAACAGCCTGTGCCTTTGGATATACTAACCTACAAGTTGGTCAAATCATACCTTCGTGCTACGCCTTTCAAGCGTGCTGCATTAAAGGTTCGTCGGCCCTCCTCTATTTTTTCTCCTTTCAGGATTTTAAACGCGTAGCTTTTTCTTTGCTTATTTAATATTATTTTAATGAACTCATTGAATTGGTAGTTTGGTTGTTTTTTGCAATAATGAAAAATGGGTCTCTGTCTGATCTTTATCCAAATTCTGCAACAAATGGCTGTAATGAACGACAGAGGCATATTTCAGTTACTATTCTTGAAAAAACTGTGACCATTCCGCAGCCTAAAAATCTCGATAAACCCGAAGGATCAGATTAGAAGGTTGACTTTTCGAGAAAAACAACTTCTCACGCTTCCATTTCTTCAGGTGCCGTGGATTCATATGGATCTAACGAAAGTGGTTTTAGTCAAACTTAGAAACCTTATCTAATGAAATAGTTCCAATGAAAACAGTCGATGCCCAGTCCAGTGCTTGGTCCCTTTTCCGAGATTTGGCTCAATTTATATACTGATTTGCACTAAATCTCTGGATAAGCTTGTAAATCTTGTTATCATTGCATCCTCTCCAGGCTCTGTCGAAAGCTCTGACTGAGGACGAGCTCGTATACCTCAGATCTCAATTTGACTTGTTAGAACCAAGCTATGAAGGGTGGGTTTCCCTTGAAAACTTCCAGAAGGTTAGTTCTTGACTATCTTCCTCTTGCTCATCTCTCCATGCATCTCGCAGTAGGATACAGAGGTTTTGGAATAGTGATGGCCGCATGGGAGTTCGCTTGCCCGATTTGCCTATATAATTTTCCATTTGTGGTAAAATATTCGCAGGCTCTCCTGCAAAATGCGACCAATGCAATGAAGGAGTCCAAGGTCGCCGACATTCTGAATTCGGTAAGGCTCTTGAACGATTTTGGAGATCTTCTTCGTTTGTTTCCTTCTCTTTTCTGCCCTTTTCGTTGACTTTACCGCATTAGTGCGGTATAATTGTTAGGCTTGGATCAGAGACACCCAGATCAATCCGTAGTCTGACCTTCAGCCCAATCCATGGGTGTTCTTTTAATGACCTTCAATCCAATGCGTATTCTTCTGGCCCAGACGCAAACAAGCATCCTTGCTATTATTTTACGGCGACCATCTTCCATTCCTGTGTAAATTCTTCTCTTTTCCGCCCTTTTCACTGGGTTTGTGACATTAATGCAGTCTGGTTATTAGGCTTGAATCAGTTACCCAGATGTGGAGGCATGCATGGTTTGCTTGACCTTCAACCTAATCGAATGCGTTCAATTCCAAACGTTTTTCCGTAAAAAATGTGACGATAATCGATTAAAGAAGAAAGTTTTCTTCTTTTGGCCCTGATGTGATCAAACAACGTGATGGGTCTTGCCCAGAACGTACTTCTTCTAGTCCTTTTTGATATTTTATGCCGAACATCCCCACATTCCTGTGTAGATTCCGCAGAACTGAGCCTCTGCTTGAACACTCGCAGTTGGACAAGCTCAAGTACAGAAAGATGGGGTTCCCTGAGTTCTGCGCGGCGGCGATCAGCCCTTATCAGCTGGAAGCCCTGGAGTACTGGGAACAGATCGCCAGCACAGCCTTCCAGCACTTTGAGGAAGAGGGTAACCGGGCGATCACCGTGGATGAACTGGCACAGGTAAGAGAGAGAGAGAGAGAAAGAGAGGAGTCCTTTGTTTTGGGGCTGGGAAATCCAATTGACGTGATCTATTGCAGGAGTTGAACCTCTCTTGGACGTCCCACGCCGCCCTCAGGGACTGGATCAGGCAGTCCGATGGGAAGCTCAGCTTCTTGGGCTACACCAAGTTTTTGCACGGTGTGACCGTCCGGAGCGCCGCCAGGCACCGATGAGCCCCACCGCCGTCCATATAATTGTTTCTCATTTTCGTACAGGCTTTGGAAATATTTTTCTCAGTCTTGGTCTGGTCCTTGTTCTTTCCCATTTTTGGATTCCCAACCCCCCACCCACCCACCCACCCCCTTTTTTTGGGGGTTCTTAGGAGGGGGGAAGATGTATAAAGAATCTGTGTTCTTCTTCAAGCTGTGAGACCGTCAGGGAGTTGACCCTTGAGATATTCCTTGTTCTTATGAGAGATGAAGAGGCAGGCAGCTTGCAGGCGTCTGCCGTTGACCACTCCTCGTTCAGAGTTTTCATGTTTGTGTGTAAGGGTGTGAAGGGGTGGGCCTAGCTAGAGAGAGAGAGAGGGAGAGGTGTGGGACAATGGCCGACAGCCGTGACAGAGGGGATGTTGGCGGCGGCAGTTCATTCGGCCCTTTCGGTGCATCGGATGGTTCTCCTCTTCTCTGGACTCTCTCTCTCTCTCTCTCTCGCTGTGCAAGAAAAGTTCACCATTGTTCCTCTGAAAGCGGTGAACATGGGCGATCCACGATGAATGGGGAATTATATAACCCTTTTCTCGGTGGGAATCCGGATGCCCACAAAACCCCATGCAGAATCCAGACATTTCTTTTGACCAAGATGCTACCTCCCTTCACACACACATCTCTCCTCTCTCTCTCTCTCTCTCTCTCTCTCTCTCTCTCTCCATTGAGCTGTTATCCTCCTCTAGCCGGGGTGTCGGCAACAAGCTGGTACTTCTTCTATTCTCGTAGACAAGACCAAGAGAGGATTACAGAAGAAGATGTGGTCGAACAAAGAAGGAATAACAGCCCCAGTCGGTGCCGGAGAAGAAGCCTTCCTGTAAAAGGAGCGCTGGGGTACAATAATTGCGAGTTATCTTCCTCGAAAAAAAAAAATCCTCCATTGGCCGTCAATGGCGGCGGGCTCCCCCTCCCTCTCCCTCCTCGACGGTTCAGATCCGTTCTGACGTTCGCGAAGCGGCTCCGTCGAGCTCGGAGTTCCACTCCCGATCATAGTCTGACGTAGAAATGGCAGGAGACGACCTTATTCTCATTGGTCCGTCAGAATCGGCCGACGCAAGCGTGATGGGCCTGCATGCATGCATGTATTTCTGAAGAAGAATACCTAACAAGGAAGACGATGACAGTCCTGCAATGAGCTGCCACCTGTCTTTATCCCCGGAGCTTCTTCAATCTTAGACGTGGAGAAATGAAGACATATTTGAGAGAGCGAGAGAGAGAGAGAGGGTTTCGACAGACACTTTGGCGTTATTTTATCAACGACACCAACACCCTCCGGATTTCTTCTTCTAGAGAGCGACGGAGAGAGAGTCGCCTGATTCTTAAGCACCAGATCCGTCCCTCTGACCTTTTCCCTAGAGCGAAAGAGAGAGAGAGAGGAGATTTCTTGAGAGGTTCTCAGGAGTCAGATGATCTCTGCCTGAGTATTATCTGGGCCCCTTCAGCATCTAATGGACCCACCATCAGAATGGAAATTTCCAGGATTTCCAAGAGCTGCTTCTTGGGTCGGATGAGATCATCAAAGCAGGCAGATGAACCAGAGGAAAGACTCCCATCCTCCCCATTCAGATTTGGCTTCATCAACTGATCAACTGTCTAATTAATTAGTTAGTGGTGTTGCAGGAGTGTTCATTCTTATTAATCCGAGAGGCGCGCCTGAAGTCGCTGCCATGGGTTGGGCGATTATCTATAATTATTCACAGCGATGGGTGGGCAAGCAGGGACCTCTGTAAAAGCAGAGGCGGCCGTAATGGTTTTAACCAGAAACTTCCTCTCTCTCTCTCTCTCTCTCTCTCTCTCTCACACACACACACACACACACACACACACACACACGCACACACTCTCGTAGATCTGCCACATCTGCTCTCTCTCTCTCTCTCTCTCCCCACATCAATTTGTCTCTATCTCTCTCTCCGTCTCTTTCTCACTCTCTCCATCTCTCTCTCTCCACCTATCTATCAGCTTGTGACGATATTTAATGGGGAGACTGCGACGGAGATGGAACGTAGGGAGACGGAGAGGCGTGTCCGCATGCACCTGCATGCAGCGGGTGGCAGAAAAGCCTGGTTAATGGCGGCTACAGTGGGCACGGAGAAATCAAGACCACCTCTCCATCTCTCTCTCTCTCTCTCTCTCTCTCTTCTCGCTTGCTCGCTCGGGAGCCACATAACACGCCAGCTTCCTCAGGGCCATGGGAATCAGACCCTCTTTCCCACTCCCCCACAACTTTCCAACGGCGAACGCTTCCCTCGTCCCCCTCCCATCTTATTAAAACTTATAATTTCAGCAAAAAAAAAAATCCAAAATCTTCACGCAGATTGATGCCCACCGTTTCTTTTTAAATTAATAATTCCCAAATTTTCCTCTTTTTTCCATTTAAAAAAACCAACCCACCCTTCTAAATAAGAAATTAGGCTAGGAAGGCTACCAAGTTAAGTTATTTATCCTCTAATTATCAGCAGTTTATATTTAAGAAAAGTAACCTCTTTTAGTAAACCAACAGCCTCAATTTTATCAAAACTTTAATAAAGTAAAAATATTTTTTTTCCAAGACGTAATTTGCCTTGTAAAAATAATCGCAAGATTATTATTTTATTTGGAAAAAGTCTCAAGTGGATTTTATTTTCGAATAAACCGTCTCTAGATTTCCGTTCTCTGAAAACGGATATATGCTCGTGACGTCATCCCTGTCTCCCTCCCCGGCCTCCGTGGTGCATTGATTTCACCAACCCGAGCCCAGGACTCAACCCCCCACAGCGTAGAGAGAGAGGGCGAATTCCTGTCATTATTTCGGAGGATTCATCGCTGCCATCAGCAAGATAACATCGCCAAAGCTCTAATTGATGACAATCGAGAGAGAGAGAGAGAGAGAGAGGGAAGAAGGACGAGAAACTGAGAGAAGGCCGCACGGGCATGCGGTGATTTCGCTTCGCCTTCTTCACCCAGAGGCCAAGTATATCAAACACAGATCCACCATGCCCGGCGTCTCCTTTGGGACGAGCGGCTTAGGGTTAGGGTTTCCTTCAGGCGCGGAAACAGGCGACGAGGTTGTGGTGGTGGTGGGGGTGGGAGTGGGAGTGCTGGCGGAACAGGCCGCCGCCGCCACCGTGGACGCCAGAGGCAGCGGCGATCTCCCCATCGATGAGCCCCTGAACGTAGCGAAACTCGGGGACGTTGCAGGGAAGCGCGATGGCGCCCTTCTGGTTGAAGCCGTACTCTTCTTCCGCTTCCTTGAGCAGCTGCAAGAAGAGCGGGTGGCTGAGATACGCCACCGGTACCACGAAGCGCTGCCGCTCCTCCCCTTCCTCCCCCACCATCACCGCCAGGAAACCTTTCCGCACCTGCTGCTGCTGCTGATGATTATGATGATGAGGGTCCTTCTTGCTCCCGCCGCCGCCGTGGAGGTGGTGGAGGAGGTTCTTGCTCCCCATCGCGCCGCCGCCGCCGGAGGAAGGCAAGAGATCAAGAACGGGGGGACAAGAACGGAGAGAGAGAGAGAGAGAGAGAGGCGACGTTAAAGACGAGAGGAAGAGGAGGAGAAGGGCCAAGGGTCGGAGCCGGAGATGGCGAGGTTGAAGAGGGCTAGAGAGGAGTCGCAGAGACAGCGGGGCACGTTGGACATGGCTCTCCACCTCCAGCAACACAAAACATTAAGCGAAAGCCAGGTTACAGCCGCCCCCCGACCCACAGAAGAGAGAGAAAGAAAAACCAGAGATAGAGAGAAAGAGAGAACGGGGGAGATTCCGGATAAATATAAGGGGAAGAGGGTGGGGAAGGGATGAGGACGAGAAAACCAGACGGGTGACGGAAGGAGCCTCACGCTAAGGAGCGGGAATGGCGGGTAAGATTTCCTAGTTCCTTCTCTCTTTCTATCTCTAAAAGTCCGTTGCGGCGGCTCCCCCCTTCGTCATGGTTGGTTGGGGTTGCCTTCTCTCTCACCCCAACGCAACCCCGTTAATTAATTAATTAATTAACGGTTCAAAGGTCAGAATAGCCGACGACTTTCCCGCATTTTTCAATTAACTGATAATTAATTAATTATCCCAACAAGACCCCTACTTGGCTCCGACCACCGCCGCCGCTGTCTTCGTCTGATCCAGCTGTCCCTCCGGCGAGAATAAACAGCCCCCGCCCCTTCACGGGAGCCGGGAGGCGGAGGAGAAACGTTTAACTCGCCGTTATTCTTTTCCCGGGTTGACTCGGTATTAACACCGATTCCGTGGTCAAAGCTGGGTGCAGGTGGCCCAATAAGGTTTGAATCACTGACAAGACTGCACTTGGGGCCGAATCGTGTGTTAAGAAATTGGGCCAACTAGGCCCATTATAGTTCAGCATCTCTCTCTCTCTCTCTCTCTACTCATCAGTACACTCTAGAGAGAGAGAGAGAGAGGGAAGCAGGAAATTCGAGTTAACTAATTACGTCATCCTCGGAATAATGGCCCGTCGTGCACACTTATGGGCTGGGCCAAGCTTTCTTGGCAGACGGGATCTCAACCCAAATGCAAGGAAACACCCCCATCTACCATAATTATACATAAAAAAGTATTTTTTTTACAAGTATTTATTATTATCCAAGTTAATGTTTTATTTAAACGTATTTAATAAATTCAATATTAAATATTTCCTCAATGGAAAGTGTCCCGTATCTATGCTTTGCCTACGCTACAAATAAGTAGTGCCCATTTCGGTTTATCTAGTTGGGGTTCCGGGCCGCATTATGGGCCCGCTTTAGAGGCCCAAAAAAAAGCCGGGCTGGCCCGGGATCTGCTTCCCGTAATCTTTTCGAGAGAAATATTTCCCACCGGTCACATTTAATTAATTTTAATTTTAAAAATAATAATATAAATAATCATTATGATAATAATTCTAGAAAATTTCCAAAAATTACCGGGGTGCAAAAATACCAGTTTTCTGGGCCGCAGAATAATATCAAAATAGGAGGTTGATAATTATCCGCCCATGGAGAAATATGGGCCGCAATTGTCGGAAGCGTGGACTGGCCCATTTGTGCAGCAGGCGTGGGCTAGTAAAAAAAAGCCCACTAATAAAAATAATCACTAACTTGGGCTCCACTGCGACCTGGGCGGTTCAATCGATAAAGCAAAAGAAATCGTTCTTTTGTCAGGAATCTTCATTTGAAACAGGGCGAATCCATGAAACTGTGACCATCACGAATTAGGGTTAGGGGATGGCCCCCGCCCCGGCAACCTCTTTTCAGAGTGGGGACCGCCGCCAGGAGGTCGAATCTTTTACTACTGGCCGAAGAACAAGTTCATGGCCTAGTTGACTTTGGTTCGCCGGCATTTCTCGGTATGGGTTGCCAGGATCTTCGGTGGATCGTTTATTCATGTCAAAAAACCGCTAGTCTAGGAAGCAAAACCATGTCCGAATTAATTCTCTCAAACAAAAGTCCACCATACCTGCTATCAATTCTCCGGTGCAGCAGTTATTCTGATGCCGAGCTGGATCGTCCCGAGATTGGAAGAGGGTACCGACTGAATTACTGCAAATCATATCAGACGGTTGTGATTTTCATGATTCCATGTTATAATTATGCGGTTGGATGAGCATCAGAGCGGTGTTTTAGCCTGATTGGCAGAGTAGGGCCTGATCCGGAGCTCGAGATGCTCGTGCTCAACGCCTCCCCCAGTTCTCCTGCAGCATTCCTTGAGGAGGAGGGCATTGACACCACGCATCACGGGAGCCGGGGAATTGGATGCTCCCGGAGAGCGCGGACTTGAATTTCCTTCTGAGTTAAGGCGCCGCGTCAGAATTTCGGGGAGTCGTTATCGAGGAAAAGAGGAAGTGCCAAGGGGGCGGAAGGGGGGGAGGGGAAGAGAGAGAGGCGGCCCTCTCCTTCCCCCCAATCCGGACTGAGGAAGTGGAAGGAGACGTCCCCCCTCCGGCACTCCGTCGGGCGGGATCTCAGATCTGCCGTGCCGGCGGCGGCCGGCAACCGGAGCGGCGGAGCGCCAGATCTGGGGATTCCACAGAAGGCCGGAGAAGAATGCGCGCAACTCACAACCAAAGGAGATTGCCGGTTCGGGAGGGATCACCTTCGGAACGATCTGCCGGCGCAGTCGCCGCCGGCGAAGCTTCCCGCCGGCGGTGGAGGTCCTCACCGGCTAGGGGACTCCCCACTCGGCACGGCACTGGGAGCGCGTCGGTGAGGACAAGTGGCGTCAGCTGGCGAACTGGCGAACTGGCGGATACGACCGTCGTAAATCCCATCAAATCGTCGTCACGCCGAGGTAGAGCCGCGAACCGCGCCCTGGAGATTGACCAGTTCATTTAATGTGCCCGATTCAGCGAACTCGCCCGCTAGGGAATATCTCCAGCGAGGAGAGAGAGAGAGAGAGAGAGAGAGAGAGAGAGAGAGAGATATTTTCATTGAAAATTTCAATTTATTTTTTAAATAATTTTCAAGGACTTTTCAAGAAAAGGGTTATCGAATTTAATTTAATTTTTATCAAAAATAAACGAACATATGATATTAATTTATTTAAGAAAATCCCATATATTTCGATTATAAGTAATTTTGTGTTCGTTAGAATGCACACATCGAGAGATTATTCAATAATTCCAAGCAACAATTAGTTTACTGGAAATTTCCAGGTCAACTTTCCCGGGTTCAATATTTTTCAAATGCTATTTTTTATTATTATTTTCTCTTAATTACAGCGTAGCAAGTTGGGGATTCAATGAATGGAAATGGCCATCTTGAGACTGGGAGACTCCGCGGATTGGCAGTAGAGGTTGGCATCGAACACGTCAAGCGAGAGAGACGGCGGGTGAGGATTTACTCCCATCGAAGGTGTCAATCTGGAACCTGAACGTGTGTACCCCGCCAGAGACTGAACAGAGAGAGAGACAGGGAGAGAGCGAGAGAGAGAGAGAGAGAGGGGGGGGGGGAGATGGGAAGGACAGGTGTTAGTCTAACGTCCCCTTGAGAGTCCGAGAGGTCGGACTCCTTTGGAACGAGAGAGACGTAGAGATTGATGGAGATATCGTGGTAGATGGCACACCAAAACATGGAGAGGGGAAGTCTTTGGTTGAACATTTATTGGAGTGTTGACGTTGAAGAAATTATCATTATGGTTGCACCAACACCGGTTCTGTCCCATCTCTCTCTCTCTCTCTCTCTCTCTCTCTCTCTCTCTCTCTCTCTCTCTCTCTCTATTGGTTTTATGTCTCTCTCCCTTGAGTGGGAGCGAAGGGGAGATGATGCAACATGTGAGAGTAAATGCTGAAACCTGTGAGAAAGAGATAGAGAGAGAAATACCAGTCTTCATGGGTATTCACGAGATAGGACATCTCATCACGACAAGTTCATGGGATGAAGTCGCAACCAGGGAATAAGGAATACACCGGACCTTTGACTTTCTGTAATAATCCCCTTTTCGTCTCTGACCTCGACGCCATCGCGTGTTCTAGCACGACCCCGACCACCCCGAATTAGTAAACAAAATCCACAGTATTACATATTACATCCCAAAACTTCGGAGCAGAGCATCGAGTTTGAACCATTTTTAAGTTGTTCAAGGATCATTCAAAGTCATATCAGTAGTTCGAACGTCCCACGACGCCTAACGCAAGCTTCAAATAGCCGAATTGAATAGGGAGCAGCGAGAGAGAACGAGAGAGAGAGAGGGAGGGAGAGAGAGAGGCTAATGAAGCTCAACTTAAGCACGGCGGCTTAGATAGAGGGGTTGAACGTAGGGGCTGGCCTAGAGAAAAGCCGTTACCTTAAGCGGAAGATGCTACATTAAAAGTGGCTAATCTTCCGAGCACGCACGGAAAAAATAAATAAATCGTCATTTAAATCTGGATATATATTGAGAATTATCCATCTGCCAATTGAATACCCAACATAGAGATGGGTCAACGGTGGATGGCTGGTCCGTGTAGGTGATTAAGTCGTTCGTGTATTAGGAAACAGATCCAGAGGTTTGGTGGCAGACAAGTGCAAGCATAACGGTGATCAATTAGGGCTGACAATATAGCACTCCGATGTTAACGGGATAATCAGGCTGTCAGCCATAACGTCGCATTATCTCTTCTCATTAATGCCCCCGGGTGACTGCCCAACATCCGCCAAGAGCCCTGATTCGTCTTCTTAATTATATCGTCAAGAGTGTCAATGACCGAGATAAGTGTAGAATCTGATCTCGTCCTTATCTAGACGTAGTGGGTCTTACCCTTTAGCGTGTGGCTCTCTCTCTCTCTCTTTAGATCCTTGTTGATATCCCCGCTTACCAGCTGGTAACAGAGGGAGATACTTGGTATGGTGTCTCGTTTAACTCTTAAAGAGAGGAAAGTTCTCCCTATCAAATCTCTCTCTGTGTATCTCTGTGTATCTCTCTCTCTCTTCCTCTCTCTGTATATCTCTATCTCTCTCTATCTCTCTCTATCTCTCTCTATCTCTCTCTCTCTCGCTATCTCTTACTAACTACTTGTCATCAGCCTTATCGAAATGCTTGTGTAGGAGTTGGGAGGGTGGCTAGATTAACTGCAGATACACGATCGGATAATGATTTATAGTTGATTAGGAATATTTGGAAATATGCCCATCGGTGAAGTTGGGAACGTGAGCAGGATGATTTATTTCCGTCCTGTCTCCCTCCGTGGGGACAGAAACGAGGGTACTTATCTAATTAAGGATGGTTTCTCCCAGTTTGGCAAATGAACGTGGAATATCTTACTGGTCGGGGCGTCGCTCTCCTCGAGGCAAGGGTCAGGCTTTTAAAAGGGAGACGGTGGAGGCCGAAGAGGGACGCACTACCCCTTCCACAGCTCGCTCTCTCTCTCTCTCTCTCTCTCTCTCTCTCTCTACCAGAGAGCCACCGAGCTCAGGCAAGGCGGAGCTGCAGCACTTGCACGGCCTCCAGAAGTCCTTTTGATCCTTCCAAGGTGGCATCGAGGGCAGCAAGGGCGATTCCTTTGGCTCCCTTCTGACTTCAGGAGAGGTGCCGATTACTGCAGAGGCGATCGTCTTCTTCCTCCGTCACTTCCTTTGCTCGCCCGTCTCCCTGGAAGTTGCATGCATGGCCATGTCCCTGATGCTGGCAGGTCCGTCCTGCCTCCCTACACCTCTCTCTTTCTCTCGCTGCTCCCTCTTCGTGGGCTATTATCAGCTGGGTATGGAGGTTTCTCATCAACGATTCTTCTGCAGGAGCCGAGAGCTCCGGGAACATGGAGATCCTCGGGTGCCGCGGGAGCAGCTACGGTCTTCCCTCGCGGAAGAAAGCCAGGCTTCTGGCGTACCTTCCTTCCTTCCCGGTGGCGGTGGAGGCGGCAGCGGCGCCCACATCCGTCACCCGCGAAACCAAGAAGGATCTCTTCGAGACCCTACCAGACGAGTGCATCCAGCATATCTTCACCTTTCTTCCCTCCCCCCGCGACCGCTGCTCCTGTGCCGCCGTCTCCCGTCGGTGGCTCCACCTCCAGGCCCACATGAAGTCCTCAGACTTTCCACCCGCCGCCACCGCCCCCACCGCCCCATCCTTCATCCTCGCCGACGAAGACGATGACAAGGTCAACGACGCCCGGTTGGCCTCCCTTGCTGTAGGGGCAGCAGCAAGGGGAGCTCTCACCGAGCTGGTCATCAGGGACGACGCCCTCCAGCCGCCTTCCGGCTCTTCGCTGCTCGCCATCACCGACATGGGACTGAAGGTGGTCTCCCAGGCCTGCGCTGAGCTGCGGCGGCTCACCCTCTGGGAGTGCCACAAGGTGGGGAGGGAAGGGCTCGCCACCATTGCCGGCGCATGCCCCAAACTCGAGGAGCTCCACATCTCCCGCTCCTCCCTGGTGGACGACGGCGCCCTCATCCCATTCGCCGTCAACTGTCCCAAGCTCTCGCTCCTCAGCCTGGACAGGTGCCCCATGGTCGGCGACAGGGCCCTCCAAGCTTTCTCCCGGTGCTCCTCCAACCTGGAGACTCTCTCTCTAAGCCGCTGCCCGTTGGTGACCGACGCGGGCCTCGCCGCCATCTTCTCCTCTCTGCCCAAGCTCGCCAAGATCACCATTTCTCACATGAGCGCTGGCGACGGTGCGCTGGCGGCGGTGGGAGCAAGCAGCGGCGGCAACTCTCCCAAGCACGTTGCCATCTGTGGATGCGGAGCTTTCACCGACCGCGGGCTCGCGCGACTGAGCAACGCCGCCGGCAAGCTGGAGACCCTGCGGCTGGAGAAGTGCCATGCGGTGACCACCGAGGGCCTGGTAATGGCTCTCAAGAACTGGTCGACGACTCTGAAATCTCTCTCCCTCGTCAAGTGCGACGGCGTCGGCAACCTCCCGGAGGGGAAGGAGACCACTGCCGCCGCCCTCCTCCGCAAGCTGCAAACCCTCGAGATCAACAAGTGCCCCCGCGCCGGCGACGAGTTCCTGCGTCTGTTGGCGGCGGCGATGCCGCGGCTCAAACGGATAACTCTGGCGGCCATGGACGCCGTCTCCGACAGAGGGTTCATATCCCTGCTGGCCTCTCTGGAGCGGCCCCATGCCGTGTCCAGCGTGGACTTGAGCGGCTCCAAAGGGATCACCGACCGGAGCGTGGCGGCGCTAGCGAGCGCCGCCGGGCGGTCGCTCTCGTCTCTCTCCCTAGAGGGCTGCGAGCGGGTGACAGACCGTAGCTTAGCCTTTGTGGGGCTTCTCTGCCCGCGGCTGCTCGAGCTGGACCTCACCAACTGCCGGCAGATCAGCGACAGCGGGGTGGCGGCGCTGGCGAGACGCGCCTGCGTCGGCGGCGGAACCGAGAAGAACGGGCTGGAGATGCTCTCGCTCGAGGGCTGCGAGGGGGTCACCGACGAGAGCTTGCTGATGCTGGAGGAGATGGCGGATGAGGGGAAACTGGTGAGCCTCAACCTCAAGCGCTGCCGCCGCCTGAGCCCCGCCGGCGTCGACGCCATTCACCAGCATCTCTGGTGGTGCGACCTCATCTACTGACCGCATCATCACGTCCGTCCTCTGTTCTTCCAAGAATCTGGTGTTCTTCATAATTCTCCATTAATCGATCGATCTCCTCCAAAAATTGCGAAACTTTTTCCGTCTCCAACGAATCGGCCGATCCCGATCCGATCCAAACCCTCTTCCCACGTTTCTCGGCGCCGGCGGCGGGGACAGGGACGCGGCCAGAAATCCCTCCGCCGGCGGGACAGCGTGTGGTGACAGGTTGAGTGCGACGAGAGACAGAGAGAGAGAGATGAGCCATCCCGATGGTGACGTCAGCCGCTGAGGGGACGAAAGTGACGACCATTAAAGGGCCCTTCCTGAGACCCGTCCTCTCGCGAGGAAATAAATCATAATGGTATTTTCCCCTTAATCGTCGACCGCACGATCATCTATTCTGATCTTGTGGGGCCCACATACCCGGGGGGAACGCACACGGTTTTGGTCCGGTCTAAACGAGGTCCCGAACGCAAGCTGCCAAATCCTGTGAGATGGTCGGGGCCCACACCTGCGGAAGGTTCTGAAAAGGACAAAAAAAAGTCCACGCGGCGCACTGTCATTGACTGAAGATGCGGTCACGTGAACTCCCATTATTCTGACACAAAATCCGCCGCTTTTCTCGTTCATGCATACCCCCGGGAGAGAGAGAGAGACGGAGGGGGCGGAAACCCCGTATGGATCCAATGGATCTGAAGATGATGCGTCATAGTGGCCAATAGGAACGGGCCACACGGCGTTCGGAACAGATTAAGAGAGAGACGGAGCTTGAGCGAGAAAGTGGCTCGAATAGATTTATTTACGTATATATTTTTATCAGAAAATTATGCATATTATTTATTGACTTTTGCCACGTTGCCTTCTCGAACATCGGGCACGTTCATGCATCTCTTTTTTAGGAGAGTCAACGCGCGTCCAACTCCTGCCCCCGGCAGATTTTGACCATCACCGCCAACATAACACCACTCTGTGACGGCCGAAACACCAGCATTATGTTCGTGTTAAGAGGTCCTATTTGGCTGGAGCATCACCCCTTACGGCATTAATGCGGCCGTTTAGCCCGTTTCGGATAATTATCGCGGGTGATTAATCCCTAACAACAGTGCCTTGGATGGATGAGGCGGCGGCCACGGTGGAGTCGTACAGCTCAGCCCTCGACACGTGAACATTAGCCTATCGTACGCCGCGGCGGCCTTGTTCACGTGTTTTTCTCGTGGATAGAAAAAACAAGTATCTCAGCCTTGCCAGCTGGACATCAGGCAAACCCGGTCATGAGGCCGAATTGGGTCCGTAGACCTTGAAAGTGTCGGGCGGAATGGGCCCTCAGCCCATATGTGGAGACCTTAGGATTGGGCCATATGGGCTTGATAGGCTCAACCCAATAGCTATGTATAAATTAATTATTTATCGAAGTAAATAGTGATATCTGGTGAGAGGAGTCGTTGATATGAGATTAATCAAGGTTTGGAGAAAGGGGAGGAGGGGCTTCGAGGAGGAGAATGGAATCCTCCATGAACACCCCCGGGAACGGGGAGAGCATCGATACTCCCTCCGCCGCTGCGTCTGCCACCGGCGGCGGTGGCGGCGGCACCGCCACCGCGACCCCGGGAAACGACACCGACGACTCGAAGCAGAATCTGAACCAGGTTATCAACTCCATACAGAAGACCCTCGGCCTCCTTCACCAGCTCCACCTGACCGTCTCTTCCTTCAACGTCGCATCCCAGCTCCCCCTCCTCCAGCGACTGTAAGAAATCTCGGTTATCCCACCTGCTCGCTCGTTCTTTTTCTCTGTACACCAGTGTTTCTAGGGTCGTCGTTTCCTTTCCCGTTCTAATTCTCATATTTCGGTGCAGGAATGCCCTCGTCACAGAGCTGGATACGATGCAGAAGCTGGCTGACAATTGTGACATCCAAGTACCTATGGAAGTCATCAAGTGCGTTCATCCTAGTGATCTCAATGGGATCTATCCAACCTACTCGTCTATTTCTGCTCATCGTTATCTGGTTATTTCTTTTGACTTTTTTATCTGTTCTCTCTCCTTCTAGTTTGATCGACGACGGGAAGAATCCGGAAGAATTCACGAGGGACGTCTTCAACAGCTGCGTCACCAAGAACCAGGTCACAAAGGGCAAGACGGATGCATTCAAGGTGCGCAGAGTTGAATATAAGACGGGTTCTTGTTGTTTTGGGCTCCTTTCCCTTGCAAGATTTAATTACGTTCAAGTGCATGTATTGCTGAATTTATTATACACATGTATGAGGAAGGAAGGAAGGAAGGAAATGGGCAAAGTCAACTAACATAGTTGGGGAAAAAGAACCACTGGGTACTTCTGTGAGATGAATTTGAATGACTTTCTGCCCGAGTAAAGGGAGGCTATGAACTTCCATAAGTTATGATTTATCCGATTATATACGGCATAAATTCCGTATATTTTTGTTAGTCACGCAGCAGACATTCTAGCCTTTGCTGAATTTCTATGCTGAAAATAATGTTCTTATTCAGGAAAAAAAAATATTTTTGACATCACAACTAATGATTAAATCCTGCCAACGGATCACTAAGTCCCCCATAGTTTGTGCACTTTAGATCGCGCACACTGCTCAATGCTTAAGTTCTTTCTATCGTTGCATGGGATAGAGTCGTCTTCATATTAAACTTGCAAATTATTTCCATTTTTTCTCTTAAGAGACGAGCCTCCTAGATGATGCTTCATTAATTAGTGGTCAGCTTCCATGCTTCAGAACCTACGAAAAGAATACTAGATGCTGCCATATTTTCAGGCCTTGAAGCTTAGCACGAACTATTTGTTATAGATTCGTCATCATTTTGGAAGAAAAATATTGGAAAGGGTGATCTGAGAGATAGTTGTGGCGCATGAGGTGAAGGTTCTGATTGTGTTGCGCCGTTCATTGGGTACCCTGGTGGTCATTTTGCTTCCCCTAATAACCAGAAGTCCAGCAGAGCCCTGGGACTACTGTTACTTCACAGTGGATATTGATATTGATAGAAATAGTAGCGTCTTCTAGATGAAACTTGGTGGTTTTCTTCATCATCCCTGATTTTCCTCGTTTCTGAAAGAACATGACTGAATTCGGTCTGCGTTCCAGTTCCCAGTTCAGTTGAAGATGGTGATTGATTCCATTAGCCTTTTACTCTATTAGTCTCAGTGGTCTGCATCATGTTCTCGAGAGCATGGAACATAGGTTTTGGCAGGATCTGCGGACTATTTTCCTTGGTGGCTACCTTACTGTGATTGGGTGAATGGTGGGTACAACCTGGATGGGCGTGATTTTCTTCTTTTTTTATTTCATATTTCTGTAGCTTTATCTCCACTCACTCCCCCTCCCAAATCCTCCCCAGTTCTTGATTTTTTTTTGAAATGTTGTCAGAAAAGGGATTTATTTGCAACGATTATTGATATTCTTGCAAATTTATAATTCATGTAATTCTTCCAATTCTATATGCTACTTGACTACCAGTGTTAGTCTAGTCTCCTGGCATTTTTCATAATTTCATCCTCTAGATTAAGGATAAAATAAATCATGGCCGAATCATATTAACACGATTATAGTTTTTATTTTTTTATTTTTTAATAATGCGTAAAGAGTTCATACATTCTAGTTTAGATATGCGATTATAGGGGCAAATGTTTGGTTTGTGCTTTGAAGGAATGGTTCCATCCTCTGTGCTAAGAGAGCTCTGTTCATGGCTTCAGGTGCTGAGGAAGCACCTCCTGGAGGAGCTGGAGCAATCGTTCCCTGATGCGGTTGAGTCGTATAGGGAAATTCGCGCGAGTTCTGCTGCTGTGAGTTTGCCATCTTCGTTATGGATCGAGTGGCAGTGAGGGAAGCCGTAGATCTCGTAGATCCTGCTGATCGTGATCCCTTTGGCTCTTTTTTGGCTGCAGGAGACGAGGCGGCTGGCTCAAGCACAAGGCAGCTCATTGCCCAATGGAGACGTGAAGGTGAAGACAGAACATCAGTAACACTTTGCCCCTTTTGTTCAGTGAAAATCTTTGATCTCTCTCTCTCTGTCTCTCTCTCTCTACTTCTCATGATCCCTAGATGGCATGGTAGCATCTGCTGTGGGAAATTGCTGTATATTTATCACCCAGCATTGTTTTGATTTATTAGAGAATACTCTGCTTGCTATCCTCTCTCTCTCTCTCTCTCTCTCTCTCTCTCTCTCTCTCTCTCTCTCTGCGGCAGCGCCGCCATCGCAGCCGGTTGTGAGTGAGAAGCCATGGCCGGGGATCAGAAGAGGGGTCCATTAATGTCTATCAAAAGAGGTCAAAGAGCCGGGTCGTTTTGGGCCTGACAATATAGCCCAATAAGAGGTGAGCTCGGCCTATATCTCTCTGGACCGATGGGCTTGGGAAATTTGGGCCCGAACCGGCCCGATAATAATGAACTATTTATTAAAATTAAAGTACTGACGGGATTTTCTGCATTGATGGCTCGTAGGAGAGGGAGAGAGAGAGAGAGAGAGAGGACTCAGGTTTTGATAATTGCTTGGATTAGATTCATGAGTGGCTATATCTCACTAAGTGCCTTTTTAGAGAGAGCGAGAGAGATGAAACCCTCAACTCTCTCTCTCTTCTTCTTCTTCTACTTCTTCTTCTTCTTTCAATAAAGAGTCTCGGCGGGGCACGTGGCGCGAATCAGAAAGTAGAGCAGAGCGGCAAGGAAAGGAGAGGGGGGGTTGGAGGAGAGAGAAAGAGAGGGAGAGAGGGAGAGAGAGAGAGAGAGGGGGTTTGGGGACTCTCTCGGCCTGCGTAGCTGATCATGCTATAAACATTTGGTCAAGAAATCAGGCGTTTAGTTTGACGTCAAGGAGTAGAATATTAGTACTAATAATAATTCCGCTAATAATTTTGGGTGTTGGAACGGTCACAAGATCCATCTTTTCGAGTCGCCGAGGACAAATTTCTGCTCTCTCTCTCTCTCTCTTCACTTCAACTCCCACTGGGGGAGGGGGGGAATCCGCCCAGGGGCATCCGGAGAGGGGGTCCCCTTTAACTCCTTCGGTGTGTGGATTGTCGCGGGCTCTGTCTTCCCGGCCGTCGGCGAGAAGGGCCGCGGCGGGAAGGCCAGAGAGAAGCAGAGGCAGACTTTTCCCGTATGTCGGTAACTCCTGCGGAGGTGGAGACGCTGGATTTGGGACCCGGTGATGGTATTGGAAGGATCTTGGGGGGGCGGCAACCGTAGGAGAAGTTCTCTGATCGATGTGGGTGTGGACGTGGCTACAGCGGAGGATCGGCTGCAGCATCGGCTTCCTTGGAGGTGTAGGGGGAGGGGGTATTGGTGGCGGCGCCGCCGGGATCTGGGCCGGAGGAGGGCGGTGGAATGTGGGCGTTGCGGCGGGAGTGACGGCCATGGCCGGAATCGCGTTGGCCGCCACCCTCGTTATCTCTGCCCGTAGGTAAAAGAAAATTGAAACCCCTTTACTGGCCTACGCCTTCTCCCCCCTTCCCGTCGTTGTTCATCTGAACAAAAAAAGAGTGCAGGGAAATTAGTTTGTAGGGGAAAAGCGAAGTAGGTAGAAATAGATGAAATCCCTTCGACGATCCCACACTCCCTCGGCTTCGTCGTCTTCGACCCCCTTCTCATCACCCGTTCCCTCATCATCCTCACCAGCGTCGTCGTCATGGATCCATCTCAGATCGCTCCTAATTGTCGCCTCTCTTCCTCCAGTTCATGATCGGTGAGTGCTTTTCGATTCCTCCCTTCTTCTTCTTCTTCTTCTTCTTCTTATTCTCGTCACAATCCAAAATTTCCCCCTTCCTTCTGTTCTCCTCAATCCATTCTACTATTCAGCTTCGATTTTACTTTTTTTGTGGCCAAGATCACTGCGTACTCTTCCTTAGACGTATGGTATCTCTCCATCCTATAAGTCTGAGCAACTTCCCTTTTCGCTGGTGGGTTTGATGGTGGGGCTCTGAGTGTTGTTTCCTGTTTATTTGTTTAGAATTTTCAGAACCCATTTTCCCATGGGTAGGACCTTCACCTCCCCTGCAGAATGGAATGAACCCAGTCGCTTACTTGGTCTGTTGAGCTTGTCATTCTGGATTTCGGGAAGATAGAGGAGAAATGATCGTGGGAAACTATAATTTTTGCTATTCTATCTATCTTAGCTACTGAAATATGTGACGCATATTACTCTCTTCCTTCTGGAACCCATTGAGTGGGAGGTTCTATATTCATGAAAAGTTTCAAAGGGAATGAAGATTTCTAGTGTCTTTGTCTTAGAAAATAGCCTGTGTGATGGTGCTGGTCTCTTGTCTTGCAGAGGTGGCCTCAAATCACCGTGGTCTCGGAGGAAAAGAAAGCGTGTTCTTACTCCTCCGAAGTGGAGTAGCCTATTCTCTCCCGAAGGGAAGCTTCGAGATGAAGTGAAGTTTCTGAAGAAAGTCCGCAGTGGAGTGAGCACTCTCTGCACTTCCATCTCTGGTTCCCATTTTTTGGCTGATTTATAGCTGATGTGGTTAATGCCGACATACCATTTATTTTGATCCAGGGGATTGATCCGAGAATTAGGCCTGCTGTATGGCCTTTCCTCCTTGGAGTGTAAGATTTTGAACCTTTCTGCAACTCTCATGCTGAGTTATCTTCTCCTCACCAGCTGAGAATTCTCATGAAATTTCAACTGCTAACATGCGATGCTTGGTAGAGACAGTTCATATGATCAAATTATACAATATATCATGCTAATTTCAGTGAAAAGTAAGATTTTTGTTGTTTTATAAAGGCCGTCGGTCGTTTCATGCGTCACAAATGGGTAGACTGAGAAATAAAAGTCCTCATGGGGTCCACGCCTTCAACAATCTATTCAGTGCTTTATGGGGCTCTCTTGTTCTTCAAAATAACCATCACATCCATGCCAGGTTTCGGTAGTGGAATTCCTTTCCATGGAAAAAAATAGGTTTAAATCTCCCTAATGATGCATTTTTCATATTATGATGTATTTATCTGTACAATACCTTTTCAGAAAAAACATCTGCTGCTAATATCTTGTTTTATAAAGCTTATGAGATTGGTTCTGGAAGATTATCCGAATAGATGACAGAAGGTGATAGCACAACTAGAGCACCAACAGCTATGGTGAACTGTGTAATCACATGCTCGTTAGCTAATCCGGATAGTGTCAGACTTGGTGCATAAGGGTGGGAAGAAATCTATTAAGCAATAATTTCTGGGTTACATGCATCCCGGTTTTGATTTTGGTTGAGAAAAAAAGGGATAATCTGTGGTCCTTTTCCATCCTGTATGTGATAAAACCAATTGATTTATTTTACGTGCTGAAGGGTGATTGAAGCTTTAGCCTGCAGGGGAATCTCCACCTTTTTTCCAATTCTTGGAAAGATGACTAGGGTTTCCATTTTTCTCTGTAACTTAATTCGCTGCCGTCAAAGTCCAAAAATATGAATGTTTGTGCTAAAGTGATGACCATTTTGTGATCGTTGACCACAGATGTCTCAACTGAGAAAGCCTTCTCCACTGGGGTATTGCTCTTGAGCTTATTTAGGTCATCAAGCCCCAAGGGGGATTCCTTTTTCATGCCATTTTTTTTGGGTAAAGGTATCAGTTGATGCTGCTACCTTAATCTTTAGAGCCCATTTGGGAAATTTTCAGGCTTTGCTGGAAATTTCATTATATATGACGGAATAAAGTTGTTAAAGACTTAGTGTTATTCATGCGCTGGTCAATGCCAATCTGGAGCTACACTGCTCAGTTTTTGTCAACAAATAGAGAAGAAAGGCACAATGCACTGGTCCTGGGGACCAGAGATGATGAACCCAAAGGTTGAAATAATTATTTTTACAAATAAAAAAAAGAAAAGTGGAAAAAACTCATGCCTCAAGAAATCCTTGCTAACCCCTTTGTTGGTCCGCGAAATCCCTAAAGTCCTAATATTTTCCTTTTGATCTTACATGTCCGAAGGCCCATAAGTTGAATTGGCGCGCCAGCTCTTTGTTGAACCAGGGTTAGATTTGCGGGCCTTCTACATCAAAATCTGATTATTTATGAAAAATGATGGATTTTGATTGTTTCATGCTTCACGAGGGCCACTTTGTGAATGATGTTCTGTGAGAAATGATGACGCAGTATTGGTTATTATAATTCTTCGCTGCTGCTGAATTTCTCTGGACAGAGATCCGCCGATCATTTCTTGATCGAGCTTCAGGACGGTTCTTGCTCTTCTGAGCTTTTTTTTTTCTTTCTAACCAAAGAGTACCATACATAACAGCTGCATTCCAATTCCACGGCGTGGGTTCATCTTCTGATAGTTCATGGGTTTACTTCTGTAAATCTGCTTAGATTTAATAATAATAATAATAATAGTAATAATAATTATTACTATTAATATTTTAAAAGCATGGTTGGATGCTCTGTAACATATATTTTCTTCTCTGCATGATACTTCCTAATCTGTTATGAACGTTGTTTTTGAATCATTGTTGGTGGGTGAGCAGATATCTTCTGCATCTCTGAAATGTTTGGAGTTGACCGGGATCCTTTCCTTTTGCAGCTATGACCTGAGCAGTACAGAAGCCGAGAGAGAAGCTGTTAGATCTCAGAAGAGGTGTCGTATTAAGGGCTCCCATTCTGTACCATCTTCCCTGAGCTCTCGATTCTCATGGTTTGGCTTGAATAAAATGCAGGAAAGAGTATAAGAAGCTTAGGCGCAGATGCCGGCGGCTCCTGAAGCTCGACGATGACGTTGGAGAGGAGTTCGCTGCAGCTGGCGGCGGTGGCGGCGCCGGCAAAGGGGAGGTGCCTGAGTTGAGTGTGGATCAGGGCTCTCCCAGCTCGTCGGAGGTCTTCAGTGCCCGCCAGTCGCTCTCCAACGAAGATGCAGGCCCAGATGCTGCTATCAGCTCGGAAACTACGAGCTCCACCCAGAAGATCTCACAGTCCCTTACAGAGGAAGCGAGCCCAGATCTTCCAGTGGGGCCTGTTTCTGACTGGGGTCTCCAGGAGGAGGAGGAAGAAGAGGAAGAAGATGAAGAGGAAGAGGCCGAAGGAGGAGAAGATACGAGCGCCCTCACCCAGGTCGACGTCTCTGCGGCCAATTCTGAATCCTCCGACTCCGAGTCCTCCATAGAAGAACCTGAGAGCCTGCCGGTCCTGTCGGCGACAGAGATGAGCGTGGAGGGCGATCACCGCCAGGCAGAGGCCGAGCCGTCAAAATCTCATCGGACTTCGGAGGATTACGCCACATGGCAGCGCATAATTCGCCTGGATGCTCTGCGGGCCAATGCGGAGTGGATCCCTTACTCGTCGGCGCAGACCACCGTCTCCGGCGAGGAGGCGGCGCGGCTGGCGGCGACGGTCGGGCTGAGGGACTACGACCACCTGGAGCCATGCAGGGTCTTCCACGCCGCCCGGCTGGTGGCCGTGCTGGAAGCGTACGCCGTCTTCGACCCGGAGATTGGCTACTGCCAGGGGATGAGCGACCTGCTATCGCCGATCGTGGCGGTGATGGAGGAGGACTGCGAGGCGTTCTGGTGCTTCGTCGGCTTCATGCGCAGGGCCCGGCACAACTTCCGGCTAGACGAGGTGGGCATCCGGCGGCAGCTGAACCTTGTGTCGAAGATCATCAAGTACAGGGACTCTCAATTCTACCGGCACCTGGAGAAGCTGGAGGCGGCGGACTGCTTCTTCGTCTACCGCATGGTGGTGGTGCTCTTCCGCAGGGAGCTCAGCTTCGAGCAGACGCTGTGCCTGTGGGAGGTGATGTGGGCGGACCAGGCGGCGATCCGGGCTGGTATCGGCGGGAAGTCGGCATGGGACAGGATCAGGCAGCGGGCGCCGCCGACCGACAACCTGCTGCTTTACGCCATCGCCGCCTGCGTCTTGCAGCGGCGGAAGCTTATCATCGAGAGGTACAGCAGCATGGACGAGATCCTCAGGGAGTGCAACAGCATGGCTGGCCAGCTTGATGTGTGGAAGCTGCTCGACGATGCCCATGACCTGGTCGTCGCCCTCCATGACAAGGTCTGAGCTTCTCTCTCTAGCTGTATGAAGAAGAGGGAGGCTCCCTCCGCCCACTGTGAGCGGGGGCGTAGAGGACCCGAGGTTTCATTCTGCCTGTTTAATTAGGCTCATCGTCAACCCACATAGTGGATGAAGATTCTGATGAACTGTTCTATCAGTTTTTTCTTTCCTTTTTTTTTTCTTTTTTTTCCGAATATCATCCTCCTCAAGAACAAAGCTTGCTGCTTTGGATGGGCGGAGCCACACGGATGATCGATGTTTCATGTTACTCAAACATTGGGTTTTTCATGGAAATTCTGACCCGTTGGAATTAGTTCTTCTGTTTAATGCGTTACCCGGATGCATTTCCAAGAGGAAAAAATGTATTCTTCGTATTTGTTTTAAAGAACTAGAGAGAGAGAGAGAGAGTAAGAAGCGCTCCTTCGATCCTGAGCGTCGGATGGATGCGTCTTTTTCCGGGAGGAGGCCCAAGTTGCCCTTGAGATTTGGACAACGGTCAACTGATCGTTTGGGACGAGAACATTCTAAACAGCCCCGCCGTTTCTTCCTCCCGCCGCCTCTGCAGGTGTGCTTCGATTCTTGCAGGTCTGGTCTCCGCCTCCGCCTCCACCTCCACCTCCGCTTGTGGGTCTTCCCAGCGGCTGTCGCCCTCTCTTCTCCCTCTGGCTGACGATGGTGAGCAGGCTCCAATTCATCCGGGCTCTTTCTTTCTGTGATCTCCTTCTCCTTCTTCAACCCCCCTCCCAAAATTCCTCTCTCCCTCTGTTCCTGCATGCGGTTCAAATCATCATCATCACTTGAATCTCTTTTTACTATTTTCGAAGCCAGAATCATCGTATGATTCACATCAAGATATGCTGCGGGGGCTCTGGATTTATTTTTTTTATAGTAATCTTGCTCTCTTTTGGACGCCGGAGGGATTCCATTCTTTATCCCATGGCGATGTAGTCAGATTTATGTTCCTGTTTCTGCGTTAACGTCTTCTGCTTATGCTTCTTTCAACGCAAGCTTTTGCTCGGCGAGTATTAATCAGATAGGGAGCGAACCCACGACGAGCCGAGCTTTGATCCGTAGTCACGGAAGACTCTGCGTTGACCTTTCTGAACTTATGGAATGCTCAATCTCCCACGTTTTTCTTGTAGCGAAAACAATTACTCCAACTGGTGATTACCATGATAAAGAAAAAAAATGTACGAGTCATCAAAGCACAGTAAAAAAAAAAAAAAAAAAAAAAAAAAAAACCATACATATAATTTGCGTGTCTAGATGATCATTAATAAATTAGATAAGTTTACATATTTTTCTCAATCCAGGATATCGTTGACCTTTGTGTTTCTATCACTGCGTTTAGAACAATCTAAGGCCATAAATTCCAGATTTGCCTTTGCTCGTTTCTTGATTGGTGATTCTCAATCTTACGGAGGGGAATCATAATCATATGCGAATCAACTTCGATTAAAAAAAATGGTCAACGAGGCTGATCCCGTCCAGTACAGGAAGAGGAATCGAGATTGTCAAAGCGAAAACAATAGAACTCGTGAAATGAAGCACAGTTTCTTGCACCACCATCTCCATCCCTTGTCTTCCCCTGTAGAAAGAACTAGTAATATAGACAAGTTCTACTCCTTGTCTGCGTAGGATAATTCTTGGACTTCCTCTTCATCTTCTCACTCCTCACTAGGCGTGGGATAACTCCTCCCTCCTTCAGGCGACGAGGCCATGAGAGGAAACCCAGTTCATCGCATATCCATCTTCATTCTCCTCATATTCCTCAATTGGGCTGACCCTAGTTGACTCTCAGTGTTTATTTAGAGAATACAGCAGTGCCCTCGTGGAGACTAATCTTATACTGTGTCAAAATACTCCTATTTTTTTGGGACTGGTTCTCTCCTCTGCTTCCATAAATAGGATGGACATGAAGATCATGAAATGAGATAACAGTCGACAGACCTTCGTTTGATGCTCGGCATAGAAATGGGTAATTCCAGCTCTTCAGATCAGAAGGTCCCTGAGTCGTGTGCTGGGTAGCTCTAGCCTCTTCATACATATGACAGATACGTTATTTTTTTTAATTATAAATACTTTTAGTGTTGACTGGTAAGAAATCTATTGGTTCATGGAAAACATTAAAAGGGCTTCTTTTTTTTCTATATGATGAAAAGGGTACCATTTCTATGTATATGAATCTGGATGAATTTACCGCAAAGCATTTAGTCTCTGTTCGTCTAAGATTTTATTTTTTTTCCTTTTTGGTCACATTGAATAATTACTGTTGAACTCTCTGCTTCAGATTCATTTTGTGCTGCTCATCAGCCGGCAAGGTAAAGTCAGATTGACGAAATGGTACTCAACTTATTCGCAGAAGGAGAGATCCAAGGTAGGTGGTTGGGTCTTAATCCTTGGTTTTTCTCGAACTGGTTCTTCTTTCCCTTGCTGATGAAATATATTGCTTGGTCATTTCCTGATTTTGCTATTTTTTAGTGTGGAAAATGTAGGCTGTTTATCTGCAGTCGTCGCAGATATCATAGTGATATTTATCATTTCTTATATGTTTTAAAACCTTAATATATTCATATATTGTTTTCTTCTCGAAGGTGATCCGAGAGCTTAGTAGTCTCATTCTCACAAGGGGCCCAAAGCTCTGCAATTTTGTTGAATGGAAGGGCTTTAAAGTAGTCTATAAGAGGTAATATAATGCTCCTAATTTATGAGATATATATATATATATACATGGGCATATAAAGTTGATCATCTTGATGATATAATCTAGTGGGTCAATGTTTTTTTTAAAGAAAATGCCCAGTTTGACAAAAAAATCTGAATTTCAGATACGCCAGCCTTTACTTCTGCATGTGCGTTGACCCAGATGACAATGAGCTCGAAACCCTCGAGATCATTCACCACTTCGTCGAGATTCTGGACCGTTACTTTGGAAGCGTGAGAGGCTCCCCATCTCTTGAGTTCCATGGATCCCCAGCTCTCTATGTATCGTCCTAATCTTGGCGTTGACTCCTGGAAAATAATATTAATCTCCCCAATTTCAGGTTTGTGAGCTGGATTTGATCTTCAATTTTCACAAGGTGAGTTCAAGTCAACCTGCCATATTATATCTTATTTATTTATTTATTTTCCTGCTCCCGTTGACCACCGAATCTCAGGCCTACTTTATACTGGATGAGATACTGATCGCCGGAGAACTGCAAGAACCAAGCAAGAGAATCGTTTCGCGGCTCATCGCAGCCCAGGTCCGTATTTTATTTAATTTGATTTATTTTATTTTATTTATTTTATTTTATTTATACGAGCCAATTTTCCGCCTTGTCTCTGGGGGTTTGCTGGGTTGTTCCACGGGGAATGAATCCTCCACGAAATCGGTCATGGTGTGTCGGTGTTAACATACCTCGCATGATCTTCTGGATGTTGTTCTTATCCTGCTCCATCAGTTTGGAGCTGAATCCCTCCTTCCCTGTGAGCCTGTAATCGACGCCGGTGCTGTCTGTCTGTATAATCTTGCAGGATAAGCTGGTGGAGACGGCGAAAGAGGAGGCGTCTTCTCTGAGCAACATCATCGCTCAGGCCACCAAGTAGAAGAGACTCTCTCTCTCTCTCTGTCTGTCGGCGAGTCTTTTCTCCCTTCCAAAAATAATTAAAATAATAATAATATGATGTTTGTATGGATGTGATTTCTCTCAGATTTTCCGTAATATGTTGAAGAATTAAGTGCTCTGACAGGACCGTTCTCTCTCTCTCTCTCTCTCTCTCGATCAGCGTAGAAGTACGCCGGCGCCGGCGGCGCCAATCTGAGTGGTCAGAAGGGATGTCAAAGATCTTCGATCCCCACCTCTACTTCTATTCCGTCAACTCCTCCAATCATCTTGACGGGTGACCCCAAAATGGAGCAGAGAGAGGAGAGAGAGAAATAGAGAACGAGAGAGAAAGAGGGAGAAATCGAGAGAGAGAGAGAGAGAGAGAGAGAAATAGAAAAAGTGAGAGATATAGAGAGAAATAGAGAAATAGAGAAAGAGAGAGAGAGAGAGAGAAATAGAGAAAGAGAAAGAGAGAGACATAAATAGAGAAAGGGAGAGATAGAGAGAGAAATAGAGAGGAGAGAGAGAGAGCTTCGTCCGCTTCGCGTAATCCGAGGGCCCACCGCCCCCCCCCCCGACGGAGCCGTCTGTTCTTCCGGGGATGGCAGACGGGCGCCGCCGATTGGGGAAGGCGGCGGTGGGCCCAATCTCCATTTGTCTCGGCTCTCCCATCCCTTGATGCCCACCAACACATTCGTCTTTCCAAATAAATATATAAAATAATAAAATAAAAAAGGTACTCTCTGGAAGGCCAAAAAGGGCCCGACTGAGAGGAGAATATATTCGGCCACCATTTATTAAATACATTAATTGGGTAATTTTGCGTGTACAATTTATTCCGACCAGAAAAGCCGTCATTTTCGTTACTTTCTTGTCCTCATTACATGATTTCAATGATGTACGATAATTTCCCCTAATTATATATATACTTTTTTTGTTTGCAGGCCCACCGTGGGCCCGGGGTCACCGGGACTCGGTCTCTTGTGACTAGAGAATCGGTTAGGATGACGTCACTGATATGTGTTGGCCAATGAGGGGGCGACATGTGGAGGAATGGACCCGCTGTTAAGTGCCAGCCTCGGTAACCCCTCCCAAAATAACTGACTAGGTAGTCCCCACCTAGCCCCTTGCATTATTTATTTTATATTATTTTATCACTCCCCACACGCTCCGCTCCACTCCTCCCACACGCTCCATAACGAGAACCAGCAGATTCTCTCTCTCTCTCTCGTTCTCTTGCACGGTCGATCGATCGAGTTCCTCGCTTGATCGGTCGATCGATCGGAGGCTGGGAAGTCTAATGGCGTCGTTGCCGTCTTCCTTGCGAAACAGGAATGGTTTCTCGTCGATGCGGTTCCTGGGAGTTCTGAAGCAGCAGGAATCTCCAACCACAGGAGGGCACAACGGTGGCGCCGGCCTGGGGAGGCACGAGGACGGCGGGAGCGGGGAGGATCGGGTCCTGGAGCTGGAGGAGAGCGACGTGGTGTGGTCGCCGGCCTGCTTCTCGGATCAGTCGGAGTCTCACTCCCCCGTGGACTCTGCCGGTCCCAACTCGCCGCTCTCCACGGCGTCGACGTGCCGCTCCGCCTCTTCCTTGTCTCCATCGGGGAACCAGGTCCTTCAGCGCCACTTCCGCGACGGCCACGGGCGCCGGAGCGGGCACCACTTCACGCCGGAGAGGTTCGGGCTCTCGGCGGCGCTGGTAGAGGAGCCGGGGCTGCTTGTGCAGCAGCGGAAGCCGTCGTTCGACCCGTCGGCGTCTGCTACCATCGCTGTGCGTACTGTGCCGCCGATCCCTGCGCTGAAGCCTGAGGCGGGATCTGACGGTTACTCGTCGGGACAGGGGAACCTGTTCGGGCAGTCGGCTCCGATGAACGTGCCGGCGTGGCCCAGGAAAGGTCTGCGGCCATTGGGGGAGAGGGCCCCGAATGAGGAAGACGATTGGGACAAGGATCGGGCGTGGGAGGACAAGGATAAAGGAGAGATGGTGCCCCCCCACCTGATCGTCGCGAGATCACATTCGACGACGTTCTCGGTGTTCGAGGGCGTCGGGCGGACACTGAAGGGCAGAGACTTGAGGCGGGTGCGGAATGCCGTGTTTCAGAAGACGGGGTTCCTTGAGTAGCGGAAGAAGAGAGATGGGCAGATGCGAGAGGAGAAATGTAATCGAAGAAGATTGATCGCTCAGTAAGCAAAAATCTCGCAGTGATCTCTTCATGAGGTTTCCTCCTTCATCCAGTGATTCGATGTGGGAGCAGTTTGGGGCAAAAGACTATCGAATTTGCTGTTCATGTTCTTCCTGGACAACGTGGTTTGATTGAGTTTGATTAATTTATTCCATATTTTTTCAACCAGACCTGTTCTTGTGCGTGGCTTATTTTCTGATCTCCACTGGGCCTCTCTGTTCATCTTGGTGGATGGGATTATTGCTCTGGTCAAGCTGACCCAGCTGCTCTACTTGTTTTATGTGGGTGCCTTTTGCGATGCAGACCTATCTCTGCTTGATCGAGTGGCGCAGAACGCTCCCCCTGAACAAGTGGAGCCCTGTGCTCCTGGGAATCCAGTTTCTTTTTGTCTAGCATGATCAAGTACTGTACCAGAGGCAAAAGCACTCAACTCTCCCATCCTCCGAAGGTATATCTGCCATAAAAGGCAAAGAAATGCCTTTGACTGTATTTTTCTTGGCTCAATTTTACTTTAAAATGAGCAGATATTAATTTATCAAATATTAGAATTTTTTTCTCCATCCCATCGTGTTCTTGTCAAACCCATGGATCTAGATCTTCCGCAGTGGTTCCTCCAGATGATCTTCCACAGTGGGTTCTGTGGGTTCATGTCGAGTCTGTGCGAGCTGAACATGAGCAGAAAGCAGCTTCTCAGTGCTCTAGTGCTGCTGTAGTCTGTTCTATAGCCCTTTTGGAATAGGATCTAGGTTTCCCATCTATTTCCAGCATCTGCACATACCAGAGAATGAGCATATATATTTCCTCACCTAGTGATTTATAGCTGTAGCATGAGTATTTGATACTTTTCTCAATCGATGATGCAGTGGCAGATATGTTTTCAGTTTTCTGCTCCATTGAACGAGGACTCCAGGTGGTGATTCTTCAGTTTAACCTAATGAGGATTCGATCAGCCTTGGAAGTTAAGATCATTTAGCACGTTGACTTGGATTTCTGATGGCGGCTGCTTCGTCCATTATTACTCTGTTTAGAAATTGCACCATGAAATTTCTCCAAAGAATGATATTTAGTTGGAAAGGAAGAGGTATAAGCATCATTAGTCTTCTGAAAGTTGATTTTCATGAAATAAAAAAAAGGATTTTTCCCCCGATAAATAATAATCAGTCATCATGGTTCTTTACCCTGCTTACTGGGTACAAGGTAGAGATTCATCCTAGTAAGAATATCCTATTTCTGGCAAAGTTTGATGACCGTGAAATGTGGGGAAGAGGAGAGAGATAAAGAGGTGTTAGACTACAATGAGGCTCAAAGGAAATGACTAATTATATTGTCATCTTAAACCCTACATCCAAAACCCTAAATTAGTAGGAGTGATTCCGTAAAACCTATGAGAGAGAGAGAGAGAGAGAGAGAGAGAGAGAAATGTGAAGAAACTATCATTATTATTATTATTATTATTACTCGTGATTACTTTAAAAATTTATTGAAAAAATAGACGAACAAGTGTTATTCTTATGTATTACATTAACTTATCATTAAATATATCTCACCTCCAATGTTGAATACACACAAAGAAAATCGTAAATCCGTCAACGGAAGAATTAAAATACGTTTATTTATTATATTCATGCAGCGAGTTCAGCCCCTTTCCCTCCTCCCCCACGTGCATCCCAAAAACACTCGTCGTCTTTTAAAAAATATATTCCGACCATGCCTAGGCGATTATTTTGAAATCTTCATGCCCGACTTCGCCGCCGAGCAGGCGGCCAAAGGAGAACTAAAGACCCCCCCGCGCGCGCGGCGGCAGCAGTGGCAGCAGCAGCAGCAGCAGCAGCAGAAGCAGAAGCAGCCGTGCCATCCGGCGGGTGGCGCCATGAACGACCTCTCCGGCGCGGTGGCGGACCGCCAGCGCTGCTGCTGGCGCGTCTCACCGGTCCCCCGCGCCGTCCTCTGCGTGGCCGTGCCCTCCCTCCTCCTCGGCCTCGCCGTCTCCGCCTTCATCCTCGCCGTCGTCCACAACGCCGTCCTCCTCCTCCTGGTCCTCTCCCTCTCCGCTCTCGTCGTCTCCTTCTTCGCCTGGAACGCCCGCGCTGCCCTCAACGACTGGGCCGTCCTCCTCTTCCTCGACCGGCTCCCCTGGTCCGACCTCCCCACCGCCAAGGACGGCGACCTCGTCAAGCTCTCTGGGGTGAGACCCATCTCCTCCTAGGTCAATGAAATCTCCACCTCTCTAATGCAGACGAAGATCAGCTCGGATTAAATGGCGGGTTCTCCCTCAAATGTGGTGATTGTTGCAGCGCGTCTCTTGCGGGAGTATTGCTCTCGAGTCTTCCTACGAGAAGGCTCCCAGATGTGTCTACACATCGACCCTTCTGTACGAGTATGCAGGCTGCGGGCTCCAAGAACTGTGGAGCGGGTTCTTTCGCTGGAGATTGACCTACTCCGAGGTTCACTTCCAGTCTCAATCCTGCTGTGCTTCATACCCAGAGAATCTCATGGTTATCAGATATAGTTTCCCCTTCGTGTCCCTTCGAACTACATCTAGTCCACTTCATGGTCTGTCCATTGATATGTCTTGGTGGAATGAGAGATCTTGCTCTGTATTCACACCATTTTCTTTGTTTGGGCAAGCCCACATCTGCCTGGTTAGAAGGGGGGATGACCTAGTTTTGAGTCACAGGTGTCTTCCATGGGTCGGGTGTTCTTCCATAAGCTATGATTTTCTGCATCTGTCAGCTAATGTCGATTAGGGTTTAAGAGGGGGTTCTTCCAGTTTATTCATTGCGGAAACCACCAGCCCGAGGAAGATTTGTTCCAAGATCTTCTGGGCTCTTGAAGTCAACGTTTGATCTTTCTCCTCGATCTCATTCTTTGTTGGGTCATTTCAGTTTCTTTGGTGGATGTAGGACAAGCAAACGGTCTGTCAGCTCCTTTCCCCTTCGGGAAAATGATTCGCTACGCTTGGCTACATTATCTAGCATATCCACTAAGTTGGGTTGTGATGTGGGGGGTGGAACTGGTGAATCATTTTCTTAGGCATTTGCTTCTAAAAAAATGCTCTTTTTTTTCAGCTCATTCAACTGCTGCCCGTGTGATTTTTATGCCGCTATTATTTTTATTTCCCTTGTATTTTTTAATTAGCAATGCATCTACCATGTCTGGTGCTCAGGTTGTGCCTATTCATGTGTGATGACACTGTTGATCTTGGATGAATAAACCTAGTGATTTATGAAAAATAAGTAAACAAGACGGATGATATTTGCTTACAATGTTGGAAGCTTCACGAATGAACTGCCCGGATCGCTCTTTCTGCTTCTCATCCTTTTGTTCTTAACAGAGGTTCACTGCAGATTTCCATCTCACAGACATTAGATCAGGCATAAGAGTGACAGTGAAAGCTGGTCACGATTCCAAAGTAACCTTCCTGATCAAGGAGAGTACTCTGATCAACACAACAAGTAAGAATAGGAGCTTGTCGTCGACCCTGGTGAGGTGGCTCAGAGATAGGCAACTCTCTGCAGAGCCGCGAGCTCTTCGTCTGGAAGAGGGGTAATCAATCGGACGGCATAATGAAACTTTCGTCTGGTTGGTAGTTTTGGGCATGTATTAATGTGGATCTTGAGTAATGTCTACAGGTATGTCAAAGAGGGGAGCCATTTGACGGTGATGGGAATGGTCAACAGAAGCAATGGTACCATTACAATAGTCCCGCTACTAGAACCCATCTCAACAGGTTGCTTTTTTCGGAAATTTCTCCTTCCCATGGTTCTCGATGGGCTGATTTTCAAGTTCTCAGACGACCTTGGTTCGGAGGATACCCCTCATCTTCCCTCTTGAACCATGCTGCCTGGTGAGTTGGACTCGTAGTAACTTCTCCTTTATAATCTACTATCTATTTTCACATTCTATGCACCACTTTGCTTCTTGGAGTTTCAGGTACCCCGCCTTCCCCATATTTTTCAATGTTGCCATCTCAGAAGACCTAATTTAAGACTGTGTGGGTCACTGGGAGCATATCGAACTAACAAGCCTTGACTGTGGTGCTCTGAAGCATCACTTGTTGCCTATTGAGAGAGGATGTAAATTCCACGTACTCACAGAACAATACAGAAGACTAACCTTTTTATCTTCAGGATTATTAATAGCCGCAGTCAATACCTTGTCTCTCATTCTGGGCCTCCATGGAATTGGGCTGTAGCGAAGAAATTTCAGGAATTAATAATAATTGAACAGTAAATAAGTAGATCAATGTTTTGTTAGCCAAAAGCTATTGTTACCTGTATTTGAAAGCTCCTATTGATTTGAAAGAACCCATGGCAACCATTGAACAACCCTAGGAGTAATGAGTAATGATTTCTTGGGATATTGTAGATTTATTCATGTTTGCAACCGTAAAATATCCGCTTTTATTTGTACAAAAATTAAAAATTTTATGTTGTACACAGCCACAAATATGCATTTGGATGTTCCTATAAAAGAGGCAAGCCAAACGAAGTAAGATTACATAAATGGGGGCGATTATTTTGAAAATATGTGATTATTTGGATGTCTACTTTCTCCTAATATTCAATTCCGAAGTGCCGATTGAACTACATTAACTATCTGACGCCTCACAAGCCCCTGTGCTGTCGACGCAGTAGACACCTTCTGAGATATCGAAATGCCCATTCTTCCCTCAGGAAGCCGTTGCATGTGGGAGAAACCGAGTTACCAAATCTAGTGCAAAAGAAGAAGAGCTTCCCTTCTATGCTAGCCGACATTCTCCTTGCATCCTTTGAACAAAGGATCCCCTTTTATGCTATATTACCCCCAGTGGGCCTACCCATCTTTAAGGAAGCCCCATCAGGGCTCAAATCCGCCGTTGAAAAAGAGGAATGGTGGAGAGAGATAGGATTCAGAGAACCACCAAGAAAGCAATGCATGAAAGAAATCATTCATGTATATGAAATAGTTTTCCTTTTCTTTCATCTTTGGGGATTAAATCTGATGCATGGATAATACCACATACATGTGAATTGGGTTTCTGATGACGACGGCGGCCGGAGACGTCACGAAGTCTCAAGGGAAGCTTAATGGGAGAGAGAAAATCGAATTGATTTCTACAGAGAAATTGAGGGTCTTTGATACTGTCAGCCCGCGCAAGAGAGAGCGAGAGCATCCCACAGAAAAAGGGTAGAAAAGGATGATCTGTACACAGAACCTACCACAACCACCATCGGAGAGTATTCCGTGAGGTCTTGGTGTGGTGACCTCTATGAAGATGAAAAAGATTCCATGATGCCTAAAGAGTTAATTAATAATCATAACTTGTACTGCCTGTCCCCCCCTTCCTCATAAACAAACAACTACTAACATGTGGGCATCATTTATTGGACCTTTTTCCGTGATGGGTTGTTACAGTGCATGGATCCTACATGTAAGGAGAGAGAGAGAGAGAGAGAGAGAGAGGAGAGAGAAAGAAGGAAGCGACAGGGTTTCTGCGGTTCTATGCATCTGCTATAAAACGCCGAGTAATGGCAGGATCAATGACGTGGCTGGGTTGGGTCCTCGATGGCGAGGCAGATGGCTTTCTGAGCAAGGCTGAAAATGAAGGTGTATCTGGAGGATAGGACGAAGGTGCATCTGGAGGTAGGCCTCTCCTTGAGTTCTCTGTCTTCTCCTCCTGCCCCCCCTTTTGTCTCACACCACAAGGTAGTTAATATCTGATGTTATCTGAGATAAGATCCCTCCCCTCATCCAGCTCTCCTCCACTCGTGAAGCTAAGAAACCTTCCCTCGATTCCCTCTCTCCTTTCCATCTAATGTCATCATTGATCTCAGGCTGTCGGGATCATACGAGGGAAGACAAAGATCGGGAATTGGGAGGGAAGAAAGGGCGGGAAGAGAAAAAATTACAGAACGCGTACAGGGATCGATTCAACTTCCTGACGTGAGACAGAGTGATCATATATCTCATCTAGCGGAAACTATGAGTAGTGATTAGCAGGAGTGGTTCGGGTGGAAAGGAGCAGAAACAACAAGAGGGAATCATAGAGAGAGGTTGGAAAAGATCCCCGAATCGATTCTCCACCTGCGCAAGAGAGTGAGGACCACTCTTACTCACAAAGATCTAGCCAATGAAGCATCGGATTCTCTGCATCATAAGTTCGTCCATTCACTAAAGGACGTAAAATTGGGCTCGCTAATAGGACGAAGATACGGGGAGCACTTGTATGGACAAAGAGAACTCGACAGAACTGTGTTACCACCTGAAAGGGAGTTAATATCTGCGGAAATCTTGGTATTATGAGGGGATTTACTCCTGGATGCCTCCTGACTTGTGATACAGATTTATGTAATCAATGAGGTGGAGTACGAAACACGGACAAAGCAACAGTAGGTCGGACTACTTTTCGCCTCTCTTACCTTCTTCTGCCTTTATTATCTCTTTCTCCCAGCCTAGAGAGTCAAGAACAGAATCTGCAATGGTTTAAGATCATAGCCGGCGATAAGAACGGGGAAGATGAGTTCTTAGACCAAATATCAACCTCATAATGGCGTGCTTTGTGAATGTAGGTGGACTAGAGTAAATCATGTCAATATAGAAACGATTGAGAAAACTGATATGGAGATTATTATCAATGCAAATCAATCGTCTGGTTGACTAACGTTATTAATTTAAAGAAAACCTGGAGTCTGAGGGATCGCTATGGTGGAATGCTGGACGGTCCTGATAACTGGCACCTTTTCGTGCTCCCAATCTTCTCGCTCCCTCGGAGTGGAGGACGATAGAGGAGAGAGCTCTGCAAAGAGAAAGTGAAGCGAAGAGTGGGACAAAAAGGGAGGCAAAAAGATAGGGTAGAACAAGAATTACATCATGACGGCAATCTGCTCGTGCTCCCCGTGCCATACTTGCCTGCGTCAACTAGATTCTACTCCATCGCTGATGAATTTTTGTGCATGCACTGACGCGCCAGATTCAAATATCCCCACCCTCCAACAGGTAAACGAGTGTAAAACTCGCGCAGAAAACTCACTATCAAATGAGGATCGATCCGATGCCGCTCTTCTTTCTATAACGAAGAAACAAGGGGAACTTTAATAAGACTTGCCTGCGGCCGTGGATTCGGGAATGCCTCAAGCGGCAACCCGGCTGATGGGCTGGGGGAAGCGTCCGCTGGGGGGAATGAAGCCTGGTCCGAGCTCGATTCCCCTCTTCTGATCCACATTCTCGGGCTCTCGCCCCCACAATTCTCTTCTCCCGATAAAGAAGCAGAATTAGACCGGCCGATCGCGGGAGAAGGAGAACGGCGAAGCGGACGGCGACCTCGTGCCAGACAGCATTCCCCTCAACGGAGACGCTTCCTGCTCCTGCAATCCCTCCCAAACATCTCTCCCTCCCTCCCTCCCTCCCTCCCTCTCTCTCTCTCTCTCTCTCTCTCTCTCTCTAAACCTCCGGCGGAGTGGCGGCGGGATGGGATCTGGTGACGACGGCGATGATTGTGGGAATGATTACAGTCCAGATATATATATATATATATCAGTATACACGTAATACTGAAATATATTTTTAAAAATATTTGTCACTATTTTCTGGGTGGTAATAATGGGAAGATCTAAAGGGCGTACAAATATCATTCCATCTGTCTATCTCATACCCCTCATAATCACAGCTGCCCATTCTCGTGCGGGCTGTGACCGGAAAATCCTACCCGTGTGATTCACTCACGACGGAGTCCACGCAGTCGTAGGACTATTGATCGGACGGCCACGAAGACTTCGGTCGAATTGAGGTTCCCACTTTTAGATATATTAGGATGACATATTTTTTATAATAAAAAACTCCATATACATATATCTTAACATTTTTAAATTTATCATTTTTAATGATTTAAAATCTTCGTAAAAATAGAGGGCTTCATTGAAAAAGGGTAAAATTTCTAATTAGATAGTAATTAAATACGGGCCGATAATTCTGGTCAAGAAAGCCCATATATTAAATAGACGGTCCGGGGTGCTTTGACCGCCCAACCCCCTCAACTATTGTATTGACGTATTCTTCCTTTCTCTCTCCTCTCCCTCTCTTTCTCTCTCATCGACGGATGGGGAATGACCAACAACCAAAGTCACCGGAGAGTGATGGCGTCACGGTGGCGCCAGATCGCCGGAGATGCTCGAATTAGGTTGGGGGGGGGACCTCGCCGGTGCAATTAGATCACCAAACATCACGGTCGGCTCCGGTTGGCCAACCTCCTCCCCCCCACCGCTGCCCCACTCCAACCCTTATATCCTCCCCTCCTCCCCCATCCTTCTCCTAAGCCACCGCCACCGCCACCGCCACCGCCGCCGCAGAGAGAGAGAGAGAGAGAGAGAGAGAGAGAGAATGGGGACGGAGGTGGTGGAGGACTTGAGGAGGAAGGGGGCGGAGGTGGTGTACGGGGCGGAGGCCTGCTACAAGCACTCGCAGGAGCTGCTGGAGGAGATGGGGTTCCCGGGGGGGGTGATGCCGATGAAGAACCTGGAGGAGTGCGGACTGGTGAAGGAGACGGGGTTCGTGTGGATGAAGCAGAAGGAGCCTTACGAGCACTTCTTCAAGGGGACGGAGACGCTGGTCAGGTACTCCCGGGAGGTGACGGCGTACGTGGAGAAGAACCGCATGAAGAAGATGACCGGCGTCAGGAGCCGGCAGCTGCTGCTGTGGGTGCCCCTCTCGGAGATGAGCATCGACGACCCAGAAGGTCTCAAGATCACCTTCAACACCCCCATGGGCATCGGCCGCTCCTACCCCCGCTCCGCCTTCCTCGAAGAAGAAGAAGAAGGCGGCGAGCCCCAGAAGCAGTGACGCCACCCCCCGCCGTCCCCGCCTACTCCCTACTAAATAAGGCAAATGAAGAAGAAGAAGAAGACACCATTTTCGCCTTTTCCCTTTGGATGTGTGACCGTTGCTTCAGTCCGCGAGTACATCAAATTCAGATTTGGAGAAAACCTTGAGATCTATTATATATATATATATATATATCTATAGAGAGAGAGAGAGAGAGAGAGTTGACCGCGAGGTCCACGTGGCATTGAAAGTGAATCCGGCTTTTGAACAGCGGGCCCCATTAATCGTTTCAGTTGGCATAGCCCGGCCCGCTTTATTCTGGGCCTTGGGGTTAAGGTAAACAAAATAATCGGGGATTTTTGCAAAATATAAAGGTTTTAAAAAGCATCATAAAAACATTATTCGAATTTTCTTGTCCTCGTTGAGTCGTTGAAGCTGGGTGAGCCGTTCTAGTGGGCACACTCTTCTACGCCCCCCTTCTTCCCTCTCTCCTCTCTCTTGTCAAATACAACTTGAGTTGAAAGGAATAGATAGGGGGATGTGGCGGCCTTCCATTGGCGGACGTAGTAAAGACCGAGAAAGCAGTCCACGTCGACTGGAAGAAAAGTCCAAGGGAGGGCCACCCTAGACGCCCTCGTGCGCAACTCGTTCCGATCTCTCTCATTTTCTTCGGGAACTCCGTCCAGACATCTGGACCGTCCGATCTGTTCACACATGCCTGAGGGTTGGTGAAACCCCAGCTGAGAGCCGCTGATCACTAGCTGCCCAATTCAATTCTAACCAATCACTTCACTCCGAGTGTTCATATTGACCACGTCGGCAGTCAAAACCGTGTGCCAGACCATCGGGTTGTAGAAATCTGGTGTCACCAAAGGACGATAAGTATCGCCATCTTCCTCATTCCCACCGCCGTTCAGCGGGTCCCGAATACTGGAACAGGGAAGGAAAAAGAGAGAGAAGATGTGCCGATGCAGCAGCGGCGGCAGGGGCGGCGGCGGCGGGGAGGCGCTCCGCTGCGCGGGGGGGAAGGAGGCCCTCAAAATACAGGCTTTCTATATCCGACTCGCCGCCCGCTCTGCTGGTGGTGAGGCGCTGAAGAAGGCGGAGTTGCTGACGCTCGTCTACCGGCCGCGCACTGGCGGCGCGTCGCTGGAGGTGAACGACGTGCAGATGCTTCCCGGAGCGGCGGCCTTCGTGGGGCTGCACCGGGTACGGGCGGCGGAGTCCGGCGGCGACCTGGTGTTTGGGAGCACCGATCGGGTCTGCGCCGGTGAGGGGATCCTCTTCGAGGTGTACGCCGGAGAGGAGGAGCGGGCGGCGGTGGAGGGGAGCTTCCGGCGGCGGGACGGCGGTGGGTGGCGGATGAAGTGCTGGGTCGCAGCCGACGGGGAGGAAGCGGCAGGGATAGAAGCAGCGGATATCTGCGTGGCCGGGGAGGATAAGGTGGTGATGATGGAGAGTGTGGATGTGGCGGCGCCGCGGTGGCGCAACCGGCGGTTTTGCTCGAGGCTGGAGGAGATACCGGAGGAGACCGGGGAGGAGGTGGAGGGCCACTGCGGCTGCTGCACCGAAGAGGAGGAGCAGGACGATGGATGGCGGCTGTCAGAAAATACGGAGGAGGACGGGGAGGATGATGACTGGCTGGAAGAGGACGCCTGGCAGGGGGAGGAAGAGGGGACGACGTGGGCGGTGGATCTAGGGATATGGGCAGCGTGCTTGGGGGTGGGCATCTTGGTCTCCAGGGCTTCTTGTTCCAAGAGGCGGCAGAGCTTCTTACCCTTTTGATCACCATGGAGGCTTCTTTTTCCTTCTCCTTTCTCTTGGGAAGTCGATGTGCGGGGAAGAAAGGAGTTCGTTTTTTTTTGCTCCTCTCCGCAATCCCACTCTTCAGTTCTCCTTTCTGACTTTCCATGGCGGCCTTGTGTGTTCCCTGTTACTGCGGAGAATAGATGAATGAAATGGTCCACAGGTTGGCCCCAAGAAATCGTGGTCCGCCATAATTTGAACAGGGAGAAGTAGACATATTTAATAGCAATAAGTCGTCAAGAGTGAAATTTAATGTTAATAGATGTGTTTCCATTTAAGGAGATAATGTTAGGGGCTGAATTATGAACTAATCTTGTACTTAAACCTACTCAAGCTCTATCTTGTCTATTTGACGGTGTAGTCATGGCCACTTACCATGGAAGATTAGTTGTGCTCATTTCTAGTGACATTGACCCATTCCAAATAGAGGTTTCACGCATATTAGGTTTGAAGACAAGTATTATCAATTTTCTAGCATTTATAATTTTTAAATTATTTGATATTTTAACCTTTATATCTATTTAATCAGATGAACAAGTGGTTTTGGGAACCAACAAGAGCTTACCAAGTACAAGGGGGTTTCTAGTGGAACTATTACCAGTGGTATTGGCACCTAATCTATATCTCATGCACATATTATCTTCTTAATTGTAGATAGCGAGGTCAACTGATAGTGAGTGAGGAGTAAGGAATAAAAAACCCAACTTATTGATTATAATTTATACATTAAATATTTTATGGTAAAAGCTAATATGCAAGATGGGAATAAAATTCCCACACACAGATGAGATGTGGGAAAGATGGATTGAGAAAAATATATATATTATTCTTACAAGACATTTCCATGAATAATTACCCAAATATGTTGTTAAATCACATTCTACTTGAACTTTATAAACATTCAACATGTTTTATTTTCTATTTATTATCTTCTTTGATTATTTTTTTTAAAAAAATTCTATTTGCATAATATCCATGTTTGAAAACCAACCTACATGTTCTATTAAGAAAGAGAACCTCAATACATTATGTCACCCTAATAGCCTTCTCATTCAATTAATGGTTCCTAACTTGTGTTGATGATTATTTTAGTCCAAGAAAAACACTAATGATCAAAACAAGAAGAGTGAAAGAGCTAAATATGATGTAAATAGTTAACAATATTCTCTCATTGATTTTGAAATACCCAATTAACATGATAACATAATCATTTATGTCAGGCCTAATGAGGTCACATAGGAACCAAGAATGAAGATATTTTTTTTCCTTTTTCATCTAATAGTTTAAAATAAAAAGAAATCTAACTTCATTGATGATGAATACTACATTTGTGAATTAACTTCTTACATATAATTGAGGTGATCAACAAGAGAGAGACTATTTATACTACTTTGACCCTCCTTAACTACTCTACTCTCTAAAGGTTTATTCTCCCTATGGTGCTATATATGGATAAGAAAATAAAAGCCATCAATCCACCTCTATCAAATTTACTAGAAGTTTAAATAATATAAAGGCTCACTAATTAATTCACACATCTAGTAATATAGTGCCAATTTAATAACACTATTTGATGGGATAGACTTCTACTAGTATAAATCATATTGTTTAAAGAAGTAAATTCAACTTTATATTTTTCCTTGCAATATGGTGTGTTGACTTTGAGTTAAAAGTTCTTCTCACAACTTTAGTATTTTCATGTTTGTTTACATACTTTTCCATCTCTTTTGTAATTGGTGCTTTAAACTTTCTCCTACTTATAAAAAATCTTGCCTTTCAGTTGTTATTTAGCATTCAATAAGATCACATTTCACACTATTCTAATGGTAACTTGAACACATTATCATGATGTGTTTTGTGTGAGTTTTAAATTGTCATTAGATTTTTTCACAAATTTTTTTTGATGATTTAAAGATGTTTTAGGACTTAAAAGTACAGGAATGTATACTTTTATAATGTTTTGTTTGACTTTAGACACTCCATGTGTTGAGATACTTGGCTTCACATATTATCTTATATCTATCCATAACTATTACATACTAAGCTATTGTTCTTCATATACTATGTTATTTCACAGCTTGATTATCATGTATTGAAAGTTTTAAGTTTGATTTAGAAAGTTATTGATATTCTGATTTTGAGATTGATACAATCTAAAGATGTTTGACTTCAAATATTAATTTATATTTAAGCATGTGTTATAAACTAAGGTATTGTTCTTCATATACCATGTTATTTCTCTTGTGCTAGCCTCAATGGGTGGTCAACCAACACCATACAATCTCACAACTATGTAGAAACACACAAAGACTCATGAGATGTGTATTACTTACCCCTTTAAGACAATACACCATGGTGTGAACCCTACCTTCCTTATTTGAGGTTGCCTACATTTATAGGGGTACACACTTAGATTGCCTAACCCTCATAATTGACTCTATAATCACCATGGTGTTGATTGTGTCAAAGGTTGCTGCAACCACCCCACTCGTCACAAGAGGACATAGAATTATCTACACCAATTCCTACCAACTATGTGCCCATGTTGCTTACTTGAGTATTGCATCATGCTATTCATATAATGCATCACATACTTGTTGTGTGGTGCATGTGTCACCTTGTGCCACAGTGTGTTGTGTAGTGCCATCACACCTTTCATATATGATGCTCTCAATGCACATCCTATGCCTAATAGGTATCATGTCACACTATGCTACGCCGTGTTAATGTGCATCTTCATGTGCACTCATGCTATACCCATGTCGTTGCTCACTTACACATGCGTGATACAAACGTTGCGTGTGACACCCTATGCTACATCATGTCAACCCATGCCTCCGCACATGCCACACTGCATCTACTAGAATCTCATTACTCCAAGTGAGGGGTGCCAGAGCTACATTTCCAACTTGTGACCTTTCAACTCATAGTTATCTAAAACGGGCCTGCAAGTCATACTTGAGGCCATTAATGGGGTACATCCTAAGCTCCTTGATTAATTTTCCATGGTTAGACAAGATTTCTGATCAGATGGAGGATGTTTTAGCTCATAATGGACTTGCGAAGGCCTCACCCCAATGTATTAGGACCCCATTCAAATTTAATATAACCCATATTAATGATATATATATTATAAATATTGGGAATAAATAAAATCGCTAAATTTCTGGAATTTTCCGTTCCAAGGCCTTGTTAACGGACTAGGGCATGTCACCCGAACCGACTCAACCCGCCCGAGTTGCCGTCCTCGCTGGGAGCACCGTAGGAGAGAGTTTAAGAGAAGCCGCGGTCGCAAAGCGCTAAGCGAAACTTGGGAAGTGGGCGCGGACATGCTTGGTACGAGCGGCAAGTGGCAGAAGCTTTCCCACCTGTGCCGGAGCCACTCCTTCGCCTCCACTTTCAGGGCCAGTGTCGTTCTCCGCCTGTCTCCTGCCATGGCTGCTGCTTCCTCCCCTCACCGCCATAGCTCCCCCAGTGCGTCCTCTTTCTCGACGGGTTCCCCGGCCCCTGCAGCCAAGAGGGTGGGTACACACAACGGCAGCTTCCACTGCGACGAGGCCCTGGGATGCTTCATGATCCGCCTCACTGACAAGTTCGCCGGGGCGGACATCGTCCGGACCAGAGACTCCCAGGTACTTTCAGCCTTTTCCGCATCTATCTCGTGCTTAACCTTTACCTGGGACGCCCTGCTTCTCTCCTGAGAGCATATTTATGGTTCTCTCAGTTTGCTCTTCTCTGAGAAATACAATAAGCACCATAGTTTTCTTGGGTTGTCTCCTTGCCCTTAACCTGCTTGCGTTATGGATTCTCCGAAGTGTTTGTCCTTGGAGTTGCTATGACTGGAAAAATAAGAATTATGGACGATTGGGGGTTTAATTCATGACAATGAGTGATTGTAAAAATACTCGTTGGCGACTCTCAGAAGAAAATAGAGTTGTTGTCTCTTTCTCCGACTCTTAGAAGAATTTAGTGTCGGTCTTCTATATCGAGCTTAAAGCGGTTACTAAATACATGCAAGATGGGATTTTCCCACTTTCAGAATCTTCCCGTGCTTTTCAATAGAGAAAGACTGATGGAACTGAAGATTAAGCCATTTACACCAATAGTTGGAGAGGGCGGTGTTATTATCCACTGGTACTCAACTTTCTTACTGTAACACATCTTTTCACAGAAATGCAAATAACTACCCATAAAGATGGACCTAAGCTCTTGGGAGGATGGATAGAACAGTGATAAGTTATTGTGGGAGATTAAATTGTCTCTATCAGAAAATGGAATCATATGATCCTGCTCCAAGTTTTATCTTTCTGATGTGGATGATTTCTAAGGTCGGACATGAGACTATTCTTCTATCAGGGCTTCTGCAGACTCTGCTGCACTCTACTATTTATGGGAGAAACTTTCTTCTCTTGTAGTTAACTGTAGAAATGATGAAATTCGATTGGTTATGGAGTCTATACAGGGAAAATGTCGAGGAGACATGTACTTGGGTTACTCGAGTGCAACTTATTGCATGGTGAGGGCCCTCTTTGACTTCAACTTCTGGGTGATGGAGTCTGGGATTAGACACTGATGGCGTCTGCATAGAAGTTCTCGTGTTGTTATCTTAAGAGAGGCATAGCAGCTGGGTTTTTCATCCACCGGTCATCTGGTGGTATGTTGTTAGGGAATCCTTTTTCTTTGAAGTATCAAAAAACTGTCTGAATGCAGGGAAAACCTCATATCATGATCATCAAGCTTGTTCCACAGTTCCAAGTCAGCTTGTGATAAATAAACACCTACAGTTTTGACTCTGTTCACCTGATTGGTTTCCTGCCTGAAACCATTTTGTAGTGCCATACACTGGCATGTGCCATTGGTGAGGTATGGGAGGGCCTGCTCATATTAGGAAAATCAATTATTGTTGACAAAAAACTATATGAGAGGTGCTTCGTCATGAGAGAAGGAAACATAAGAAAAAAAATGAAAAAAATAAAAATAAAAATGTAACCTGTATAATAAATATCATTTTTTGGATCTACTTATGCAAGTGTAGCTTTTTTTTCCTTAATAAAGTAGGCTCGTGCGACTTGCTTACTTGTGGAATGATTTTCAGTTATTGGAGACACTTGATGCTGTTCTTGATGTTGGGGGTGTTTATGATCCCACTCGAGATCGTTATGATCATCATCAGAAAGGTTTTAATGAGATTTTTGGGCACGGATTCAACACCAAGCTAAGCAGTGCTGGTCTCATTTATAAGGTGAAGTAATATTATTTTCCAGTTCATTTAAACATTGCATCATCTTTCTTGCTGGTATTTTAGACTTCGACTCATAGAATCAGTTGCGATTTTGCCTTTTCCATGTCCATCAAAATATTTCCTACACACGTGATCCATTATTACTTAACATTGTGCACTGTGATACTTTGGACTATAATCGAAGTAAATTATATCGTAAGGTGGATATGGTCCCTCTTCTAGGATAAAAAAATGACAATTGATCGTGTGAACTCTTGGCCAAGATTGGCTAAGCAGTCCCTGGCCCATTAGACCGTGCTTAAGAAAGTGATTCGTGGCTTTCCTTTTTGTTTCTTTGGATTTAGGCCAACAATTATTGATGATCCTGTGATTTAATGGTTCGACTAGAGTTGTCCCTATCATTGAAATATTATATCTGAGAAAAGGAAATTCGGGTGTAAATGCTAGTTCTTCTAAGGAGAATCAGATTGTGTTGCCTCCTTTGCATTTAATTGGGCAGTCCTTGAATTGCCTGATTCGAGTTCTAAGAAATGATACAATTTTTTTTTTTGGTTGCTGTTTCATTTATTTGCTCACTCTTTCCTCACCTGTTTCATATCTATTTTTGCATTCATTTTCTATGAATGCCACATTGCAGCACTATGGTCCTGAGATAATTGCCAAGGAGCTTCAGGTTGATGAGGGGCATCCAGATGTGCACCGACTGTACATTGCCATCTATAAAAGCTTTATCGAGGTTCTAATCTTTCCTTTTTTTCTGAACTGATTCCCAGAAAACCCTCTGTTCTTCTTCCATTCGTAACATAATGCACGTCAATTTTCTCTTGAAATGTTTATCGTGCATGGGAACCCACTGATCTCTTCTTCATTAGATACTTACTATCATCACTAGTTCGTCTCTGATCCATCAGAAAACCGGATGTTATGTTTTCTGATATTTTTTGTACTTGTTATAGGCCATTGACGCCATTGACAATGGAATTAACCAGTACGACACAGATCAGCCTCCAAAATATGTAAACAACACCGGCTTGTCTTCACGAGTTGGACGGCTGAACTTGGACTGGCTGGAACCCGATCAATCTGCTAAAAAGGAAAATGAGGCATTTCAGCGCGCCATGGTGCTTGCAGGCAGCGAGTTCATGGAGGTTGGTGTACCCGAGTTCTTGGAGTTTTCCTTTTGTTGACATCAAAATTTTCATGAATTTTTGTTAAGATTTTCGGAATGTTATCGGCGGGTTCTCTCATCAATGGCTCCGCATAACTCACTATTTAATTTATGTTTGCAGAGTGTTCGGTTCCATGCGCGATCATGGTTACCAGCACGGTCCATCATTATCGAATGTCTAGCAGCTAGAGGAGATGTCGATCCCAGTGGAGAGATTATGGTGTTGAATAACTTTTGTCCTGTGAGTATTGACCAGCGTTCTTCCCTAGTTTCTTATTTTTCGAGCTAAATTTAGAAAGTTAACTGTTGAAGGGGAAGTCCCCGAATCCAGCCTTCAGTCGTCTGTCTTTCAAGATCGTTCATCCTCAGGCTTTCTGAGGATTGCTACTGAAGCCTGTCTCCTCTTTACAGTGGAAGCTTCATTTGTTTGAGCTTGAAGAGGAGCTGAAGGTTGACCCTCTTATCAAATATGTCATATATCAGGTGAGCAATATCCCAATAACTTTGAAACCTAAATTACCCAGAATTCCTTTCTTCATGTTTCAGCGGTGGACCCCACTATTCTGTGTTTAAAACCTAACTTACCCAGGATTCCTTTCTTCATGGGTCAGTCGGTGGACCCTACTTGCCCGTGCTTAGAGACCTAACTTACCCAGGATTCCTTTCTTCATGGGTCAACTGGTTGAACCCTAATTTACCCAGGATTCCTTTCTTCATGGGTCAAATGGTTGAACCCTAACTTATAGCAGGTGTTTAAAACCTAACTTACCCAGAAATCCTTTCCTCACGGGGTCGCCTTTAACCATCTCTATCACTTGCCGGTTGATGATCTATACCTGGTTGCAGGATGATAGGAGCAAAAGTTGGCGGGTGCAGGCGGTGGCAGCGTCTCCTGACAGCTTCGAGAGTCGAAAGCCTCTTCCGCTGCCATGGAGGGGCCTGAGGGACGACGAGCTCTCACGGCAGTCTGGAATCCCTGGCTGTGTCTTTGTCCACATGAGCGGCTTCATCGGCGGCAACCAGAGCTATGACGGAGCCCTCACCATGGCTCGAGCTTCTCTGAGGTCCTAATCGCAGCAGAGCCAAAGTAAGAACAATTCATTTTGCTCAAAATGGTATAAATTCTCATCTCCAGATCTTCATTTTGCTCTGAACCAAATCTCTATCACTCTATGAGGTCCTTCAAGAACACACCCAAGAGCCATGGTGAGAATCACAGTAGTTCCATTGAACATATGCCTCGAGTTACAGGTGTTTTTGGGAGCCGGTGGATGGCTTGAACAGCTTCATTAACCCAAAAAAAAAAAAACAAAGAAAAGAAAACTAGTTTTACACTAGAAGAATGGAGCCCTGGATGATTCACTCGTCGGCAACAGAAGGAAGCTCTTCCTTGAACCATTGGTAGAGCCCACCCTCCAAGTGGAACACGTTGGTGTATCCATTAAGGACCAGGAGGTAGGCTGCGATCAGAGATCTGCACAAAAGATATATATGCTCATCAGTATTGTGGGTCCACCTTGACTGAGGCTTGAGGGAGCTTACCTTGACTGCTGGCCTTCAGGGAGATTCTGCGACGGCTTCATTGTTCCTGCTGATGAACAGGCTACGATTATCTTTGCATCCTTCTCTAGCTTCGCCTCAACAGCTGCCCATGATAGCAATATCAGTTGATCTTTTCTTTGGAGATCTGTGGCATGAATCATCTGAGATTGAGGCAATTACTCTGCATGAACTCCGGGTTCTCCTCAGTTCCTGCTAATATCCCGAAGAACAGGAATGCTGCCCGGCGGGCAATGTCCCATGGGGTCCATTCCTTGATCAGCCTGTAGATCTGCACATTGATGGCTCCCGGCGGGTGACCCTGAAGCAATTCGGCGTGGGCAAGGAAGATTTATCAGACCCAAGATGCCGATTTGAGTATGAAAGAGAAAAGCTGTCATCTTTGGTTCAGGGGTACTTGCTATACATCTACAGGGCCGATCTAATTAATCTGTGAACCCATTGGGAGAGTCAGATGAATTCTACAATCTGGGTAGGTGGTAAATCTTCTAGTTTTCCTTGGACCAGGGAGGAACGTGGGTAGAAGAGATTCTTCTTATCCGGTTGACTTAGTATTGGAATTCAAGCAGATAATAGGTTGAATAATAGGGCTCGAAGTCGATGGATAGAAAGTCAGCCATCCGTTGGAGACCACATGGGTCGTTCTTGAATACTTGAATAAATTCAGAAAGATGGCAATTTTTTTTAGAGATAAACCACACTGGGCATCTTGTGATTTAGTTCATAGCAGTGAGAGGGATCGAGAGCTCTTTGAACCCTTCCATGGCGGAAATCTTGGTGCCGAGAAGTTATCTAACCTCCTTAAATTCCGCCTCTGGCCGCACGTCGAGGATCACGAAACCGTTCTCCTTCTGGAGGCGAAGGGCTTCCTTCACATCCACGCTCCGCACCTGCAACGGCGGCAGTGGCGGGGTTGGCCTCGGAAGGAGAGAAGTGGAAGGAAGAAGATCTCACGATGATGAGAGCGGGGGAGTATCAAATACCCTCTTCTCAAGCAGGACTTCGCGCTTGACCTTCCAGTCCTCCTCAGCTACACCACTCGCAGAACCAGATCAAGACAGTTGAGGGAGACGATGGACCAGGAGAAGAACCACCCAATCGAGAAGGGACGGAGTACCCACCTGGGGTCTTCGCCTGCTTCGTGGCGGCGCATCTGATTCGCAGCGGGCGGTGGGTGAGGCCAGCAGCGGTGGGGAAACCATGTGATGGGCAGTAGAGAGAGGACGAGGAGGAGGATGTCCAGGAAGGAGTGCCCGGAGAAGCACCGGCGGCGGTCCGCGAGAACGCCGGAGTTGCGGCGGCGGAAGTGAGCATTTTCCACCCACTCTCTTCCCTCGTCTCCAACAGAAGTGGGGGGGGGGATGGAGGTGTGGGGGTGGAAGATGACCAAATCCCTGCACAGAAGCAGCGGTTAACCTCCTCTTTTCTTCAACCTCCGAGCTTCCTCTCTCTCTCGGGGATTTGCGGCGGCGATAATATCTCCGTCGAGGGAAGGCTGTTGGTGGGCCCCCGCGGGGCGGCCGTCGGTTCCCAATTGGAGCGCAGTGGATCGCGGAAGGAGAGCGATGGGGTCCGCGGAATCAGGATTGGTGGCGGACGTGTGAGCGGGCACCGGAGTGTCCTCTCCCCCGGGCTGTCTTCTTCCCGCTCTACGAAGTGAGAGGGAGAGAGAAATCTAGAGAGAGAGAGAGAGAGAGAGAGAGCAGGTCTTCAGAAATAATGCGAGGATAAGTTGCTTAACGACGAAACACGTGATGTTGACCGCAGTCTAATGATCCTGGTAAGATTTCTCAAGAATCACTCAAAATAGTCAATACAGATGAACCGAATTGCTTCACAAAAATAATTCACCGTCACCGTGGTGATCAAAAAAAATTCCTCACTAATCTCTCTCTCTCTCTCTCTCTCTCTCTCTCTCTCTCTCTCTCTCTCTCTCTCTCTCTCTCTCTCTCTCTCTCATCTGGGAGCTCTACTTGGGCTACCAGCGAGGCCGAACCTCCTCCTGGCGGCCTTAGACCTGTAACACCATACCTCAAATACCTCTGTCAGGTCCGGGTACTGGACCTGCTCCGCCCTCAGCCAGCTGGTCAAGATGCCGGCCAGGTCCCCTGACGGCAGTGTGAGGAGAGTCAACACAAAGGCCGATTCCAAGCTCTGCCACATTTCACAGTCCACCTTCGCCGCCACGGCCTCCTCGTCGGCGCCGCCACCGAGCTCCACCAGCGGCCTCATCCTCTGCACAAAAGGAAGCCAAGCCCTGACGACACAGAGCCTCCCCACCGCCGGCAAGATGACGTTCCCATAGCCAATTGCCTCCAGAACCTTGAGGACTATCTCCACTGCCTGAAGCATGGCCTCCAGCTTGCTGCTTCCGGGGGGTAGCCCTTCAATGGCGGCGGCTATGCTGACCGATCGCTCTGCCCAGTACCAAACGAGGTCCCTCATCATCTCCATCTTGGACAGGATCTGGCAGGCCCAGGAGACGTCTGATAGGAGAGACTGAAGGGCTCGGGCCTCGATCAACTGGGAATTCATAGCCAGAATTGCATCCAGCTGGGCCAGGAGGTCGCCGACTGATTCCTTCACTCTGGCCATCACAAGCCCGTCATCGGCGGCCACGATCGGGGAGTCGTCGTCTTCGGTCAGCATGTACTCCAGCTGCTCCTGGGCCGTGTGCTTCACCTCGTCCATGGCGGTGGGCTGCGGCGACGTCGAGAAGGAGACTGCCGAGATGAAGAGGTTGGAGACCATGCCTGGATCCACAGGTTGAAGACGGGAGAGGATCTGACTGTATTTGGCGCCGAGACCAAGCACTGACCTCAGGATCTCTTCTTCTTCACCTTCATCCCAAGGGACGGCCTCCAGGTAGTCCATGCAGGCTTGGGCCATCTCATGGCAGCCAAGGCGATCGGCTGCTTGGAGAATGCCGAGGGTGTTCTTGACTCCGTGCCATGTGTCGAGCTTTGGGGCGTACAGGAGGCGGATGGTGCTGACGTGGGAGTTGACTTCTGGCTCCGAGCAGTGGACTTCGACGCAGCATCTGGAGTCGGGTGTTGGGCAGGCGTTGGAGAGGCGTTCTGCAAAGTACTGGCACTTCTGTGTGAGAATCTGAAAGTGGCAGTAGAACCGGTCATCCCTGCCTTCGTCCGTCCTCAACCTGACGACAACGTCACTGGTGGCCTGATCACCGATCTTGATTCGTTTCCTCAGATCATTGCTCTTCGCATTCCGAGCCACATCATGGAATAATGGTCAGAATTCTGAAGAAAGGAGATAATATAAAACCGAATAATCACTCCGCTGAAAAGAAATAAATAAAATCCAAACAGAAAACTCGGAAGTCAACGGAAAATGGCCCGATCTAAACTGGGTCACATTGAAAATATCTTTTTTCTCGATGAATTCTCGTAAATTTTATCGAACATTTTCAATCCCTGCAACAGAATTTGTGTTGAGACAGCTTCTCTGTTGGGACTGAGAAATCTGAAGAAAGGAGATAATATAAAAAAACCGAATAATCACTCCGTTGAAAAGAAATAAATAAAATATAAACAGAAAAGTCAGATGTCAACGGAAAATGGCCCGATCTAAACTGGGTCACAGTGAAAACTACTTTTTTCTCGATGAATTCTCATAAAATTAAACCGAATATTTCCAATCCCTGCGACTGAACACGGCCCATTCAGCAAGAACAAAACTGATATAGTCATATGATTTTAAAAAAAATAATCATAATCGGAAGCAGTTTGACCAAGTTTTCCATTCTTGGCATTGATGATGTCAAAGATGATATCGATGGTAAGAACTAAAACAAGAGCTTAGTCATCTTGCATTAGCGTTCTTAATACAGTATGCTCCTGGAGACAAGATGCATCAGACGCCCACATAATCTGCTCATGAACGCTCTTACTCATTAAAGAGCTTCTCAGTTGAATGTCCCTAATGGCACAGATCCAGGATATATTATGTACGAAGACATTAGGTGTAAAACATTAAAGGAAAGTTCTTGATGAGCTTATTTTCCGATGTTCTTGAGCAATGGAGGTTTCTGGATCTAGAATAAGATAATGGATTCAGGAAAAACAATTTATAAATAATAATTAAGAACTCTGAAAATAAACAAGATCAGAAACGGAGTGCTTTTCTATTTTATCAACAAGCATTTACAGAGAACAATATGCAGCGCGCTCTCGATCCGATTGCATCGTCAATCGATCAGACTGCTCTGGTATGAAACAGTGATTCCTGGTTGGAAGAGACATGAAATCGGGAATGATTTGAAATCAAATCGAAATTTAGGCAAGAAGGAGCTCTGTGACCTTTAATGCATCTAGAACATCGATGAACGCAAGATAAACCCTAAATCAATTCCGCCGTGACAAAAAACAGCCCTAATTCTCGTCGACCCGAAAGAGAAGTGAGAATAGGAAAGTAATTCAACCTTCTTGTTCATCGGAAGACCAGGTGAAGCTCCTCCGCCTCCAACTCCAACCTCCGGCCACTAACGACGCTGTTGCTACTCTCCCCCCACCACCTCCGTCCTAGTCGGACGGGGTCGCCGCCGCAGCTGCTTATTCCGCATTACAATCAACAGAACCGAGAGCAGAAGAGGAGGGGCAAGGGGAGAAGCCACTTCCTCTACCGAGCGCCGTCGAAACTTTCCTGGCCAGCCCACTGCCGGCTGCTACTGCCGCAGCACCCGCCGGCGATCACACTCCGCTGCTATCGGCCGAGTGTAGAGACAACCAAGCCAGAAGAGGAAGCCAGGAAGAAAACCGCGTTGCTGTTCTCGTCTAGTTCGCCATCAGGCGCTGCAACTGGCAGATTACCGGCCAACAACCCGCGAGGAGGAGGATGGAGGAGGAGGAGGGGTAGCCGAGCTCTCCAGTGGCCGCCAGTCGACTGCTTCATCTAAATTCGCCCAAAATCGCTTATTTTTTTCTTTGGCATGAAGCGAGAATGGAGACAGAATAAGGTGACGACATTATGGGCCTGATTATTGGAAGCCCAGTACAACGATTCCGCCGCCGCGTGACTCGGGCCGAGTTGACACGGTTCTCGAGGCAAGAGTTTGTTCTTCATTCCGAACTGGTCATCATCGAAAAGCCCCATCTCTCCTTTACCACAACCCTGTGAAACCCCTTCTTCCTTCCTCCTCCCCCCGCCATGGCCGCTTCCCTCGCCGGGGCCTTCGCCTCCCGCCTCGCTTCCCCATTTCCTATGCGACCATCCTACTCTTCTTCTTCTTCTACTCCATCCCCCTCTTCCTCCATCGTCCGAGCTCCTCCGCAGACCTCCATTGTCACCCCCTTCAGATCACACGCCCCCCTGCGGTGGCGGAGCGGGAGAATCTCCGCGACCTCCGCCGCCGGCGCAGGCCGGCAGGCCACGCTCAAGTCCCGGCTCGCCGCTGGCGAGACTCTCTACGGTATGTTCCTGCTAAGCGGTGACCCCACGCTCGCAGAGATCGCTGGCCTCGCCGGCTACGACTACGTGGTGGTGGACATGGAGCACGGCCCCGGGGGGATCTCCTCTGCCCTCACCTGCCTTCGCGCCCTCGCCGCCGCCGCCACTCCGGCGATCCTCCGCCTGCCGGAGTCCTCCGCTGTGTGGGCCAAGAAGGCGCTCGATATCGGCCCGCAGGGCATCATGTTCCCCATGGTCGACGGCGCCTCTTCCGCCGCCGCCGCCGTCTCCTTCTGCCGCTACCCGCCGCGAGGGCTCCGCGGCGCCGCTCATCCGGTGGTGCGAGCTTCCTGCTACGGGATCGACGACGACTACTTGGAGCATTATGAGGAGGAGCTGTTGATCATGTGCCAGGTGGAGACGGAGAAGGCGGCGATGGACGTGGAGGCGATCGCCGCCGTGGAGGGGGTGGATTGCATCCAGATGGGGCCGCTGGATCTGAGCGCCGCCATGGGGTTCCTGTGGAAGCCCGGCCACCGGAAGGTGAGGGAGACGATGGCGGATCTGGAGCGCCGCGTGCTGGCCACCGCCGGCGGCGGCGCCGCCGGTGGCGCGTACCTGTCGGGGTTCGCGATGCCCTACGACCCGCCGGAGGAGATGAAGAGGAGGGGCTACAGCATGGTGGCGGGGGCGGTGGACCTGGGGATATTCCGGCAGGCGGCCGTCGAGGACGTGCAGAGGTTCAGGACTGCGCCTGGTTCCAGCGAGGCCGCCGACGCCGGCGAGGAAGGAGATGAGAACGAGAAGGCTTACTGGAGTGAGTGAGCGAATTCTGAGCTTCTTGCTGTTCATCTCAGATAATTCCGTTCTTCATTTTCTCCATTGATTACACAATTCAAATGTGAGGGTGATTCACGTTCGATCTCGAGTTCTCCTGGCGAGGGCGCAGGCGGCCTCCAGGTCGCCGAGGAAGAAGAGCATCTTCTCCGACAGCGCCGGCGGCGACCCTGGCGGGCCGTCGGCTCCGCCCTCCGCCACCGCCTCGCCGCCGTCCGCACTGCGAGTGCCGAGCAGCCGCTGGATCTGGCCCTGGTAGACGAGATAGTAGTCTCTGCCTTCCCGGACGATCTTCAGGCTCCTGCTACCAGCAGCGGCGGCTCAGTCGCCCGCCGGATCTGGAGGAAGAAGAAGATGGTGGGGGAGGAGCTCACATTCCGATCCGATCGCAGCGATCCTGCACCTCGTAGACGTCCTTCCACGATTTGGCGCCGTCGAGGGGAGGAGCGTAGAACTGTGCGCTGGCAGCGCCCCATCGATCGGCGAAAAGCCTGCTCCATAGAGCGTCTTCCGAGGCCATCCTCTTCCATGCCCTGCACACTGCCGCAGCACCACCATGTTCGGGAAGCTTTAGAGAGAGAGATCCGCCATTAATCACTGCCCGAGGTCTGAAAACTCCTCGGAACGCTCCGAATTATACTCCACAGTTCTCGTTCCCTCTGAAGATCGCGAGGATTTCCTACCCTAATTCGTGCATGGCTTCTGATTCACAGAGCAGGCGACAGCATTCCCAGATCTCGATGATCATGCAGAGAGAGAGAGAGAGAGAGAGAGAGTAGAAGAATTGTGCCGTCGCCGTCTCCGGCGACGAGCGGCGGGGCGAGGCTGACCTTGGAGAGCGGCGGCGAGGGCGCGGTGATCCAGGAGGAAGAAGACCCTCGAGCACAGCTCCGACGGGAGCCTCTCCATCCACAGATTTCCTTCATCGGAGCTCCAATTCAACTCATGGCCGGAGCACTTCTTCCCGCGGCGGCGGAGAGAGCCCTCCATCTTCCTTCCCCCCCCTCCCCCGCCACCGGCAGCATCTCCTCTCTGCTCCTCGGATGACGACCAGATGTCGATCGAATGGCATTAAAAATCCAGTTCCAGGTGTCGATGATGAGCGGTGGAGACGACCTCCACGCCGCCCGCGGTCCCTCCGGGGAGCTCGCACTCAGATCTGACAGTCCGCCGTAATTTCTGACAGAATTTCAGACCATCTACGATGAATCTTCATAGAATTTGTTGAGACCCAAGAGAAGATGATTATCCGCACAGATTTCCATCAAATAGACGAAGAGATTACAGAAGAAAACGTTTAATTTCGTTGAATATCTGAAGAAAGGGCCGACAGAGTTGACCGAATTGAGTGACCCAGTTTAGCTCCCAAGCTCGAAACAGTAAAAGTCAGAGATTTACAGGAACCCAGATCCCGGAGATCGGAGTCAGAGAGCTGACTCAGGCTTTGACTCTGTGCTTCCAGATACTTCCTCAGGCTGACTTCCACGGTACCCACGAGGCTGAATGACGGGTGGGTGTGCATCCACTGGGAGACCATGAACCCTGCGAGCAGGAGCTGCCCTGCCTTGGCGAGCTCCGAGATGAAGAAAGGGAACAAAAATCTTCCAAAGAGAGAGAAAGTGTTCTCCCTGGCTCTGCCTCTGCGTTCCTTTCTCTCTCTCAGCATTGCTTCCTGGCAAGTCCTGGAGAGGAGACCCGCGGAGCAGCAGAAGTAGGCAAAAGCTCTCTCGTAAGAACGATCTGCGGCAATGGAAGGCAAGATCCCCGATGATAGAACAAGAGAAAGCAGCTCCTCATCATCCGAACCCTTTTTAGAAGGATCTTCCTGCTTGGGCTTATCTTCAATCATGCTCAAAGACTGAAACCACAGGGCTCTGTAAGGAAGCAGAAGGGCCATCTTCAAGCCCATGAAGCAGTCTCTCTCCACAATGAGCTGGAGCAGACTCTGGGCTTCATCCTCTGACAACAACACACCATGAGGCTTGGCTAGCGATCTGTCAATCAGCTCGATCACGCCCCTGAGCCGAGAAAGACCCACTAGCCTCCTCATGATCAGCATCCAGCAGCTGTGGAGAGGATTCAGGGAAGAAGATGATGCAGCAGGCTCAGTTTCTTCTAGGGTTAGCTCTTCCGGCAGGTCTTCCCAACCCTCATCCCAATCATCGCCGACACAGTTGCTTCTTTGCGCAGATCTCCCATCAAAGAAAAACCCTTCCCACTCCTCTAAAATCGCCTGCAACTTGTTCAGATGGGTCTCTGAAGTCACCATCTCTAATAATCGGGAGAAGCAAGAAACTGCTGAATCAAGAGTCTTTATATCCTCTGGAGTGATCTCTGTAACCGGAGAAACAGATGAGAACAGCTGGGTAGATTTTAGGGCAACCAGGGAGCTGGTGAACCTGCTGGGGCCATCTCCCTGATCATGGGTCTCATCAGGTTCAGCATAGAGGGACCCGTCCCATCCTTCCCAAGGCTTCACGCCCCCTGCCACTTCGGCGGGGAGATTTCTGGCATGTTTTCCAGCGACAGCCTCCATCATCTGCAGAGAAAACACCCTGATCTGGCTCGGCATCTGCAAGTCATCAGAGAAGTCAACCAGCTTTTCCCACACCCGCTGCCTGACCCCATTGAAAACCTCCAAATCTCCAGAGCGGATCTCACTGAGTGATGACAAGAGATTGAGCAGGTTATTGCCATCATCGGAATTACTGCCCAACTGTGACAGGATTGAATCTATGGTGCTTATATATAACTGGGAGATCTCCTCGACGGGGTCAGAGCTTGAAGATTCCTGCCCTAAAAATGTCTCACCAATCGCCTCAAAGTGACAGCCAGCAAAGGCCATGGCTCTATAAAGATGTGAGGTTTCTGCTACCCAGCCAGAAGAGAGACCCAGTTTGCCGAACAATGAAAGGGCCCTCCAGGCTTTATCTGTTGGGACTTCATCTGCTGCTACAAGCCTCTTCAGGGCCTGGAGACATGTTGACAGTCTCTCTTGGTCTGGCACTCCACTGGTTATAAGCTCCTTGATGTCCTTGGCCGATTTGATCCAGAAATTCAGCAGGGAAACCAGAAAATGTTTGGACGCTGATTCATCCGATAGACTGTCAAAGTGATCATGAGAAAGAAACAGCATGCAATACATCCCAATGATGTACAATATGTCTTCTCGCGGGAGCTCTCTGATGTAGATCCTGCAACTGTCATAGCTGGCCTCAACGTCACTGAAAAATTCTTGGGACCCAGTGACGTCACTGCAATGTTGACTTCTGGCCTGTAAAGCCTCCTGTTGGTTCAGAACGTGGCACTTATACACGGACTGCCAAGACATGAGGCCTCGATCCTGTGAATCGATGTAGACATCAACAAGGCTCCGAACCATCTCTGCCAGGGCTGTAACAGAGGAATCGGAGATGTGACTGCAGACTTCGGCGTTGAAGTGCTCAAAGTCCAAGTCAACCAGTCCGGCGATGTTCTTGAAGTTCAGCTCTTTGATGAAGGAGACCCTTTTGCATTCTTGTTCAAGGAGCTTGAGGAACTGCGATATATCAAGAGTGTGAGGATGCTCAGAGTATTCCCTCATCATCGGCGCTTGCTCTTCAGTTTGTTTTAAATGGCGACAGCAGGCGCGTAGGAGGCCGTAAACATAGGAAAGGCGATCCTTATTTCTCCCATCAACTTGGGGGTAGACTATAGATGATATCACACTGATGACTCCCTTGGCAGATGCAACCACATCTTCTTTATAGTCCAGAACCTCGGCCAAGATCTCATCATTTGTCCAGTGCTCGGAAACAAGGGCACATCCAAGGTAGCGTAGTAACACCTGCAAGAGAGCCAGGATACAGCAAAAGTCAACCATAATGTTTTCCTAATCAAGATAGCAATCTCAGCATAGCCCTTGGTTTTTCAACAGGCTGATTTGAGAGACTAATGACAGAGAATTTCCTAAAGATTTTGAGAACTTAAGAGGGTTTAGATGGCCGCATTCTGTTTCAAGTGACTTTCTCTTCATGGGAATCCTCTGTTGCTCAAAGATAGAATCAGAGTCTCTTTCTCGGTAGATTAGTCTGTCTAAGCCACCAAGAAACGACTGTTCATTGCTTCCAAAGACTTTTTTTTCTAGAATAGAGAAAACCTGGAGACTATAGGATCTCAGTCACATCAAAAGAAACATTCATAGGGATTTAGATATTGACAAATTTCTAATACTCTTGAATCCTCCAGTTCTAGTCTGCCATGTGGACAATGGAAATGGGATATGCATACCCAGAAGCAAACATCAGTTTTAATTTGATACTAATATTAGAAAGCTATCCAACTCAAAATTTACTTGACAATGAATATAGACTCTTCTATTCATTCTTTTCAATAAGGGGACTGCCTTAACGGATATCAGGAGATTTCCTAACGACATAGTCCACGCAATAATTATAAAATAATATAATTAAATGAAGTAGAAAACCGAAATTATATCCAATGATCAGGATTGTAAATCGATGATTAGATGAGATGACACAAAATCAGTGACCATTCAATTCAATTAACTCATAGGAGACAGAACATTCTTCCAGAATACAATGAATAAAACTGAGGAATCGATCTAAGATCGAGATTGGAAGCTGTCCTAAATAATGGGATTCTCCCGATATATATCACCACCCATTTCTGAGAAATATATGCAGACCACACACACACACACGAGAGAGAGAGAGAGAGAGAGAGAGAGAGAGAGAGAGAGAGAGAGAGAGAGAGAGACCTTGGTCCTCTGCACACCGTAAGCGTCTGCAAGCTCTATTGTGCTCTTTAGAATATGCCTTTTCTCCAACTTTACTGAATCAATAAAGGAAAAAATAACCCCTTCAATGTAATTGGTATCCCCGGATAAAAAGCGGGACGTTTGAACTCCAGGAATTAATTGCTCTATTTGTCTCCCCCTATCAGCCAACTCTTTCTGCTCTTCTAATTTCAATTTCCACGTTTTCCAGAAAGTGGATTGTGCCTTGTCAACATTGTCCATTTCACCTTGAAAATGATAAAGAAAAGACAGGAAGCTTGTTATCCGTCAAGATGCTCTAACGAAATGATACACAAAGAAGTACGGTATATCTTGTCCTGTAGGTTCTTTTACTTACAAATAACTTGATACTTAGAAAGCTACTCCCAAAAAACAAGGCTTAACGGCAATAATGATAAATCATAACCACATCTAATAATCGAGAAGATCACTAACATTTAGCTGCTTCGAAATTGTCAAAAATAGAATACATTTTTTTAACCAAATGAAACACGTGGTAAGCAGATTGCATCTATCATTACAACGGAGTCAAAGAAACCAATAAGAGTACCCATTTTCCAGGTCAAGTCAATTAATCACCTGAACTGAATGATGCATGCTTTTCTTGAAATTTATGCGCTAACAAAATCTTTCTCTGCTCAGGATCTGAGCACCCAACAGCCGCAATTTGCAGTGAACTATATGCCCTTCCTAAGTTCATGATACTGCTTAGTTCACGGTATCCTTTTCTAGTTGCTATCTGTTCTTCTATAATTTCTGCCCCACGAAAAGCATCCATAAGATTCAGAAGAAATGAACAGCCTATGATATCTCCCTCTTCACTGGTGGAAGTTTCCATCACTGATTTTGCAAGAGAGGCGATGAGATCATCCTTAGGAGCAATTTCATTCATAGCCAACCAAGACAGTATGCATAACACTGCTTGCATTCCCACAGACATGCACCAGCTTTCAGAAAGAGAATTATCACCGATGGTAGAATTTTTACTGTACTCCACTTGCTTGCTCAACTCAAAAAGCCAGGGGAGATTCACGGCAGCGAAAGACAAAAATTTTCCATTCTCTCTCAAGATACGAGGTACGGTAGACCCACTTTCAGTCTGCATTTCCTTTGTAAGAGTGGAAAGAATATTCTTAATATTCTCAGAGTGTTGATGATACTCATCACCTCCATGGAAAGCAGCACCATCTACGAGTTCGGCTGTTGCTATACGTCCACCGACATCTGTAATGCCACTAGCAGAATCAAATGGAGAGCCCTGAATAGAGATGTTTGGAGGGCTTGTCCCCGTCAATGCCATGAGTTTCTCACAGTGAATTTGCATATCAATTTTTTTCCATGCGTACAGCAATTCACCGATCGATTCCTCATCACAATGGGTCAAAGAAAACCCTAACAGCTGCCTACGAGCATTTATATCCATATTATCAAGGGCAGGTCCCCTTGCGACTGCTCCACATAAATCCCATATGGGCCCATGCCCCTTCTTGGATAAAATAAAGCAAAGATCAAAAGCTACCTGCAGATCACCAGTAACTACAGCTTCCCTTGCTACAGTTTCTTGAATCGAGGATATGTCATCCTGGGAGCTCAATCCGAGCAGTTGGGCAATTTCAATAAGCTCATCTACGTTCAGATAAGCTCCAGTTTGACTCCTGATAACCATGTTGATGATTTCCATGGGGTTTCTTACCTGTTTAAACTGCATTGGAAGAAGTTTAACCCCAAGACTAGGAAGTTTAATGGTAAGAGCATCAATAACATCAGCTTCAGCCTTCACACTATCACTATTGGGAAACAAAGACAGGCATTCCCTGGCCTTCCAGATCTGCAAAATCGTAGCTCATCAGGATAAAGCAATGACATACCCTTGATACATTTAAAACGATACCAGTATTCGTGAAAGCTACAGGCAAGAGCATCAAGATGAAAAGTAAACTAGGGATATAAAGAACCACTACATGTCTACTCCAAGAGATAAGGGCCCCGGCATCCAGGAATGGTGGCAGTCTGATCAAAGCAAAGTATATTATTGCAATGAAAATATTTCTATCCATAATATTTTAATTAGTCATTGAATTAAAGTTTTCATCCAGGAATGGAAGAACGGTGGATATAGTTGTCTCATTGAATTAAAGTCTCCGTCATCTACTGGGACGCAACCTACGGAATTTATAATTAGTCATCCAGCCCATCCAATCCCATTTATAAATTCTCGAAACAGTATTGTTTATGAGGCGCATGACTAAGCAGACGGAAGAGCCTTAGATGCAGTACTCTTGATGTATAAGCTGTAATCAAATGAAGCTTCCGTGGTCCATAAAATCAATCACTGTTTTTTCAGTCCTTATTCGTGGACTACAAAGGGAACTATTCCACCATGAGAGATTATAAAGAAAAAATACCATACTGTTGTCCATTCTCATTCATGGTGGAAACACAGAAAAGGACGGGTGAAGGGATTGGGACAACATCCTCTGAAAGGATCGTTGCATAAACAAAATATGCAAATGAAACTATTTTTTTCTCTTTCTTAAGTTCTCAAAATTACAGGCTAACTTTCTTCTCATAATTCTTAGAAGCTTAATAATATATACAAATTTTATGGTTAAAATCGAAATGAATGAAGAAGAGATCACGGCAGGGTTACAGATATTTGGGCACTGCTTTCAAGTGTTCAATCTGCCCAATTGTTACTCAGAATGCAATTTTCAGGCAAGCTCGTCAAAGACGAGCATCCATCGGTCACAAATAGAAATTCTGCTCAAAAGAGTAAAAACAACTTGATTTTATATGACAGAAGATTGGCCTTCTTGAAGGCAGAGTTAGATGACCTCCCCAAAATTTTCTCCTAGTTTCGAATAAGAAGGACAACTGTGAGCAAGTCACACATGATGTAGAGAGAGCACGCTTTTTCTCCAGGGCAGACCAGGTTGAAGTCGGGAAAAGAAAAATGCTTGCAATTTGGCGGGGAGTACTTCAAAGTGATGTGATGGAAATGGAAAATCAGGTTACCAGGATATTGCCTCTTTATGTAAGGGGTTTTAGTGTCTAGATAGGAAAGAGCCATATGGGCGAAGCAGTTGAGATATTATAGCGTGGGGAAGTCGAGGAAAACTTTACTAACCAAAGCCCACAATCTCGATATAGTTATCTTCGTATACTTTCGTATACAAAACTGTAGCAAAATACTTGATCCGGTGCCATGTACCTGGTTTATCAAAACTTTGTAACAAGAATAACCAGAATATACCGAAACAGGCAGCTCAGAACTGAAGATTATATCAGCCCTTTCAAGTGCGGATTGTCTAAAGGTAAACCCATACCATGGTGTAAAAAGCATGATGGGGAATAATTTGGATATCTCATCATTGAAGATCTCATCTCATCAGTCTCCATCAACTAGAACAAAATTTGGTATCCACGGCGACAAAGATGATGGGGAAATTTTACCATGATTTTCTATCATGGAAGCTCTGGAAGATACGCAACAAGGAATGTGACAAAAGCACTTTGTGCCAAAACTACAATCTTCGTGCATAAAAATTTCTCATAAGATGTTTCTTAAAAGTGAATATCAAGAGTATTTCTATAGAAGGAATAAGGAAACCACTGAAAACCTTCCAGAACGTGATATTATTGAGGTTATGTAGAAACGTCTATTTGACACTGTTGTTCTGCTGTAGCTTAGTTTTGATGTCTTATGTATTGATGTTTCATGTCTCATCAGAACAAAAATGAGGTGGAATATATCTCTCCCTGAAGAGTCGTGGGTCAATTAATGAGAGAAATAGAAGTGCATCTATCTCAAAGATTGGCCCGCGGTAGGATACTTCTCTCACTGGAGAGTCATGGGTCATTTGTCGAGAGAGGAAGAAAAGCATATCACGTTTAAAAATAGGTCCGATGAGAAACCTTCATCTTTAGTATAGCTCGTTCATATTTCACAGCACATTAATAAAAATATCAAAATGAGGGAAGAGAGGCCTTTTACAGCAATAATGGAACTCCCAGAACTCTGTGCAATAGCAGAACTTTTCTGGAGGACAGAAGTGTCTAATCTAGTTTGATTTTTTGCTCGAACAGATGTTCTCTGAACTCTGATGAAGTCAGTTCCTTTTTACGGGAAATACTGGGTGTCCTTAAGATTGTAATGGTTTTAGACTGGGTTTTAGCAAACGGACTTTCTCTTCTATACATCAAATCCCCATCAATGGGGAAAGCTCTGACTCCCTTCAGAAACAAATGGCATGCACGCACCATTTCTCAGAAAAAAAGTGAGACACTTCCAAGAAATTATGAATATTAGCAGTTTCTCTCGAGGAAATTAAAATAAAAACAAAAAACCCACCAACTGGATTCTCCAATTGAGATCAATACAGGAACAGGTTTCACTAGATTAATTTCCTTGTACACTTCTCAGGGCTTAAGACAAACGAAAATTCTCTGGGTCAGATACAATTAGGACGCGTATAAATATGATATAACAGTCATATTTAATTATTATACTTAAATACCTAAGGAGGAGATCCTAAACGATTCAAGGAATAATGCGGAAATTATACTCACCTCATTACTTGAAAGGCTAGACGCTGAAAAAAAATATTCTCTTGCAGCCTGAATGACAAGGTTTTCTGCCTTCTCTGTTGTCAAATTCGTACTGCCTGTACCCTTTAAGTAGTTTCTTGCAAGGGAAAATTTACCAGCTTTTAAAAGCCCTCTACAAAACTCCATTAGCATGTACTCTAGGTCAAGATAATGAAATGCTTTCTCCTGAAAACACTGCATGTCACGCCACATGTTTGCCCAGTCGTTATCTGATCTTATAGGTTGACGACGCCCAAATTTTGACATAATAAGACGAAGAAGCTGTTTTATGTTCTTTTCATCTGAATGAGCACCTAGGAAGAAGCTCATAGGCTTCGGAACCTGCAAATAAACACGGGACAACTAAGGACATTTCAATCCGAAAGATGGTGAGACCAAGAGACAATGCCATCCAATACAAAGTTAAATCAGTAGGTAAAAACTATGAAAAAACAGCAGAATCTGATCAAATGAGTGGTGAATGTGAGAGATTGTAAAGTAGAGGTAAGCTGTGAATGAAGGTAGTATGCTTTCTCTCCCTTTAGAAGACAAGTTTAAAACATGTTCGAAATGTTGACATCTCAGATGCGTCTGATAAAGAAGGGTGATTCGTTCATTGTGAGATAACACCAATATGATAGTGTCATACGAAATCATTGATGGTAAATGTGCCACATAAGAACGATAAACAAAAATGTAGGGTAGGATACAAAGCTTTAACCTGATAGTATGCCAAAAGCCTCCCCACTTCTACATGTCCTTCAGTGATTTTAGCCCTTTTCCTGAGCTTTTCAATAATGTCGACAGATGGCTCTTCAACATGCCCTTCAGAATCTTGTGCTGATGAGTGTTTTTTACCTAAGCCTGAAAAATCAAACAGCAGCTGTGAACTTCCAACCTGGCCATTCTTGTTATATGATCGGGAAGATACTATACCTCGTGTGATATGTTTTGGAGCAAAATCCTTGTCTGAAAGTGGAAATTTCTCCTTTTGATTTTTGTATTGGAGTTTAGACAACATGGATGCTAAAGTATTCCATTGATCAGTGAGAGTACAAAGATATATGCAATCAATTGTCACCTCCATGGCTTCAATTTCATCCCTGAAAAAACCACCTGTTTGAAGATCCTTACAACCTTCCTCAATGACCACCAAGCAGATGTCCATGTTATTCTCAGAAGCCTTCTTCTTCAACCATCTCACCAAAAAAGATGCACCATCTTGTGTGTCGACAATCTGAGGCAGATGTGAACCAGAGTTGGTTCGATTTCTCATAAACGGGAGCGCTATTTCCCGTAGTCTTTTCACAACTGTCTCTGCTTTAGTCCCCATAAGCATCACTTCAAACTTTTCATAATCTGATAAATGTTCCCATGTGACAAGGCTCATGGAGGTAGTTGTTTCTTCATCAGTAGAATAGACGAGTTGATGCAAATATGACATATCTTCATGAAATCGCTGCAAGTCAACAATACCCTTGCGAAAGCCAAGGTCCACCAAAGAGAGGGAGTTATCAAGCTGCCCACTAAAGCTATCGATATTTCTTGCCCTATTCTTGTACCATTCTGAAAGTTCAGTCATTTGTGGCCAAACAAATCCCATACAATGCTTCAAGATCACCTCTGTTCCCACATCAACAACAGCATCAAAGCCACTTGATATGTTCGTCAAAAAAGATGCCATCCGTTCACATTCTACCCAATCTTCATCCCTTATAGCAACAGTGGTAGGAGGAGACTTCCCTGGAAGAAGTTGTCCATAAGATCCAACAAGTATTGTTTCAGGGATGGCAGATAAAATTTCCAGTACATTGACTGCAACCGAATAAGGATGCCGTTTAAAGAGCAGGTTCAAGGCCCCGATTTTTCCACTTTCTGCCAGAGAAATACCAGAAGCATGGAGAGGTGCAGACCGAAATTTTTTGTATTCCTGCACTGAGAATCTGAAGAAGTATTATCAGAAAAAAAAAATCTCACAAAAAACACGACGTGGGAGTGATAGTATTTGGAATGAAATTATCTTCAATCAACACTGCATCTTTGCAATAAAAAGATTGTAATATCATAACATTAACACATTACTAAATGTCGTGTAACAAGATTAGCAGGATTGAAATCAATAGGGAAAGAAAAGAGAAATTAACAAAAGAAATCAACTCCTGCTTTATAAGTCAGAAGAAAGCTTGAACCGGAACATATGAATCAGTACATCATTCAAGGAAACAGGGAAGCTCACGACCCTATTATCAAAAACATAAGATAGGAATTCTTAAGACTGGTCAGTGGGCCTTGTCGGTACCAAATAAAAGAGACATAAATCTCTTACTTGGACTTTAGATAAGGTTATCACACCATCCACACTAGACTTGGGTTCTAGAAGTCAAATTTGAGCTTTGGATGTGCCCTCATTCAGGCTGAAGCTCCATGGATGACAAAAGTTTTCCTAAACTAATATTCCCTGAAGGAAAAACGATAAGACCATAAATCCCTTGAAACAGCAGTGTACTCACGTCCAGTCTTTTTAATACACAAATCATCTTTTTGCGTGAAGAGGAACACAGAATGACTTCCTTTCCATCCTCAACAATGAAGAAAAAGAATGCTTGATAATTGCCTGAGCGTAACTCCTGCGCTAAACATGCAGGAAATATCTGTCAGAGATCCCAAGCTTTGCTGATGAAGAGTGTCTAAAGTTTTTGGGCGACAAAGAAAGTCGAGTTCAGTTTTTCAAATGATGGGAGAAATGATAATAAAAAGGACAGGGCAACCCTGAAAAGAACAGAAAATACGCCAGCTAGGAAAGAGGGGACTGAGTGGCATCACGGTATAAGTTCATATCGGTGGTGAATGTTGACGAGGGTGCGAGTGAGAATTAATGAGTGATAATCTTATAAAATACTAGAAAAACATGTGAGAGAGAAGACAAGTGGAGTCTCCCATAGCTTCTTAGTGTAAATAATATATTCTACTACAACAATGATGTCCTCTTGCCAAAGAAGCCAATTAAATATTTATTTGAATATGATGAGCTGCTAATTCCAACAGATAGGTCTTGAATAAGTCAGTAGTTCTTGAGAGAAAAACAAGTAAGCTACTGTTTAATCACAACTTTTTTTGAACCACAGTGCGATCGATCATTCCACGTCACAATCAAGACACGTATCTGAATACCCCTCCATTATGATGGCTATATAAATCTCTGACGTTGCCAGAGCTCTTCCAGATAGAACACAGTTCCCCAACGTTTGAAGGCATGAACTATTTTTACCAAGTCTACTTCTTCCCATCCTTACCAACTGAACAACAGTACAGTCATGCACACACACGGACACAACTCTAAATTGATTTTACCACGAATACATATTTCAAATTAACTACAAGTAGTTTCCTAATCGCGAATTATCTAACCTTTTACAGTAAACAGCGATTACTGCCTTACGAAACCAGTATAATTCCATAAATTTCAAGAATTAAAGAAGAAGAGAAGAATAAACATTATAAATAATGAATACAAATAAACACGGCTACTAGAAACTTCCATATATAATCATACCTTCCCATGTTTATCCCCAAAAAAGTTTCCAACCTGTCCCTACACTGCAGTAACTTGAGTCTCATCTTTCGAAAGTTCCACACAGGACTGTTCTGATCATCTTCCAAGTTGAGGAACCTGTATTGATCAGTAATAAAAAGACCATACGAAAGTAAAGCCCTCACTGCATCTTCAGTTGGTCCCTTATTTACACATTCAGAAAGTACAAACATCTGATCCTTAATGTTTGGCAAGCACGTATTTATTTCATAAATCCCTTGATCAGAATGCAACCACTGTGATTTAAAAACGTCATCCTTCTCAAGTCCATGACAGTTAGCGAAATCCAATGCATCTTGATATTGTTGACTGTTAATTAAAATATCATATATTTCTGAAATAGATCTCTCCACGAATGACATTAGGCTCCAGCAACATTTATCAGCGGATAGATGTCCGTGGTTGTCAGAAGTTCCCTCAACAACATTCCAAGTTTCCACAGATTCTTTACGCTGAGAAAGAACAGGATTCCTTCCCTTTGATAACCCATCTTCTAAAACAAATGTATACCCTTCATAACACATAACTCTTCCTAAAACAGGAGCATGGAGCAGTAGATCATTCTCCAAAGCTTTCATACCACCACAAACATCAAACATGGTTACAACACCGCTCTTCTTTGCAATAATAACAATGTGATCAGACCACCAAGAAACATCAGCAACATCACTTAGGAGCTCCCTTGCCTCAAATTCCACGCCTACCGCTTGTGAACTATTTCTCTTGTCAAAAGAGATAAAAGAAAGAAAATATGGTTGACATTTGAGGCTAAAAATATTCACACATCCAGTCAGATCTAATGTGGAAACGTAACTACCCTTTGGTGAAATGATAACTTTGGGAATTGTGAAAGAACCTCCATAATCTTTTGGCATTGAAAATAAGCCTTCGACTTGAGAAGAACAAAAAACTGATTCCAGCTCATTATTATTTGTTATACGCCACAAAGAAAGAGAATAATGTCCTGAAATACATGAAAAAGCAACATTCTCAGATTCCCCACGTGAAGCACAATACAAGAGCATATTTTCACAATCACTGCTAAGTTCTTACCTGACTCACGTGGGTAGCTCGTAGAGATGCCAACAACAGCAAGTAACACTATTAAGGAAAGACCTGGATGGTAGTCCAAGCATACCACATTCGGAGTGAGTTGTCCCCGTGATATGAGTTGACTATTGAGCACGGGTATGGAGAAAATGCCTGAACTTGGATCTTGTGTAACCTCGATATGGTGAAGCAAACCATCAGCCGTTACTATGCAGAAGCCACACCTGTAGAAGTTATGTCAGCCAACAAAAGGTAAAGAAAAACCTCGTACCAGATCTTTGGCCCATAAAGGTATCAGAAAGCAAAGATTTTATACAGCCATAAATCAGAAAAGTTAGAGCTTACAGGCACGACTTCTTTGCATTGAGGTCATCAAGCACAATCAAGTCAACAATTGGTGCAGAAAGTTTCAGCTGGCTCGCTGTTGTACTGGTGATCTCCTCACCATTCGATTTAATAAAGAAAACCCTGTCCATTTGATCAACAACCCCAAGTATACCTTGAGGTTCTGACCAAGCACCATGAGCAAAAATACTTTGCTTGTGATTGCCTGGTAGCACAATATACCCATTAGGAAATGCTTGACTAAGACAAAAGTAATAAAAGGTACGTGACCTGAAAAATCATTGAATTGAAGCATATGTTCCTTGGTATTTTCCAAGAGGATATGCTTAATCAAACACAGAAATAGCTTCCGAAAAGGAATTTCTGCATGAAATTATGTCCGGTGCAATGCAAGTAAAGTTGAAGTTTAAAAAGAACACTGCCAACAAGCCATTAAAGATAAGAATACTGGACAAGCCAAAAAGACAAAGATGAGGATAGACGATTGTAATATTAGTACCCGATTTTGAGCACCAAGACAATTATTTTATCAAAATTGTAAAACAATGTAAATAAAGGAAGAGACCTACCAACTCGAGAGTTGGTTCAATTATTTTTTGTCATTGATTACCAGTTGATGAAATGGAAGACACAAAATGGATGAAAGCACGGAGAGGAAGGTGAGGATAAAATGGGAGAAAATGTAAAAGGAAATATCACTGATCAACTGATTTAGGAAAAAACATGGCAGCGACGACTGCCAAAACCCAACACATCAAGTATACGCAGGGAGATGAGTCAGTGCCAAGTTGTAACACAGTGGGAAGCTGGACATAAAGGGGGACGGCATTTGAACTTGGGAAAGAAGCCGAAGTCCACTGCAACAAAAAAATGTACAATTTCTCAGCTTCCCTCTGTGAAGGAATCTTTTTTTTTTGTTGTTTATTTTCCTTCTGCCTTTTGGGAACCCTCAAGAAGGCAACTTTGTGAGTCTAATTAGATGCCCATGTTGATATTTTTAAAAGAAGTCTAAAGCATCTCGAAAGCTTTTCCCGGCATAATCTCTTCTTGTCACTACATCCACATCCCGCTAATAAAGCCATCTTCCGTATCATCTGTTATAATATTTCCAGATATCAACCTAATTTTTCATTTTAGTAGTTAAAGACTTCCAAAACAAGAGAGTTTTTCTATTTGTTGTTCATAAAACTCTTCTTCGGTCTACTAATAATGTCATGGTCACAAAGTACTTCAAAACAATTCGAATCTAAGATGGCAACTGTATTGGAGGAAAAATAACTTTTCTTAAAACGGATCCTAAAACTTCTGTCGAGAAACAAAGGAAAGGGAGGTATACACATGCATTGGTAACGTACGCTATGCTATAACCCAAGATACCCAAACTAACAGATTCATGTCTTTCCTCAGCATAAAAATTTTCACACATTTTTTCTTACCACATAACCAATTAAGTACTTTATCAGCTGAAGTATCGGCCTTCTAAAAATAAATAAGTTTGTCTGACTCCAGATTGCACAGACGGTGTAGGTCATTTTAGGACCTAAATGCAAGTTCTATACCTCTGCTTAAATGAGCACACCATTGTATGCACAGTGAAACTGTTTCAACACGAAACAGCCAAATTGAATCAAAGTGCATAGCAGAAAAAATTCCAGGAGGAACATCTGAGCATCCTTTGCATAGGAAAGATATAAACAGGAAATCAACCAATCTCATTTGGGTCCAACAATGTTTAGAAGAGACACCACTATTAGAAAAAGATGGAAGAATGAGTCCAGCCAGTTCAGCCAATGTAATGCAATGTGGACCAGATCAGTGGTAACCATCAGGGGATCTGATTTGATTAGAAAGACCATACACAAACCTAGATATCTAAAACGACTTTTCTAGCTAATAATTGACTGTTTTAAATAGATACTCATTCTTCAATTGAAAACATACCTCAATCATAAAAATAATTAGATTCTGAAGGATCCTTAGGCCAAGATTGCAATGTTATCCCTCCGTCATAACCAATAACAGCATGTTGGGTATAAATAAGTGATAAAAAGTGGCTTGAATAGACTTCGAACCTCCTATGAACCAGACAAGAAAAATTAAACCAACCTAAAACCATTTCTTAGTCACATAATCATGTATATTGCATATTCATCATTATTGTTTCATTGAGAATAATTATTAATCTTGTTCTCGGTTCTAAAACTACGGATGTAATAGATCTAAATTGGCCCTGTGAGTTCATTACTTAATTATTGTTTCAGAAACTAGGCAGTACTTCATATTCAAAACGTCACCTACACAAGAACAATGGCCTATGCCAAGACGCTGCAGACTTATCAGCAAATTTAAGCTTTCCAGAACTGCAGAATAACCTCCTTCATCGTGCAATAGCACCCTAGCCCGTACTGACACCAGGTGAACCAAACACGGAAAACTATTATCAACAATTGCTCTACTCACAGACACCGTACCTTTTCATCAACTTAGAGTGTCAATTCCATTCCCAACATCTCCGAACTGCCTCCATAGATAGTAGGAGTCAACTAAGGTTTGTCATAGTGAACCAACTCTGCATAATCTGACATGAGGGGTACCTTAGAAACAAATGATTAATCTTGCTCTCCTTCTTGAAAACGTATAAGACATGAACTGTTTACACAAATGATGAGCTAATTGATTGCAAGAAGGAAGAAGTCCACATGAAGTTCCCCACAACAAGATAGTCCCTTTCAAAGGATAAGGACGCTCCAAATCCAAGGTGCCACAAGATGTTTGAGTATGCACTCTATTATTATTACACAATCTACCTTTGAACCTGGCATCTATGGCAACAGTTCAAGAAGGATAGCTTCAGAAATCTTCAAATTTATTGACCTCTTCATCCTGGACATTCCATCTAAATGTCGCATAGCAGCACCCTTGTTCTACACTATGATCAAAACTCTTGACCATTCTTATGCAAGGATCCTCTGATACCCAAAAGAATAGCTAAAATTGTGAAAGTAAAGCCATGCTTCCACATGCGTCCTCCAAAAACAAAAGGCAAAGCCAACTACTGAGACAAATCTCACTGTCCCCCGTCCTACATCACTAGAATGCAAGTTATCATATAACTCCCCTAGTATATACAGCATTATTTAACAGTCTCCAGCCACAGTACTTCTTTCTTTCCTTCCCAATATCAAAATGCAAGGGAATCTGCAAAAAGCCCAGGTGTTTCATGATCAAAATGTAAACGAAGGAGATATACATCTCTTCTCCTTGATTAGATGTAAACGAAGACTCTTGGAAAATACACTAAAAAGGAAGAGTTATTTTCTCAATGCATAAAGCTAGCACGATGATGGACAAAGTGGCTAATGGTTGGGAGCTGAGATGGAAATATCAAAGATTTTGGTTGACTGCGAGGAACCAAACGGAAAAACGTTGTAAGATAGATTTAAATATCAACATCAAACGGAAAATTAGTACATCCTATGGCATTTCCCATATCAGTAGAAACAAGGGTATCTCTTCATAACCCTCCATCAAATCAAATTCCACAACCACTCGCTTAATTGTGCCAAATTGAGTCCCCTAATACTGTGTCGTGGGAAAATATATATCCCATTAATTTTCAGTGTTTGCATCCACTACTGTGTCAGAAAAAAACCTTTCTTGTATCGTGTCTAATCAATTTGGCACATCTTTAGAATAACAGATAGGGATAATTAATACGTCAGTAACTTGATATTTAATACAGCCTGCCTTAAATAGAACTTCTGCAGGAGTATATCTTCCTTTCCAAGGATTATACTGAATACTATTCAGAAAGACAATTTTTGTAGCTCAAACATCAAACAAACAAGCTCAACCTTAAAAAAATTCAAATGAAAAAAGCTGAGACCTCTGATAAAATTAAAATATACAACAGCTTGCAAACAAAAAACAATGATTTTTATTTCTGCTTCTAGGCAAAATATATTGTCACTAAAAACAGCATAGATCACTCGTAGTAAGCAGCAACCCAGATCTATAAAGAACGAGTAAATTTTCATAAGTCAGAGTAACCTTACTAATAAATATGCCACATGGGTTCATGTAATTGTCATCCTTCTGCAAAACTGTTATCCGGTTATTAGCAGCTACACCAACGTGTTCGCCATTGGCAGAGATAAACAAAGACATCTTTCTATTCAATGATCTTGGCAACTTGTTTCCACTCCATTTTTCTTTGAGTTGGCGTAAACCTTCACAGAAAGTTTTTCCACAATGTTATACTCACCGAAATACTCCATCGAGTCTGAGTAAGAACATACAAAAAAGAACATTTTTTAAAAAAGGAATGTAAATAGAAATAAAATACGTGGTCTTCATATAAGATACCACTTGTTCTCCATCGGTTGTCGAAGGCCAACATTATATTTCACGTTCATCAAAATCATAGGCAATGGAAAACAACTTCGGCGAATAAATGAGAGAGAGAGCGAGAGAGAGAGAGAGAGAGGGAAACAAACCCCGTAGAGAAAGACGAGAGAACAGGCCACCTTCACTAGCTTTATTCGCCTATATTGCCATGGCCGAATTCATCAGTTGCAGGTATAAAAGAAAACGAGAGAAAGAACAATTGAAGTACCGATCACCTGCTCCAGTAGCGCCTGATGAGAAGAACTAGACGACCACGCCGCATGGTACTGTGTCTCATAGAGCACCTCACCCACCTTCCCCCTCCCTCCCGCCATCACTCTGCCACCCCTGACCAACTAAAGACCAGGTTTTTCCCTCCCAACCTAACACACAGAGACGATATCCACAGCGGCATCCATCTAGGCAGCGGAAGAGGGGAAATTCCTGCGACCCAGGCCCCCGGCAGAAAATTTCCCCCCCGGCCGGTGCAACCCCTCCGAGGACCGGACCAGCTTCGCCGTCCGTCCTTGAGAGATAAAGGAAGAAGGAGAACGTCCGAGGAGATCCCGAACGTCTGCCCCAGCCAGCAGCGTGAGAATCGCCGCCACTCCGGCGGCCAGATCCAGCGGAAACCTGTCCGATCCCCCCGCCGGCCTCCGACCCTCTTCGATCATGCTCCGTTACTGCCCTTACCGGCCACCCCTCGCGCTCTTCCAAACTCTCCTCCGAGCCTCTTGGATTTTGAACAAGAGACTGTGCCGGCCCAGTTAGGCCCATCTCTGGTCATCCGAGGCTAATAATTAGAATCGCACACTCTTTCTAATTCGATCTTATATGATATTGATCACATTATCCTGTTAGAATTATCTGAAAATAATTTTCCTGAATAAATTGATGGTTAGAGAAAATTATTTGAAAAATAAATATATGACAATATTTGCGCAATACTTCTATACTTCTTGGTTAATGAGACTATATTACGCAATTTAATTATTCTCTCCATCTCTCTCAGTCGCTATTTCTTAGGTAATATTTAAATGGTAAAATAAAAAATAATATATTAGTAAAAAAATATAATGGTATTTATCTTTAAAACCAGTAAATGAGAGGCATTTAACCATCGCCCTACCAATATATTCGTTTACCATTAATGATAGAAATGTAGTTCATAAAAAAAACTATTATTATGTTCTACTTATGCATGCACTATGGTTATACCAATAATTATTTTATTAAAAAATTAAAGGCAAAAAATATTTTTCGTAATATTAAAAAAAGCCACCTAACCAATTACCAGTCATTACAAAAATTCAAACCTGAATCATAAATAGTTGGTTTAACACCGTAATGAGAAGTATATTAATTGAAAAAAATGATTATAAATAGATATATTCACGTTGCTTTTACCATAAATGATAAAAATGTAGTTCATAAAACAAATAAATTATTTTCTACTTATCGACAGATCTGGCCTGCCCGATCTCGTAAATCATTCCATGTGATGAATATCTGATGGGTTATCTCTTAATGAAGATTTACGATCATATATGGGCAACGTTGACTTCTAGCTAACAGGATATCCACTGATGTGCTTCCATCATGACAGTCTCTCATGCATGCCAAATGAGAAACCCCAAGGAAGTCAACGGATTTCCAGCCTGGAGATTCACAGAAAGAGAACAAAACCACAGCGGCGAGAATTGAGCAAAGCCATCCTTGTTGCAGTAGTTGGAGGATGGGGGGGGGAGAGATCAGGGCATCCCCATTGCATAGCTTGAGGACAGGGAAGGGGTTCCCACTGCTTCACTCTGGCTGAAACACCTCCAATTAGCCCTCTGCTTCACTGAATTCGTTCGCAGATGACAGCAGCGATGGCAAATAATTACTACAGAGATCAAGATCAGTCCCCCCGGCATTGATGGGTAGCTGCCAGGATCAAATAGAAACAATAATAATGAAGCAATGATACGTGATTGCATCAGAATATGTAATTTAAGCATTCATTCATAGGATAAAAGAAGGAGATTTGAGCATCTGCAAGATACGAGGAAGACACAAAGCTCTGCTTCATCTCGGAAGAGTGTTCATGTTCAAGCATCGTTGAGGAATCCTTCCTTGCGGCCTTCGAAACCAGGGCGCATGAGCTTCTTCTCACGCTTCTCGATCTTTCTCAGCTTGGTCTGATGGATCCTCTCCTTTATGTTGTCTGACCGCTTCTTCTGTTTCTCAGCCATCAGCTTCTCCCTGGTCTCGGATCTCTCTTTCCATTTTTGGGCATTCTTCTGGTGCTTCTTCTTCTCCTTCTTTATGCTTTCCTTCAGCAGCTTGGGGTCGTCATGGACCTTCACACCCGCTGCTCTGTTGACAGCTGCCTTCCACGAGTGCTTCTTCGAGACCACTTCCCCCTTCTCTGGGTCCTTCTTTGCCTCCTCCAGTTGCTTCGCCATCTCTAGTTCTTGCTGCTTGGACAGCTTCTTCTTCCTCTTCTTAGCCCCTGCGTAATCCTTATCTCCGAGCTTGACATGGCCAAAGGAAAGGTCCACCGAGGAAGGATCCTTCTCCTTCTCCTCTGGTTTCTTCTTCTTCGTATCGGAGACGTCTTCCTCGGATTTATCGTCTCTCTTCCGCTTCCCAAACCCTAAATCAGCCTTCTCCCTCCCCTTCCCCTTCATCCTGTCGTCCCTATGCTTCCTGGGATGGTCGGCGGGACGAGTGTTCCTGGTGGAGCGGAGTTCCTCCAGACGGCGGTGAAGCCGCTCCCGGAGCTCCTCGTAGGTCACCACACGGTCGGGGGCGGTGGCGGGGGCGGCGGCGGGGGCGGCGTCCTCCGGCTCCTCGTCTTCATCGGCGGCGCCGCCGGAGTCCGGCTCGGACTTCTCGGCTTCGGCTCTCTCCTTGAGAACATCGAGAGTGGAGGACGACTTCTCCGGGTCGAGGCGCGCGCGGCGGGACTTCTTGGTGTTCTCCCTGGTCTGCTTCTTAGCGGCGGCGCGTTCCTTCTTGCTGAGCCCTGCGTACCAGGGCCGATCGTCGGCGCCATCGGCTGAGAGGTAGAAGCGTGGGGGGATGAGGTCCACGAGGCGGTCGAAGAACAGAGAGTGATCGCGGATCAGGTCCTTCAGACTGGACGAGGAGTTGGCAACGCCGGCGAGGCTCGCGCCGGAGGGGGGTTCCGGCGTCGCCGCCGCCGGCGATTTCTGGCTCTTCTTCTTCTTCATATTTTCACCTACCTTCTTCCTCCGCCCCCCGTTCACGAGTCTTTAAACCCTAAGACCGGTGAAGGCCCATTAGCGTCAAAATTATTATGGGCCCAATAATTTATTTCAAGGCTGTTATTGTGGTGGTGAGGACGGCCCTATCCCTTCCACGGCTAGCAGACAAGCAAGCGTCTCCTCTCCTCGCCTCGCCGTAGCCGTGAATGGACGCCTTGCCGGCGCTGTCCTCTGACCTTCGGCGAGGGACCCATCCCGCTACAAACGCCGGTGAAGCCCTTCTCTTCCTCCCGCAGCCCGCCGTCGCCTGTAGTGGCGCTGTGCCGCTTTCTTCCTCTCCCCTCGCCCACCGGCGGTCCCCCGGCGGAAGGACCCTCCGGGCGGTGCCGCCGTACCCGCCGGAACCTCGCCGGAGTTCCGCCCGCCGGAGTCTCAGCGCCGGCCCACTGTCGTCCTTCCACAGGAAGGCGGCAACCGGATACGCCGCCGCGCTGCTGGACGCCGCCCGCTGCGGCGGCACCATCGCCGCCATGGAGAGGGACGTGCGGAGGTTCGCGTGGGGGGTCCGCGCCTTGCTGGCCGACCCGCTGGTGGCGGAGGAACTGAAGGGAGCGGCGGTGAGACGGGCGGCGGAGGAGGGCGGGTTCTGCCGGCAGCTGGTGACGCTGGTGAGGATGCTTGTGGGGAAGGGTAAGGTATCCATGGTGGGCAAGGTGATGGAGGAGTTCGAGCGGATTCATGGCGAGCTCACCGGCAAGCGGGTTTCTCTGGTCTCCTCGGAGGAGATGATGGCCGTGGACTAGCTCTCCTCCGGCGCCACCATGGTGAACGAGACCGAGAGAGAGAGAGAGAGAGAGATCTTCTTGAACCTTTCTGGTTCGAGTGACTCCATCCACAACTTCCCTTCAATGAACACCTCTCGCTGGGAATCGTCAACCTTCCTTCTTTACGCTCATTGACAGCTCAAAGTAGTAAGTCAACTCTGAGAGAGAGAGAGAGAGAGAGAGAGAGAGAGTAAACCTCCGGTAAAGAACACATTTTTATAATCTCGGACGTGTAGAACATCCATTTGAGCAAGCATTAAATTAAATATACAGCATTTTTTACAGACATCCAGTTCATGGACAATACTTGTCCAGCAGAATAAATGAACAACATTTTTGCAAATATTGGATGGATTTTCTAAATCTCCTTGCTTACCCGTTTGAGGCATAAGACAGTGCGACATGCAGGTTTCTTCAGGCTTTCGATGCTTCATCTTTCCTGAAACTTCCATATTTGGCATATGGTTGTGCGTATTATCACGAAATCGGGCAGCCCTCTGCAACCACGCCTCTAGCGGTGGGGCAGGAGGCCAGAGAGCATCCATCTAAGTCGTTCCCCCACCAGCTGAGGCTGATATTCTCCAGACCCAGGCAGAGATAAAGCAGCACCGCCATGAAAGCCAGCCCGGCGTCCAGGGCGCCGGAGAGGACGTAGTTGTGGCGGCGCCACCACTCGCGGCGGTACCTGTAGACCACGAAGCCGGAGAGAAATCCGGCGAGGAGCCAGGTGGTGTAGTTGACGGCGGTGGCCGGCAGCATGCCCCCGGTGGCGCCGATGAGCACCGGCATGTTGATGAGCCGGATCCACTCCTTCTGCGGGAAGCCCCGGTGGGCTAACCAGACGAGGAGTGGGGCGATTGCTCCGGCGAGGAAGTACCAGTTGATGGCTGAATAGGTGCCCAGATCTCCGAATATCCTGCGGGGCCCAATGAGGCCCCATATGACTGATGCGTCATAGAATACGTGGTCAGATGGGCAGGTCCACGGACTGTCCGAGGCCAGCAATGCTGTGTCGCAGATGTCGGGAATGGATTCCATGAGCCACCATGCAGTCCCCAGGTACACCATAGCGGCAATGAGGGTTCCAACTACCTGGCAGATGATTATCATTCCAGGGTCATTGGCAGAGGTAAAATGATTACTAAGCATGATTTCTAATAACGAGATTTTTGTCTGATAGAGCATTATGCAATATGGAAGGAGTCGAATTAATGCTCCGGTTTTTGGTGAGTTTATCTGATCAATTACCCAAATAAGCATGATTTCTTAAACAGTGACTGTAAGATTGAACATTACGCAGCATGAAAATGCATCATATTGAACCATGATTTCTTATAACAATAATATGTAAGATTGAAAGTTATCCGGCATGAAAAGACATGGTATTTAAGCTGGTGTTTTTGGTATGCATATGGATCATGGGCCCAATAAGCTCAATTTATTAAAACCCAGACTATGTAAGGTTGCAGATTATGCCCCATGATAAGCCAGCGTATTTGAGCTGCAGTTTTTGGGTGCTTGTGTGCTTGTGATCTAATGACCCAATAAGCCAGACTCCTGATGACCATAACATGTGAGATTGAGCACTCTGTGACATGAAATGGCTCAATTCTGATTTAACATTCTGCTGATCAGATCCATAGGCTTTGTTGGTCTCCACTCTGGTTCCTGAATTACAAATGTGTTCAGTTCAGGGAGGAATCACGCTTGCCAGGATTATAAGATTCATATGCTTTCATAATGATGCTGAGCGTTGACTCCGAGTGATGAGAAAAAATGTTCTGATAAAAGCCAAATCTTAGCCATCCTTTCATATTTTTCGGCTGTTATGACTTACAAATGGTATGATGTAGTATAAAATGAAGGTCAAAGGCCTGCAAGTGAGCTGAACCCTCTAGGTGGTTGTGCTCACATACTGGTCATCGCTATTTTTATGCGGGTAATGGAAATAAATAACTCCTCTTTTGAATGAAGAAACCAATCAATTAAAGATCAAACCAACCTGTGCCATGAACATTGTTCTCGGAGGGATCTTCATATAATGGCCGAGTTTGAAATCTTGAAGGAATGTCAACGCCTGTGTCATACTTATGTATCCATACACCTTAAAACACATGTTAGCCACTGGACGCCCTGGATATAGATACCCCATAATATACTCGGTGATGATATTCAAGCCTGGTGTCTACAAAGCATGCATTGGGTCACATAATGTTGCAGAACCTAGATTAAAATGTCTCTCAGCAATAATCTGGTGATTTACCTGGTTTGTGGTGGCTGTGATGATTCCAATGGGTAGAGTGAAGAAGAAGGCGAGAGCACATGCCAGCAGGACGCCCCACCATGGCAATTGGAGTTGCTCGTTGTAGTACTCACATGCAAATACTGTAAGAGCAATATTAGCCAGAAGAATGCAGATGAACCACCATTCAGGAACTTGCTGGTATATGCTCATGAGCCTCGTGTGGACGTTCATCTTATTCTCTTTGAAGGCAGACTTGCTCAGCAGATATACTTCTCTGTGCATATTCACGATCACATATGTGAGATTAGTGGCATTGTTTTGCTTTTCGTAATGATTTTGCAGAAATGAGCTGTGGCACTAATTTTTTTTTGTGAGATTAATATTAATTTCCAAATTCCTAATTATAATTCATATGGTGCTCGATGGAGCCGTTCGAACTTAGACATTCATGGGAATTTTTTTTCATTTTCGTGATGATTCTGCAGGAATGAACAGTGGCACTAAAGTATATTTGTGAGATTAATAGTAATTTTCAAATTCCTAATTATAATTCATCCAACGCGTGATGGAGCCATTAAAACCTGGACATTCATGGGAATTTTTTTCATGTTTGTGACGATTTTGAACGAATGAGCTACGGCAACGAACTATACTTTGGTAGATTAATAGTAATTTTCAAATTCCTGTTATATAATTCATCTAAGAGGTGTAGATTTGCCGATGAATATCCGAGTATGGACGGAACCAGCATGTAAATGATGAACAGAAATATGGATTGAAAGGATACTGATTCAATGACGCAGATCATTTCTTTAAAATCGTCATAAAAGAGAAAGTTTCCCATGAATTTCCAAGCTCGAATGAAATAAGGATTAGGCAGATGAATTATAAAGAAGAATTTGAAGAATCTTAGTCAATGTCGTGGACACATTTCGATCACACGGCTCATTCCTGAAAAACCGTCCCTAAAATGGAAGCAATGCTAGTATTTTTTTCTTCCACGGGGGGCATTGGTCGTAGCCGAAAGTTTCGTTCAAACTCGAGAATAAGCAATGTCATCGAATCCCTCACCTTCCGTGGAAGAGGAGGACGTGGGCGAGAGTGGCCGTCAGGGACGCGAACCCAACTCCGTAAGTCATCGCAAAAAAGGTGCTCAAATAAAGGGGCCCCTCCTTCTCGTAAGCCTCGAGATCGAGATGGAAGTTGTCATTGATGATGCTGGAGACATTGTAAGGCTGGCCGGAGGAGGTGAACAGCCCATCCGAGAATATGGGGAAACTCTTCGCCTTGTAGACGTTCAGCCAGTAGGCCGCCGGCGTAATGACGTACATCACGACGAAGAAGCCGGCGGCAACATTAGCCGTCGCGAACCAGGGGCTGGCCAGCGGGCTCCCGAGGTAGGCAGAGATGGTGGCCCAATCGAGCCCTACGGCGCCAACCCCGAGCCCGTAGAGCCCCGATCCAATCTGCTGCCCGAGAACGGAGCGGGGAAAAAACCAGCAGATCCAGGAGAGCGAGGTCAGCATCTGGAAGAGGTACCCGGGGAAAACGTAGTAGGCGAAGCTGCAGACGAAGGCGACCAGAAAGAACTGGTTCCTCGTCATGCTCCCCTTCGACCTTTCTTCTTCCTCATGCAGAGCTCTGCAACCAGGCGGGAACTACTCAAATTGGGGCCCAATAATAAACCTTAACTTAACAATTTACCCTCTAAAGGATTCTATTTACGTGTACATCCATCATGTATTATTTCCGTGTAAAGTTACTATAAAGTCCCTAGGCGGTTAATGTCGCGGTCAACTACCCCTCGTCGACGCGCAGGCTGGCAACGTGGACGGTAATGTGGGGTACGTGGAGGAACAGGACCCTTGCGAAGAGTGGTCGGTAGACCGAAAGGTAGAGAAAGAGAGGGAGAGAGATATACCGGAAGAGGGAGACCTGCACGAGGTTGTAAGGCCACCACATCGCCGCCGGCTCGACGAGATACCGCCGGAATATTCCGGCCCACCCGAATCCGAGCACCTGAGATCTCAAGCACGGCTCAGCCGGCGGCGGAGCGGCGGGGGAGGAGAAGAACAGAAGGAGAAGAAGAGGGGAGGCACCTGAGTGGTGAAGACCACGAGGAAGGAGACGAAGAAGGTGATGTGCTTCTTGTAGAAGACTTTAATGGCGGTGACGACGTGGATGGCGTAGACGCTGCCGGCGCCGGAGTTGGCGAAGATGGTGATGAGGACGTGCTCCTTCACGTTGAAGGGCCCGGGATTCAGGGAGAATTCCCAGCGGGTGCCGGCGAGGAAGGCCCGTGATGGCAGCGCCGCCGCCATCAGGCGGCCCAGCGGCACGACGGCAATCTGGGCGGATATGGAGGTGATGGTGAGGGGTTCCTTCCGGTACCAGAAGAACTGGTTCAGGAAGGAGAGGACAACGCAGGAGAGGGTCCCCAGCACCCACATTCGGAAAGTCAGCACCGGCAGCGCCGGGTCGTCCGTCGCCGGCACGGTCAGCGCCACCTGCTCTATCGGTGAGTTCTCCTCCTCCGCCACTGCCTGCTGTTGCTCCGACGACCTCCCCGCCTCGGAAAGCAGCGGATCTTCAATCCGGTCGTCTTCTCGGGCGATCCCCCCCCCCATCTCTCCTCTCGCTCTCTTTCTCTCTCTTTCTCTCTCTTGGAGAGGGTAGATGACTGTCTGTGGGTAGATGATGGCACTGAATCTTCCCACATTTTAGGACGCATTCGTCTGAGAAAGCGAGAGGCATTAGGATTCCTTGCTGAGCTGTCGACGAGGCTCCCAATCATTCCTCATATTCTTGAACTGGGGCCCACGCCCCCCGCTGACACGTGATCAGCCTGCCAGTGCATCGAAGAGCCGGACCCCCGGAGGCGTAATTTCCTATTACATTTATTTAATTTACCGTAAGTCTTAGGAAAACTATATTTAATATTATGGTTTTAATTTAATACAGTGCTCTACTGTCTGATATGAGGCGGTGAATAACTGGGCCCGTTTTGAAGTCCCGAACAGGAATCCGGCCCATATTAGAGCACCGAATGGGCTGGTGGACCTTGAGAAATCGAGGTCCGAATCCAGAAGCCAAATAAAAATTGGGCCCGTTATGAATTTATTCGGGCCGACTCAAATATAAATTCCCTTCCCTTGTCCATTTATCGAAATCTCTTTTCTGGCCCATAGTTCAGCTCACTAAGAGTCGGCCCATCAGATCCACACACCCCACGAGTCAGCAGCTTTTATTTTCCCATTTAATTTCCGTTAAATTGAAGGCTTTCTATTTATAGCCTCCCACGGGCTCCCCGCCGACGGCGGCGCCGCTGTAATTTACTGCGCACAACAGTTCTCTCTCTCTCTCTAACTGACGGCGACGTTTAAGAGAGAAATTGGGGGTGGGTCCTTCCTTTTTTTTCTTATAAAAAACGGTTTCTGTGTCAGGATTCCGACACGTGTCCTCCTACCCGTGGTAGGGGAGCAGGTTAATGTGGTTTTGTGAACTGGAGAGGAACATCAGAACGTGGGATCGGGTTTCTTTATGGGCTGGCGGAATCGGGGCTGGAACAGTCTTCCTGCGGTTACGCTTCTCTCCAACGGCCAGGCCTATTTATAGGTCCTCACCCCTCCCCATCCCCCCGCTCTAATATATCTCTCTTTCTCTCTCTAGACGCAGATCGAGGGCGGGGGCTTCTCACCTTCTCTCTCTCTCTCTCTCTCTTCCTTCCTCCTCGTCCTGCGGTGGGCGTGCTGGTCGAGGAGGAAGGGATGGCACCGAGGGTGGAGGAGTTGGAGGCCTTCCCCGGTGGGGGGGCGGCGGCGGAGGAGAACTCGCCGGTGCAGCAGGTGGCGATGACGGTGCCGACGACGGACGATACCACCCTCCCGGTGCTCACATTTCGGATGTGGGTGCTGGGGACCCTCTCCTGTGTGGTCCTCTCCTTCGTCAACCAGTTCTTCTGGTACCGCAAGGAGCCGCTCTCGATCTCCTCCATCTCCGCGCAGATCGCGGTGGTGCCGTTGGGCCACCTCATGGCCAGGACCATCACGAGGAAGGTCTTCCTAAAAGGGAGTCGGTGGGAGTTCACCCTCAATCCGGGGCCCTTCAATGTGAAGGAGCACGTGCTCATCACCATCTTCGCCAACTCCGGAGCGGGAAGCGTCTACGCCATGCACATCGTCACCGCCGTTAAGATCTACTACCAAAAGGAGCTCACATTCTTCGTCTCCTTCCTCGTCGTCCTCACAACACAGGTACGCGGCTAGAATTCTCCGACGCCGGCCCACCGTCTTCCGTTACATTTTCCCCGTCCATGTTTTGTTACCCTTCTTGAAGTGAATAAAGTCTCATTCCGCCTGTAAATCTGACGGAATAGGTGCTGGGATTCGGGTGGGCGGGACTATTCCGGCGGTACCTGGTGAAACCGGCGGAAATGTGGTGGCCTTCTAATCTGATCCAGGTCTCTTTGTTCGGGTAAGCTCATCTACCGCTCGACTTCCTTACTATCACCTTCTCGCTTGCATCGTCAAGGAATCTGGGATAGGAAAGAAGGATCAATGGCTACTACTGACGTACATTAGGATAGTAGAGCCCTAGATTCTTCCTCCAAAAGAATATTTGATTATTTCGGCATCCCGTGACTCTAGTTTCGAAACTTTCTCGGATCTCGAGTTTCCTGCGCACCATTAAAAAATGCAAAGCGCAAGCCCTAAATTCACACCCACCCGATGATGAATCCAAAAATACCGTCTCGCCCTCTGATGCAGTATGCAAACTATAGTGGCCATTGGGATGTGCGGCTCTGCTTAGGGAATGGTCCAACGCACACTGTAGGGACCTCTTTATTACTCTTTTCTCGGAGTTGAGATGGATGATGACGAAGGGCTTTTTCTAGGGAAGGGAGAGATTCCCCACCACACCAGTCCCCGCCACATGCGTGGATTTCCAGTGGAACCCGGAAAAGTAGTATAACGAGTGATCCACTTGGTCCTCGTGAAGACTTCTATGGCCCGCGACAAGGAACATGCCTCGCTGGCCCAGGACCACAGTCACTTTCCTACGGCCTCCTATGCCCCGGCCATGTCGCCGGAGGAAGCTTGGAGGACCGATACATTCACTTCTGCCCAGCAGTTCAATGCAGGCGAAAAGTTGTGAAGGATTTAGCGAACCTAGCCCATATTTCTCCTCAATTCCTAGAAATGCTTCATGGTATGGTGGAATAGCTGATAAGGAAAACCCACTGGCAGCCCTGCTCGTGATCAATGCGACCCACCCACCATCACTTTCAAAGCAGTGCGTTGGACTGGTCAGCATCCCACTTGCCCACTGTCATCTGCTTATCTTCTTCTGCCGTCGAAAATGTTTGTTGGTATCTTAAATATGTGAACCTCAAGTCAACGATTAGTCTTTATAAAGCAGTGCACTGGCAAATTGGATTAAACATTGTATGAATTTAGTCACATGATGAGCTGTCACCCAATGGATTTGGACCATTCCCCGAGACTGCCTCCAGTCTTGTCATGTCGCCGTTCTATTTCTGGGAGGAGGTGAGAGAACGCGATTTTCAAACCTTTCCAGCTTTCGTTGTCTTTTCTGAGATATTTTCCATTCATCCGTCAGCATCCGATGTACATCCACTCTCCCTGTCACGGCATGATTAGGGTCTTTTGGTTAAAACTACGGTTCTCAGTAGCCAAAATTGGGGTGGAAGGGTTTATTTTGGTGAATTATTCCTCTTTAAATTTTATTCGATTGTTTATTATCATAATTAGTTTTTTTTCTGCGTCGGAAATTTCCAATTTCCTACGATCAGGATTATTATGAACAGAAAAAAAATATCATTCTTGCATCTCTGATTGCACCGGAACTCTTTCCCCTGTTTTGGGTAATTTTGGGGTGGTGGTATGTGATGAATTTCCTGGGCTGTCGCTCTACCGCAGGGCGCTGCACGAGAAGGAGAGGAGGCCGAGGGGCTCGCTCAGCCGCAACCAGTTCTTCCTCATTTCGTTCATCTGCAGCTTCGCCTACTACGTCTTCCCCGGTTACCTCCTCCAGCTGCTGACTTCCGTCTCCTGGGTATGCTTCGCCTTCCCCCACTCGATCGTGGCCCAGCAGATCGGGTCCGGCATGGATGGCATGGGCATCGGCGCCATCGGCCTCGACTGGTCCACCGTCTCCTCCTACCTGGGCAGCCCCCTGGCCAGCCCCTGGTTCGCCACCGCCAACGTCGCCGTCGGCTTCTTCCTCGTCATGTACGTCATCACGCCCATCTCGTACTGGAATGACGTCTACGACGCGAAGAAGTTCCCCTTCTTCTCTTCCGGCCTCTTCACCGCCACCGGCGACCGCTACAAGATCTCCAGCATCATCGATTCCAAGTTCCACCTCGACATCGACGCCTACGAGAAGAGAGGCCCCCTCCACCTCAGCACCTTCTTCGCCATGACCTACGGCGTGGGCTTCGCCGCCCTCACCGCCACCGTCATGCACGTCCTCCTCTTCCACGGCAGGTAAGCTGGCCCGTTGACCCTATAAACTTACAGTTCCAAGGAGATGGCATGGATTCTCATGGGAAGATGAATCGCAGTGACATATGGAGGTTGACCCGGACGGCGTTCAAGGACCAGAAAATGGACATCCACACGAAGCTGATGAGCCGGTACAAGCAGGTCCCGGAGTGGTGGTTCGTCTGCATCCTCCTCTCCAACATCTGCCTCGCCCTCTTCGCCTGCATGTACTACAACGAACAGCTGCAGCTCCCCTGGTGGGGGGTCCTCCTCTGCTGCGCCATCGCCTTCTTCTTCACCCTCCCCATCGGCATCATCGCCGCCACCACCAACCAGGTAGCCTTCCTCCTCCTCCGCCGCCGTCACTACCATTAACAAAAAGAAGAAGAAGAGGGTAAAGACGGGAGTTTTCTTCTGCAGGCGCCGGGGTTGAACATCATCACGGAATACGTGATCGGGTACATGTACCCAGGGAGGCCGGTGGCGAACATCCTCTTCAAGACGTACGGCTACATCAGCATGACCCAGGCGCTGACTTTCCTGCAAGACTTCAAGCTGGGCCACTACATGAAGATACCGCCGAGGACGATGTTCATGGCGCAGATGGTGGGCACACTGATAGCGGCGATGGTGTACCTGAGCACGGGGTGGTGGCTGATGGAGTCCATCCCCAACATCTGCCTCACCAACCTCCTGCCTGCGGACAGCCACTGGACCTGCCCCATGGACAGAGTCTTCTACGACGCCTCCGTCATCTGGGGCCTCATCGGCCCTCGCCGGATCTTCGGAGACATGGGCACTTATCCGGCGATCAACTGGTTCTTCCTCGCCGGAGCGGCGGCGCCGCTGCTGGTCTACGCCGCCCACAGGATCTTCCCGGAGCAGAAGTGGCTACGCCTGGTAAACATGCCCATCCTCATCGGCGCCACCGGGATGATGCCACCGGCCACCGCGGTGAACTACACCACCTGGATCATCGTCGGCTTCCTCTCCGGGTTCGTCGTCTACAGGTACAAGCCAGACTGGTGGCGCCGGCACAACTACCTCCTCTCCGGCGCCCTCGACGCCGGTTTGGCCTTCATGGGCGTCCTGCTCTTCTTCTGCTTGGGCTCACAGGGCGTCGCGCTGGACTGGTGGGGCAACCGCGAGGCCTGCCCTGTGGCCTCCTGCCCCACCGCCAAGGGCGTCACCGTTGACGGCTGCCCCCTCTTCTAGCCAACCCCCACCCCCCCACCCCCCCTCTTCTCTGGCTCTTGAAGCAGGAAAAAGGATGAAGAAGAAGAGAGAGAAAACATTTATGTACATAGATACAGTTCTTTACTTGGTAATTGTACAGTGAACCCTCCCTCCACAGACGCTCCATCATCCTCTGCTATAACTACTTATTCATGTTCTCTAAGGACTTTCTCAAGATGCGTACTTCTCTGGTTGAATTCTGTCATTGACTGCTGATATCACACTAAGCAGCTATCTCTCGGTTGACCTTCGTCCAAGATTACAAAGGCGGATGAGGTACTGACGTCATATGGGCTAGCAATAAGTCAACGACGGCGTAGATCTGATGGGACATGGGATGAGACTTGTCCCCCACTAGAAACTTGTGCAGGCCACCGTCGATCTCAATGGAGCTGCACCCTGCGGCCTTCTTGCGCTGCACCAGCTTCATCTTCCTCCACGCCCTGGCCACACCCTCCCACCGCCCCGAAGAAGCGTATATGTTGGAGAGGATCACGTAGTTTCCTGGGTTCCATGGTTCGAGTTCGAAGAGGAATCCCGCCGCCGTCTCTGCCAGCTCCACCTCGCCGTGAAAGCTGCAGGCCCCCAGCAAGGCCCCCCATATCACTGAATCCGGGCTCATCGGCATGCTCTGGACCAGAGAGTAGGCTTCCTGGAGAAGCCCGGCGCGGCCAAGGAGGTCAACCATGCAGCCGTAGTGCTGCAGCTTGGGAGAGAGGGAGAAGTCAACCATTGACCCGAAGAAACGCCGGCCTTGGTCCACCAGCCCTCCGTGGGTGCAGGCCTGAAGAACCCCGACGAATGTGATGTCATCCGGGACGACCCCCTTCGCCTGCAGATTTTCACGGTGGTTGGTTTCATGGATTGAGCGAGGAGAAAAAACTCAACTTTGATCGACTGACCCTCATCTTGTGGAACAGCTCGAGCGCCTGGTTCCATCCGCCATGGACGGCGAGGCCCATGATCATGGAGTTCCAGGAGCAGAGGTTCCTCCTCTCGCCCATTTCCTCGAACAGCTCCCTCGCGCGCTCGATGCTGCCGCACTTGGCGTACATCTCCAGCAGGGCGTTGCTCACGAAGAGGTTCTTCGTGAAGCCGTTCTCCATGGCGTAGAGCTCCACCTTCTTCCCCAGCTCCAGGGCGCAGAGGTTAGCACAGGCGGGGAGCACGCTGGCGACCGTCACCTCGTTGGGCTTCGCCTCGCCCTCCGCCCACATCCTGGTGAAAATGGCGACGGCCTCCTCGTACTGGCAGTTCTGCGCGTACCCAGAAACCATCGACGTCCAGGAGACAACATTTCTCATCGGCATGGCCTCGAACAGCGCCCTCGCTGCCGCCAGCTCCCCGGCCTTCGCGTGGCCGCCGATGATGGAATTCCACGCGGGGGTGTCCCTGTGCGGCATTCCGTCGAACACCTGCCGCGCTTGCGGTAGAAGGCCCGATTTGGCGTACATATCAAGCAAGGAAGTGGAGACGTACGCGTCCATCGGGAGGCCGAGCTTGACCAGCTGCGCGTGCGCAGCTCGCCCAGCGGCGGGCGCCGGAACGGCGGCGCAGGCGGCGAACAGGAAGGTGAAAGAGTGGGGATTTGGGGCGCGCGCACGTCGACACATGGCGGCGTAGAGGGCGACGCCCTGTAGGTGGAGCCCATTGGCGGAGCAGGCCTGGAGAATCTTGTTGTAGAGGAACACTGACGCCGCCGCGGCGCCGGCGGACTCGAGCAGGCGGCGGGCGTACCCGACGTCGGGAAGTTCGAGCAGCTTGGAGACGAGGATGTGAGTGAGGTCGAGACCTTGGCGGAGGGCGTGGGCCTGGAGCTGCCTGACGCTGTTCATAACACGAGAGACTCGCCGCCTCAGACGCCCCCCCGCATGCCTGATCGGCCTTTTTCTTCTGTCTGATCAGCCGCAATGCCTGCTCTCTCACCCGCCCCAAAGAATCACTCGGAACCCATTCGGAATGAAACCCTTCTTTTGCCAAAAAAAGAAAGGGAAAGCAAATATCCCATATATTTTCATAGTTTTATGTAAAAAAAGAACTTCTATCGTCACAGATTCTATTTATGAACCCTAATCGCAAAGATATTTCAGGGAAGATCCAACGTTTCATCTCCTACTCCCCACAAAATTGCCCTTGATAACAAAGATGGGTCACGCTTACATCCATTGAGAATGCTCCAACTGGGTGAAATCTCTCTCTATCTCTATCTCTAGCTCTACGTGGATATCTCAGTCAACAATTCCATAAATAGGTTAAAGGAGCCCGTTGACCCTTCTGATGACAAACCTGAAGCCTTCATACGGAGTCCCTCTTCCTGGATTGGACAATGCACACAGAAAATGAGCGATATAAGTGGAACAAGTGCAACCCTGCGAGTTCATTCCTCCCACAAAGTCTGTAGATAGCTTCTTAATACGTCGCAACAATCAGCATTCCTCCATATTCAGCTGATTGATACCTTCTCCACCAGCAACATGATACTATTATTGTGCAAATATAGATTCCTTACTTGGCAGGAAATAACCCAGAACATAGACTCCAAGCTGGATTACTGTAGAGACCTGATATTGCCCAAATAGTGCCAACTCTTTCAATGGTGACCCATGAGAGAGAGAGAGAGAGAGAGAGAGAGATTGGTGATCATTGAGTAGCTTCATGACAACCAAAACAGGATGCGGTAAAACGCCAAAAATAGAAATTTCCGGGAAAACAGGCGAGAAAAACATAGTTTTTTTGGATACCCAGACATAGAACAACAGATTACCTTACATCCTTGATGGGGAAGGTTTAATAAGCCTTGACTTGAGTGCGTCAAACTAATGTCGTTCATCGTTTCCCAGTACATCAAACATGATTGTAATCAATCCCTTGGACCCGTCTGAATGAACCTGGACAGATCTCACGAACCCAGAAGATAAGCTGCTGAGGTGAATCCAAGACCTGTCAAGCCTGTCCAAACAACAGAAAATAGAATGCGAGCTACTCCAGACAAGTTCAACCCCGCCAAGGCCTTTCCCCTCCAAGAAGAAGAAGAAGAAGAAGAAGAAGAAGAAGAAGAAACTGTGGTGGTATCCCAGTGAAAAATCTTGGGGGGCAGCCATTCCAATGTATATATATAAAAAGAATCTAAATGGAGCAGTTGACGCAGGATAGATGGGTCACTTTGTCTCTTAATCTGTGCATCAGCCGAGCAGAATCCCATCATCTCGCTCAATCCATAATAGAACAATTACAGTAAAAAACTAGAGATTCACATCGCACTGATCACGATAAGAATTTCACAGACTAGCATTCTTAGCAAAGAATGGGATTGAATCATTCCTTAAACTGCGCATATCCATTGAACCAGTCTTCCCACACTCAGAGGGTTTCGTGTACTGCAGCTCTGAAGAAACATCATTCAGTTTGTTGGCTGTCTGATGATAAGAATGCTGATGATGATGATGATGATGATGATGATGAGAAGGATTTCTAGAAATCACAAAAAAGCAGCCTAGAAATCTCCCACTGAGCATTAACAACATCCGATTAGCCCAAACGATAAACTTTTCACACTCAATTAGAGCATTAAGAGGAGCACAGCATGAAACCCATGACAATTTTTATATGAGTTCACTGATACGACATATACTCATTTCCATCTCAAAAACACAGAATGCTAGCACCCACTAGATGCTTCGATTCTGCAGTCACAGAAGAGCAAGTATCTAGAAGAGGGCAGTTAAACACAAGTATCTAGATAAGTATCAGGCGACATCACTACTAACGGTTCTACACCCTTGCGGCATTCTAACTATAAATAAACTCCGACTTGAGAAATCTACTAAATCGTCGCTTCACGCACACGAACATCCTCATTCAAACGTACAGACAGCGCCCATCTGGCAATAATTTCAATACAAGTCGTTAATTGATGACGCAACACGGCCGCTCTTTTGAAGTAATTGATGATCGAGAAAGAACGCACAGATCACATGGAAACGCATTCGTCACCTGAAGTTAAAAAAACATTCGTGGGGTCAACGCCTGCCACGAGGCCCACCTGACCTCGGACCAGGAAAACGTGCGAATTGGAGCCTTAAGTTGGCTGAGTCTCGATCGTGCTCGTCAAACTTATAACCTGCAAAATCGAATCGTAACTACTCGATGATACGCAACAGGGCACCCTACTCTGGAACATCCGGTACATGAAGCGAGCTCACATACAGGCCGATCTAACAGACGTCAGTGACCCTCACATTTGGCTTTTCTCAAAGCTTTGGACCACTAAATCACCACTCACGTACCCACTTCATCCGTTTTAAATAGAAATTATCTATCCTTAAAGAATGCAGGAATGAGAAAAAGTGTAATTCATGGGCACTCCCGAATACCAAAGTGAATTCAATACGGAATAAGACTTCTTTATAGTTCCAATAAATTTTCAGGAAACGTAAGACAGATTTGCTAAGTTTCTTAGCACAATCTGAAGAGGAAAAAAGTGCAAGTAAGCACCGTCAATGCTCTCCAAATTGCACAAATAAATCAAAGATTGAATAGTTTATTTAAGTTCCACACCGTCCAGGCTACAGGACTGAGATAAAAGTGGGCGCACAGAATAAATCTACCACTCTATCTTTTATTTCACTTTTTGCCAATATCACTGCTTCAATGGTAACCCAGTTTATTAGCTTGCAGCCATTCCTCATCTGTCGTCACTTGTGACAACAAAGCATCAGCATCGAATTTCTGAAGAATAAATTATTATTTAAGAAGACAGACGGTAAGAGAAATTTCAATCAAACTAAGACCACATTGCCATAACATAACTAGAGACCGTCAAGTTGTTATGCAGTAGAATTCTGCTACGTAAACAGCTCCTTAAACGAAGCCATAGATCACAGATGCACAATAAGACGTGCCCCGGTAACAGCCTAATTTGATTCAAAACACATCGCAATATAGGAGCAAAGAGCAGTATCGACAAAGCCATCGGCATAGAACACTGACAGGTACATGATAATGGATACTATAATTATAAATAGGCGAGACCCACAATATTAAAATTGAAACCAAACTAAATGGAAAGGGAAAACATTAGGAGACATTCTGTTCCTTTTTGTTGTGACAGTAAAATATCAATAAAAGCATCAAATATGGCACCTAGTTGCATATGAAGAAATTTCGTACAAAAACGAAAAGGACAAACAAGCATGATCTTTTCACCTTGTAGGGCATCAAGAGCAATTGCTGCCTGGCCAGGAGTAGAGAAGTCAGCAAAACATAAAACAAGTGGATCACCACCAGGCTGCAACAAATGGGAACAGGTTAAGCGATTAATCAACACGGAGCCAGGAATACATGGCAAGTATATTGAAAACGAAATGAGCACATCTTACGTGTCTGGATTCCTTGGTCACAAGTCGAACCTCCCGAAATCCCACAAAAGGACGGAAAACATCTACAGGTCCAAGCTAAGGAGAATCTATGGAAAATAGATCTGACTTTAAAAAAAAAAAACATTCACAGACAATACGGAGTAAAGACTATCCAAGGATACGAGAAACTTCTCTGCGAGTACAGTTTGCAGGGAGGCCTTCCACAAAAAGAGTGTTGGATGCATCCGGAGGTAAAGACATTTCAGGTCTACCAACATTATACCCCATGCTACGGCTATCCACAGTCCCAACATTCATTAGACGTGGATCCTCGACATGGTGAGCAGGCATTCCTCCACTCACCGGTCGCCCTGGTTCTCCACCACCAAAAGAAGAAACTTGCTGAAAAAAATAATTCCACCAAATAATGTTAGGTAGCTTCCAGCAGCATAAAATAATCAAACCGCTAGCATGCCACATTAATTACCCCATTGCGCAGGTAGCGATCATATGATGCTGAAATAGATTCAGTATCTCTGATTACTTGTTGTCCAACCCTTTCTTCCTCACGGGGCAAATAACCACCATATTCTGGTCCACCAGCCATATCTTCAAAATGAAAGTAGCGTCAGTCAGCAAAACATTTTAGCAGACAAAAAAAAAAACACAAAAACTACATTGTTTCAAAATATAAAATCGAAAACTAAACATACCAAAAAAATGTGCCCTGAGAGGAGCCGAAAGATGTCTAATGACGATTCACTGATAAAACTGGAAATTCTAGCAATACTTGGCACAGTAACTATATTTTCTGAAGCGGTATACAGGAATCCATGAATCATTGATCTGGATTAACGAAGAATGTAGATCACGAAACCAACATATTGTCACCCTCTTAAACTTCTGGCGTATAAAAATTTTATAAAAAATCTTGAGTTCGAAACCATAAGAAAACATGCACAGAATAGTACATAAACTTTGCCTCGTTTCTATAAACCCTTAAAAAATACTAATGGAATAACATGCTTGCATCTTATCAGACACTTAAATCAAAATGTTCAGTTAAGTATCTGGAAAAAATTGAATCATGGCTGTCATTGCCCTGAAATGGTCAAGCTAGATTTACCTGATAGAACTCTTTGATTGTGAACTCAAAAGTCTGTGGACATCTTGATTTTGAGTCATACTATGGTAAAAGCATCTCTCACGCCTATGAACGCACACCATGGTACAAAAATCAACTTGCCCCATGAATATATACCGTGGTACCATCACTTCACTGTTAATTGACTAAACAATAACCAAGTACTAAAAAGAACTCTCCATTATACTTTTTTTATAAACTATATATCTGGAAACTGGAGAATAATGAACTGTCACTATTCTAGTCAAACATTTTAAAAAATACTTTATTAAATATTAGAAGGGTAAAAATTAACTTGGTAGAACTTTTCAGGGATGCTAAACCTTAATAAAACGATATCTTCAAAAAACTAACTAATATCGAGAAATCAGAAACAAAAATATAGAAGTACACCCACAAGGCAAATTGGCCAATAGAAACATCAATACGAGAAGCACCTTCTCTAATAGAAGTATTAATTTTGTGAAATCCACACCAATCTAAATTTAAGAAAAACCAATGACACAAATTACAACCCAACTAAGAAACTCACACGCTAGATCCTCTTTCTAAGTTAAGAATTAAACAAAACCAGCGCCGACTACAAGCTGTGGCCGGAATTATCGAACCATTTAGGAGTACGGCAAACAGAGATTGTTACGGTTCACCATTGCAAACTTATTTTCACCACAATAATTTCCTAATAGGTAGTTCCATGGGAGACGCGTGTAAGCCTTGTCTACATTTTACTCAAACTTACACGTAAAAACCCCTGAAGTCATATTAAGATTTTTCTTCTTTTTTTCCAATGAGAGTTCTAGTTGATTGAAACAATAATTCTCAAAACTTGCTCCGGGCCATCTAATTTTACGTTTCAATATGCCACGTAAAACCCCCTGAAGTCATATTATGATTTATCTTGTTCATTTTTCCCAATGAGAGTTCTGGTTGATTGAAACAAGAATTCTCAAAACTTGCTCCGGGCCATCTAATTTTACGTTTCAATAAGACATCATACTGCTGCCAAATTCCCACAGAAGGGAACCACGCGCCCGACAAATTGCAGATTGAAACCCTAGCACGACGAAGGTGCGGAACCAGAGGCGTAACAGAATCCACATAAGCCGTCGAATCAGCCCCAGAGGCAACACGAATGAAAGAGAACTTACCGGGGTAGTCGGGCCGGGGACGCTTGACAGGGGCGGCAGCTTGGGCGGGCGCGAGCTGTCCCGCCTGCGTCCGCCCATCGCTGTACACCCAGTACCCTTCTGCCATCGTTCTCAGCAACGAGAGGGAAGCCAACCTACGCCAGGAGAGAGCGAGAGGGAGACAGGGAGAGAGAGAAAGAGAAGAGACAGGGAGGGAGGGAGGGAGGGAGAGAGAGAGAGAGAGAGATCGCCTGGTGGAAGAAGAACACACCACGCTATTCGTAGAGACCTAGACCGCCGGCAGTTCTCGTCCTTCTGGGCCTCCCCGAACGGACGGCTGACGGCGTCGCATCAGTGGGGAAGGGGAAGACGTGCCACGCGTTGTCCCGCCAATAATATTTCCTTTTTTTAACTTTCTGGCCAACGAGGATATATGTGCAATATTATTTAAATACTGTCTTGATTTCTGGCCACGTGTTCTTTAATTGTTTTCATAAAACTCCTCAACGATTAGTAATTTTTTTATCTCCTTTACTTTCCGGTTATCTTTTTATCAATAAACCCTTGAAAATAAATTTCCAAAAAAAATATTATTACAAAATATAGTCAACTCCTCAACGAGTATTTCAATTTATTTTAACACCAATAAATAAGCGAAATCACATGGGAGTGCTAGCTTAAATATTTTCCCTCATATATACGAAATGTACAAAAAAATTATCGAGTCAAATATTTTCCATCCAAAATATAGTAAATTAAATATTTACTTAGAAAAACATCCAGTTTGACTTAGAAAAATGAGTAGTCTGCTCCCGAACAAGTCAACCCTGCAGCCTCCACATCAATAAACCAGGGAAGGTAGAGATTTCTGTAAAAATATATCTGTATTCAGCAGCTACTTATCCAAATCAGTAATCCTCCCAAGAACAAGACAACCCAGCGGGGTCAAACGTCAACAAACCAGAAAAAAGACGGGATTTTTACAAAAATTCAGGGATGTGAGTGAGTCTACATCTGGCAGCTGCTCATGGGACCCAGCTCTACGGTTACTGGACTATTCATACTTAGCATCGAAGATTATTCATGGCATCACAGGTCAGAACCCCTCACCGGGCTCAAGCAACCTTGACCTTGGGGACTCTCGCTCTATGCCGCCTGCCGAAGAACTTGAGCAGCTCGTCAACGAGGATGACAGGAGCAGAGACCAGTATGACCAGTAGCCACTCGCTGAAGCTCAGAGGAACGATGCCGAATATGGAAGCCAGCAGGGGAATGTAGAGGATGGCCAGGTGAAGCCCGAAGGAGACCGCCATGGCAACGAGCAGCCACGGGTTGCGCCATGGCGGCATCGACAGGAGGCTGCTGTCCTCTGAGAGTGCATTCATGGAGTTGAACATCTCGATGGCGACCAGCACGGAGAGTGACAGCGTTGTGGCCTTGACCTTCCCTGCGGAGAAGTAGTCGCATGGGTCGGAGAAGCTCACGATGCGGCCTCCGGCGTGGAACGGGGACGCCGAGAAGCCCACCCAATTGGGGCAGGCGCCCCATGAGCGGAGCTGGGCAAGGGAGACCAGCGTGTGGCCGTCGGCTGTGAGGTCGATCCCCATGAACGACGCCTGCGTGTACCAGACGATGAAGATGCCGACCGTCGCCATGCCGACGTAGGAACCGATCACCTGGGTAGAACGATATGAATCAGTAGCAGCGACAGAGAATTGATGGAAGAATCAAAGAACCAGACAAGAACAAGGGCGGGTGCTACCAGGTAGCGGAAGAGGACCCAGGAATTAATCAGGGCCTCGCTGCTCTTCCGGGGAGGCCGCCGCATGATGTCGTCGTCTGCGGGGTTGAAGCCGAGCGCTGTTGCCGGCGGCCCGTCGGTCACCAGGTTGACCCAGAGGAGTTGCACCGGTATCAAGCATTCGGGGAGGCCCAACGCGGCGGTCAGGAAGATGGAGATGACTTCTCCTACGTTGGATGAGATCATGTACCTACGAAGATGTCCGGCCAGGTGAGCTCCATATCTCAGATGCTTTGAGAAGAGTAAGAAGGAAGTGACGAGTCTACATAGCCCAGATACCTTATGAAGGCTTTCATGTTATCATAAATGGAGCGGCCTTCGGATATGGCTGAAACTATCGTGCTGAAATTATCATCGGCCAGAACCATGTCGGATGCCTCCTTAGCTACCTGAACATTTCAGAAGATTTTTTTTTAAATTTTGGAAATTCAGACAAACTATTTTTGATTCCTCCGTTTTAAAGAAAATACCGTAAATGGAAGCAGGAAAAAAAAAGAAAAAAAAAAGGAAGGAGGAAAAAAAAAAAGAAGAAGCTTGAACTAATTAGCTAATCATGATGGCGAGATGATGACAATATGGGACAATCCTAGGTTTACAGATTACATTCAAAATCTTCAGTCTCCAATCGTTTTGAACCACTAACCCATCTATTCAAGGATGGGTAAGGACAAATAAGTTCAAATCATTGATTAATTTGCAGGTAAGGGCAACCAGGGCTCTCCAGAGAATCCCATGATAAAAAATGATTTAGACTAAGCTCGGATAATACTCACCTCAGTTCCAGTAATACCCATGGCTATCCCAATATCAGCAAGTTTCAGGGCAGGTGCATCATTTACACCGTCCCCAGTCATCGCCACAATCTCTCCACTGTCCTTCAGCAACCTCACAATCTCTTGCTTGTGCTTCGGCTCAGCCCGAGAGAAAACCAGACTGCTGGGCTTGGACAAAACCCTGATCTTTTCATCATTTGGAAGAGCCATGAACTGCTTCCCCGTGTAGCTTCTTCCTCTGAGATCTATGGAGTCAGGGAACAGCCCAATCTCCCGACAGACTGCCTCTGCAGTGGACTGGTTATCACCAGTGATCACAATAACCTTGATACCAGCTTCCCTGCAGTCGTGGATTGCTCTGTCAACTCCTTCTCGATGGGGATCCTGCCCAACATGAAGAAATATAAAATCAGTGCCGAGAAAAAAATATAAAATCCAAAATTACTGAGTAATCCTGAAAAGAGCACTCACCCTTAGACCAACAACACCCACAAAAATCAGGCTGCTTTCAATTGTAGAGTAATTAATGGGGTCGAGCAACTTCTTATGGGCGGGATGAGTGTCAGCATAGTAGTCAGCAAACTCTCCCAGATCATCTTTGTATGCGAAGCCCAAGCACCGCAACCCTTTCGAACTCATTTCATGGAGCCTCAGCAATATAACCTGCCTAGCAGACTCGTCCATTGAAACGACTGAACCATCTGCCAGCTGTACGTAAGAACTACGGTCCAGTATACTCTCAACAGCACCCTGCAAATTGAAATGATCCAACAGTAAGTTTCTGACCCATTCAGCAGAGATTGCGAGGATGAAGAATAAAAAGAAGACTGACAGAACATAAGATTAATGTGAACAAGGTACAACAATGTTTAATCTAAGAGATTGTTGCTCTCATGAATATCACGAACAGGAATGGAATCCTTACCAGTTCTGCGTCATTTTTCTAAAGAAATAACTTTAAATTGAGATCCTACTCTAAAATCAAGTTAAAAGACTACAGACAAATCGAAAAAGTGTTTATATTGACAAATCGAAATTCATTCGTACTATGAAAAAAGTATTGGGCCCCCATGCTTTTCATACAAGTTTATATCTGAACCAAGAAAGTATGGGGCCAAGACAATAACTAGAAGTTAGAACCATAAGCGAAAAAAAAAATGAAGAAAGGATGTACCTTCACTAGTAGGCGATTATTGCCCGTTGGCTCGCGAACAATGACACTCATAGACTTACGAATCCTATCGAATTCCAAAGTGGCAACTTTTCTTGATCTCTTTATCCACCACTCGCAACAACCTACAAAGAAATCAAAGCATAAACAAAAAATGCAACTTCAATGTAATAAAAGAAAGCGAGAATGATTCTCTACCTAGTTTCACAGTGCATCGGACAATCGAACATTCAGCAGCAAGCTGCTCATGACGGATCCTGCTCCTTGCCTTTTCATCTGGAACCCCCATTTTCTCGACTAGAACCTTTTTCATTAGGAACAGAAAGAATAAACAACTTGAGGAAAAGTTTTTACCTATTTTGACGTGAAAATTAGAAGTAATTGGGAAATAAAGGACGTGGCCAGTAGAGCATGCCTTGAGAGCAGCCTCAGTGGGCAATCCTGAAGCCCGGAAAAGGTGGCCATTGCAGAAGATTCTGGAATCATTGCAGATGGCGCAGATCTCTGCCAACGCCCGCAAATTTGCATCCATATTGTAGTAACTCCAGTCTTTGATGCCTCCATCCTTGGGGTTATAAGTAGTCCCATCCACATGAAACACCCGGGGTGATGTGGTCTTCCCACCAAAAGTAAAGAACTTGTTCACAGACATCTGATTAGTGGTAAGTGTCCCAGTCTTATCCGAGCATATCACAGTGGTACACCCTAAGGTCTCCACACTGGGTAGCTTGCGTACAACAGCGTTCTTTTGTGCCATCTTCCTCGTTCCCAAGGCCAGACACGTTGTGATCACAGCTGGCAGACCTTCAGGAATGGCGGCCACTGCAAGAGCCACTGCTATCTTGAAATAGTAGGTGCACTTCTCAAATGAGAAGCGGAAGTCCCACACGGAGTCATCCCCATCATCCCAGGTGATGAAATTCTTGTAGTTTATGGCCCAGACAACCAGGCAAATGAATCCAATAACGGTAGTCAGCCTCTCCCCAAATTCATCGAGCTTCTTCTTCAAAGGGGTGTCGTGGTCTTCCATGGAGGCTTCATGTATCTGAGTCTGTATTTTCCCAATCTCTGTGTCCATGCCTGTGGCGACGACAACACAGACACAGCTCCCATTCACAACAGTTGTCCCTGCGAACAACATACATTCTTTTTCCTGCAGCTCACAATCATCCACAGGGACGGGATATGTGCTCTTGATCACGGGCATACTCTCCCCAGTTAGAGAGCTCTGTTCAATTCTCAGAGTCGATGTCTTCAACACCGCCAGCCTCATATCAGCAGGAACCTTGTCCCCCACGCTCAACTCCACAATATCACCTGGCACCAGCTCCCGAGCAGGCAAGTTGGGGACGTAATACCCATCTCTCAGGACCTTTGCATGCTCTGATTGCATCTCCCTGAGCGCCTCAAGAGCCTTCTCAGCGCTGGTCTCCTGCCAGACGCCCACAATGGCATTAAGCACTAAGATGGAAACGATGACGAATGGCTCCACGTATGTTTCAAGGCTGGCATGATCCGACTCGGAGCCCTGCAAGTAGGCGAGGATGAAGGAGATGAAAGCTGCCACAAGGAGGATCTTGACGAGCACATCGTCAAACTGCTCGAGGATGAGGCGCCAGAGTGGCTTCCCCTTCTCCTTTTTGAGCTCATTCCAGCCAAAGTGTTTGCGCCTCTCCTCCACTTGGTACGTGGTCAGACCCTTCTCCAACCTGACACCATACTCCTTCAGGCACTGCTCTACAGACCACAGCCAGGCAGGAAACAGTTTCTCCTCCATATGGTTGCAGAGCTGATTGCGACAGACAACTGGCACTCTTCTTTTCTGAGAATTTTAAGCGGAAGGCCCCAGGGGAGGCTCTAAGAAGCCAAGAACTAAGAAAATGGAGGCTGTTCTATGTGAATTGGATCGAACAAAAGTCAAATTCTCATCTGCAAAAAAATGAAAAAAAAAGGTTGACTGCAAAGTCCATGGTAGTGTGGATTTCAAGTTTCTGTGGGAAGACAGGAAACAACAAGAAACTGTCATTTTCTCACCTTTCTCCTTTCTTTTTCAGGTCGAACAAAACATCATAAACAACCAAAAAACGAATCCAGAAATTGATAGTCTAAACATGGATGAGCAGTAAGGCAGATGTGACGGGGCGACCATGGGGGTTCATTCGAGGAGAAACAATAACGAGCAACAGAAGAACGCGAACGAGGAGAAGAGAGAAAGAAGCTTTCCTTTTCATGGTTTCTCCGACGATCAGGAATGAAAACGGTTTTGCACTCCCTTAGGTCACCCGAGTTCCCACCAGCAACCCACACTGGCCTTTCATGGATCCAACCCCTCCCTCAACCCTAAGAAATGAAAAAACAGCGTGTAAACGTACCTCGGAGACGCAATAATTTTGGGAAATTGACAAGGGGAAAGCATCCAAGCATCCTCCGACCCACCCCGCAAATCCCACGGCCGCGGAACGAGAAGCGATCAATTATTCGAAGCTCAATTGATTCACATACATTGAAAAGTACGAGAAATCCAGCAGCAGAAACGGAGACAATCGAACCGGGAAACACGAAAAATTACAGACAGTACGCCGAGGGAGGCGGGTGCCGGGAGGAACCACGACAATGGATAGCGAACACGATGCCCCACGATCCGGAGAAACCACCCGCAATAGGTGAGCAAATTAATGAAAGAGAGGAAGAGAAAGAGGAAAGGGCGGGCGGGATAGTGGAGAGTGAGGGGCGAGTGGGTTGGGGGGGGGAGGGAGGGGAAGGCGAAGGGGAGCCTCCCGTACCAGAGTACAACCGCAGCTTCTCCATCGTCCCCGACGCCATCGCCGTCTCCTCCCCGGCCGGCGGTTCTCAGTCCCGGCATTACGTGGACTCCAATCGAGGGGCAGTTGCTCTCCAATATAACTGCCACCTGTCAGTTTTCATCGGCCCCCCCACCACTTCGGTCACTGTCGTCGATCTCTTCTCTGCAGAGTCTCTGCATGGAGGAAGCTAATCTTTCCTGGTCAGAGAAAGTCAAACCGGCGGCGGAGGGAGACAGGAACAGAATCGCCGCTGCTCGCCGGAGAATATCTCCCGCCGGCCAACCTTCGGCTATGTGGCACGGTGACGTCATTTATTCCCAAAGCTGAGTACACGTAGGATAATGAATTATGATTAAAAAATCGTAAAAAATAATATCGAGATATAATGAGTCACATATTATTATTAAGTATTTACGCGCGATGATTTAATAAATATTCTATTATATATATATATATATAGATAGATCCATAAAAAATGAAATGGTGCTCATCATCATTTAATTAAAGCCTTTATACGAGCTGGGCAGGTAAATTTCTCGGAATTTAATTTAATGGGAATATTTCTATAATATGTCGTGACTTAAATAAATTATTTTAATTTAATTAGGTTGATATGATATTCATTTTATTTATTTTAGGTTTAAAAGTCGGTACATGTGAATAGACACGTGCGAGGAGAGAGACGGAGCTTCTTAATGGGCCGGATTGTTGACGGGCCGTGGGACGGGTCCACGGCGAAAATGGGATGGGTCGTCGGGGTATTTAATAAATGTGGTCTTTTTTCACCTCACCAAGGCTAATTTTTTCGCGGTAGGGTTTTTGGAGAAGGTATGGTGCTGCTCTTTCCGCGGAGGGTTTGCTAGGGTTCGAAGCGCATCTGCTCTGACGATCTCGTGTCCGGTTGTCAGTGTCTGTCTTCGGCGCCGCGTTTCCTCGCCGAGGTTAGGGTTCCGCCTTGGTGCTCGTACGCGTGTTCCGGTTGCTGAAATCTCTTTTGAGCGAGTCCTTTTCGAGGATAGTCGAGAAGATGAGGCCTGTTTTCTGTGGGAACTTTGACTACGAGACGCGTCAGTATGATCTGGAGCGGCTGTTCTCCAAGTACGGGAAGGTGGACCGCGTCGATATGAAATCCGGTGAGACTCAAGAATCTTCGGGTCATTTTTTCCGGGTTTTCCCCTTGGGTAATTAGTTTTTCGAGGCTATTTTGTCTAAAAGGTTTCGGCTTTTTCTCGTACAAAGGGGCTCTGCCATTCCTTGCCTGCAAATTTTAAACTTCGAACTTTCTCCTGCCATGTTCTCTAATAGTGAGGCGATAACATCTGATGCTCATATTGCATTATCCGTTTGAATGATCCAATGATCTTGTTCTCACGTGTTACTCCTGTACAAGTGCTCATATGAAGCATTCACGTCTTGCATCCTTAGCGTTTCAGGAAAGTCGTAGTTCGCTATTTTTCAGACAATAAGTTATATATTATAATCCATTTTGCGAACGTGTTTATAGTGGATATGGCTTCTCGGACGTTAAAAGTAAGCTAATCCATGTATGGTTTTTCGTATATTGAATTCAAGTGGACAACCTTGATTCTTTGCAGACTGAAATTCACCATTTCTTTCTAAGTTAAATATAATTTTCAAGTGTACAATTTTGGTGTCTAATGACGCCTTCATCTGAACTATTGCCCTCCACATCCTGGTAATAATTGCTAGTGGACTGTGGCTACCTAAGAAGCTTTTTACCGTCTGTCTTGAAAATAGCCTGAGAAGCTCAGGTTCCTTTGGAAATGTGTTTTCTGACGTCAGGTTGTTTCTTAGACCTTTATGTCGTATTCTGAAAATTCAAAAGGTTTTTATCAGGCCCGCGAATCACATATCCCTATCAATCAGTCTTGTGTATGTGTCCATAATGGTTCGAATATATTTCTTGCCAATTGATTCTTAGAGTATTTCTGGGGAGATGTTGAAGTGATGTGAGCGACATGTTGTGCCTACCATTATTCCCTGGCAACGGCAATAAGTATCTGTGATGATAAATTTCTTGAAAGGTTGAGTCGTGCTGTTGTTATACCCTAAATGATTTCAAAAAAGAGACTCTCGCTGTTTTAACTATCAAATCATTTTCACAACTTGTGGGAATCTTACCAGTGTAATACATACATAATTATTTTTATTTATTTATTTTTATATTTTTTTTAAGAGATTGTGTAGGAGTATGTGCAATTTAGGTGTTGGATATCATTCCTTCGCATGAGAAGAAAGACATCAAGTTGGTTGACCTTAAATTTCAATGTAAGAGGGCTTTTTTCACCTTTCGTGGGAAGGATCAGCAGTTTGTAGCTACTGTTTCCCTCTTTTCAGTTTTCTTTACTGGGGTGCCAGTTTTGTAGTGGGTAAGCTTGACTTCAGTTCCCTTGCATGACAGAGAAGAAATATATTAAGAGTAAGATTACTACGTTTGTGATGTCAATTAGACATGGAATATTGAATTTTTTTTTTGACGCAGGAACTCCTAAGGGAAGTCATGCTCTAACTGGGCTTCCCCAGCGTTCCGTGCAAATGCCAAAAAACCTTCCATGCCAAGGAAACCATCATGCCAGCACACCGGCATCTTACATTCTCATCCAGCACTCTTCATTACCTTCACATGCTCATCCGTAGCTGACCCCTGCCTTGTTTGCCAAGAATTATCATTGAGGAGCCATGCCACTACCGGAAGTTTGATCTGTTATTAATGGCGAATCATGCTCGGCAATGCCTTCTCAGTTCTTGGGCTCTAACTTTAGTGACATCATGATTTAGTTCTTCATGCGAGGCTCCATATTCACATACTTATTTCACCAGGGAACCTCCCATATGTGCAGGTGTTGTACTTACTTCTCTGTTCTCACAGGAACTAGTAAAATCCTGTACTAAATGCAATACGGATATGGTAACCAGAAACAGAAATCTGGATGCGTGCTGCGTTCTTTTCCGTGTTATAATTTTTCATATTTGTCCAGGCTTTGCATTTGTCTACTTCGATGATGAAACTGATGCTGATGATGCAATTCGAGGGCTTGATGGCACACCTTTTGGCTATGGCAGACGAAAACTTTCTGTGGAGTGGGCAAGGGTAATTTTGTGATTCCGTTTTAGTAACATGCTCTAATTTTTAATTTTTATATTGGCATACAATAATAAGCAACAATCGTGGTCTCTTTTCAGCAGGGTGACCGTGGTCCTCGGCATCGTGAAGGTTCCAGATCAGGATCAAGCATGAAGCCAACTAAAACCCTATTTGTCATCAATTTCGATCCGATCAATACGAGGGTCCGGGACATCGAAAGGCACTTCGAACCCTACGGCAGGGTCTTGAATGTGCGAATCCGCAGGAATTTTGCCTTTGTCCAGTTTGAGACACAAGAGGATGCCACCAATGCCCTCGAGCACACAAACTTGAGGTTAGTTCTTGATTTAGTCAACTCGATCTTTCTCAGGCATTGTTACCGAATTCGATGTCACCTTCAATTTCATTTATTTTTCTCTTTGGCATCATCGCATGGGTTTTATGTGTTTGAATTTCCAATCATTCCCTATAATTTCTTTCTTGTATTCTAGCATTATAGTGTATTAATTAAACCCGAGGTTTTATAATTTCTTTATGGAGCCAACAATGACCCAACCTCCCCAAAACGTTCTGCAGCAAGATCATGGATAGACAGGTGTCCGTAGAATACGCCCTCAGAGACGATGATGAGCGAGGAAGCCGACGCGACAGCCCAAGAGGCCGGCACGGCGACGGGGCCTACGATCGTTCTCCCAGCCCGCAACGATATAGGAGCCGCCCAAGCCCGGACTACGGTCGCCGGCCGAGCCCTGACTACGGGCGTCCCCGCAGCCCCGCCTACGACAAATATGACGACGGCCCCGGCGGCGCCTATGACCGGAATCGTAGCCCCGAGCCCCCCAGATACAGAAGGTAAGGACCCTTCCTTCAGCCCATATGAAAAAATAAATCTCACCTTTGGTATAATTCCTCGCCTGATCACGATAGCCTTTCCCATTTGTTTCCCTTGTGGCAGCCGATCCCCGGCGCGGAGGTCCAGGAGCTGAACAATCTATGGTGTGGGGCGCTGGTGCCATGTAGCTAGCTGTAGACTGACTGCACGGTGGTGGCATATGTAGGCACTTTCCTTTCAAAATCAACATATGATTTCGTCTCGTATCGTCTCAGTTCCCAGGTGGGGGGAGGGTGTTCAGGAGGAGGAAGAAGAGGTGGGTTTCTCGCAGAGCTCGCTGGCGATGGCGCGCGCGAGCCAGGCCTCGGCGTCGCGCATCATGCCGGGGCTCAGCCGCACCATCAGCACGCAGAATTCCCTCTCGTCCAGCGCGCCGTCCCCGTCGATGTCCCCCTCCCGCACCATGGCCGCCGCGTCCTCCCGCGTCAGCCCCTCCATGCCGAGCAGCGCCGAGCTCCTCGCCAGGCTCTCCGCCGTGATAAGCCCCCGCGCGGGGTCCGCCAGCAGCCGGAACCCCCCGCAGAGCTCCTTCACGAACTCCTCCGCCTCCAGCTTCTCCGCCATGGCCCCCATCAGGTCCTCGTACACCTCCTCCGCCATCGCCCCTCCTGTCCTGCCCTGTCCTTCTCCCTCCTCTCCCCCCTCCTCTCCCTTTAATGGCCACACATGTCGGCAGCGATTCCTCCGCGGAGATCTGTCGCCGGTGGGAGTTGGGTGGCGTCAACTGGAATGGATGATGACTTTTGGGTGCGTTCCTTCTGTGGCTTCCTGGAAGCTTCGTGGGGATTCTCCTCCCCTCCCCACCGATACAGTCGCCCTCTTCCTCTTTCATCATCTCCATCTCGTGTGGACGTAGCCATCGTCTCTACCCACCTCTCCCAAGCTCTGTCTGATTGATTAGCCCTCCTATCCACGGCATCTACCTCCGCCTCCTCTCCCTTGTCGTGGCGCAGTTTGCTGTCCTCGTCTCCCTCTCTCTCTCTCTCTCTCTCTCTCAATTTTAGTAATATGTATATATATATATATGTACAGACATGTATGCAGGATCTAGCCATAGAGGTATCATTACAGAGAGAGAGAGAGAGAGAGAGAGAGAGAGAAGATGGGTAGAGAGATTATCTAGGGAATCATGCATTTTTAAATAATAAATGCGTATTACAGTAGATGTGAACCCGTGGTCAAGGATGTCGAGATGTTTCGCTCATCATTTTGCTCGTTTGTTGACATGGACGTGGGCAAAGAATTCAGGGGCATTTCTCTAATTATTGGGGCTACATTGGCCTGAAAGCTATTTTCTGTATAAAGTTTATTTTATTTATTCCTGGGGATGGGATTTTCTAATTGCCTGACGTGTTCGACAAGGAGGGAGATGGGCCTTCTTAATGGGCCACAAGCTTGACAGTTAGTGGGCGGATCGGGTGGACCCCAAGATAGGAGCGGAGATAATGGGTTGTGGACTGTTAGTGGGCCGTTAGGGCAAAAACGAAGAAGCCCAAGAATTACAGCTCCACCGGTGGAGAGGGCGTCCGCAGTGGAAGCGTCGTGCGGTTCTGCCAGGTGCAGTGGAGGGCGACCGAAGCCAGTCCGGGGCAAGGAAAACTAGGTGAGCTCTTCATCGGTCTCGTGACATTCAGCGTGCGTCTCTTCTGACGGTTTCGGGTTAGTCGTCTGCGTTTGTCTTCGCCGCCTCGTGGACTCTCAGAGGTGAGGGTTCTGCGTTGGTTCTCATTAGAGCGGGTCTTCTCCGAAGGGACGGCGCCACCACAGGAGGAGAAGACCAGGACAGGAATCATGCCACGTCGATATCGTCAACCTAGGATCCTAGATCGGAACTTTATTTATTATTAGGATTTTCCTTTCATTTAATTTCCTTTAATGAATTCTTGACCCTATAAATAGGATACGGTGGTGGTGAATTTTGAAGATTAGACATCATTTTCAGAATTTGCCCTAAGGTTCCCTCTCAGCCGCCGCCGCTGAGAGGCGACCCTCCCGTGCCCGTCCGTCCATCACGAGCGCACGACTCCCCCTTCCATCCACCCATGATCCACCATTCGAGGGCGAACATCCAGTTTCTCTCGCCGCCGATCGCACCGTCCGCCATCTGGCGCGTTGTTGTCTACCGTCGGAGGTAGACGACAACATTCAAGTCGACGAGTGTTGACTCCTCGTGAGGCCCCGCTTTCAGGTCGTCGTCAGTCGACGCAGCCACGCGCCCTCGGCCGACGCGCGCGTGACTCTTCCCCGTCGCATGACTTTGCCCTCGCGCGCGACGATTCCCGCAGCCGCCCGTTTCGCCACGGGAACGTCGAGGTCCTCCATCGGGCGAATGCGCGGAATCAACCCGTGTTTAGGTTTCGGGGCGCTACCCCGAACCCCGCAAGGGGGCGGTTTCCCCCCTTGACCCCCCCCCCGCAACCGCGCCAACGGACCGCGCAGTTGGATCCGCAATCCCCGCGCCCAAAGAGCCCCGTCCAAGGTTGAAGACTGATCAGCAAGGTTTCCAGTTTCCATCTTTCACCGTCCTGCCGCAACTCAAGGCTCGCTGCACCGCCCCTCATGCTGTCTCAGCGCTGAAGGTCGTCTCTTCACTCCTTGGTGATTCATATTATTTCATCCAGTATTTTCTTGTGTGTTTTTCCACCGCCATCGGATTTACGTAATAGATTTGTGTCTTCTCGTGGTTAACCATCCGGGATTTTGAACTTGGAGCTTTACTTATCGTGGTGGTTGTAAGACAGTACTCCCGCCCTCGACAGAGGAACGGGGCTGTATCATCATCATTTTCTCTGGATTTAAAGGTTCGAATCGGTGGTGTGATTTTGTGGCTTGATTTATCCATCCCTACATTATCCTTAATCAACCCACTCTGTGTCTGTCGTAGTTATCCTGCATCAAAGGTGGCCTGTGTTCTGAGGGAGCCTTGGCAACGAGACTGGTCTGCAAGTTCTGGAGGGGTGGATCGGGTGGAAGTGAAATCGGGTAAAATTCGAGCCTCAACTGCGCTTTCTTCCTGTGATTTCAAATTTCCACACTTCTTCCTGTGATTGACAGACAAATGGACATTCGATTCATATTAGGAAATTTCGTGAGCCATTACTCGGAAGTTAATTTTAGCGTCTTAAAAGAATCCATGCAAGGATTTGTTAGCGTAGTCTTCTATATGTCTTAGTTTTCAACATTGTTGATATCTGAACCGTTTTTTACCGAAAATTGTGGTTTTCAACGATGCTGAAACTATTCTTTTTTTCTTTCTTCTTGGCAGATCATTTCTTTCGTGATTCAGAGTAATGGGATCGAGACTTGCCATCCATTTCGGACAGTCTATATATCCTCTGAGTTAAGGGCCTCCAACCCAGCAAAAGAAGGGCTTGTCATTAATCTTCAAGGCCTTTGATGCTGACGCCTTGTTAAGAACCGATGAGTGATTTTCTAACTAAAGAAAATAAGATCACAGAGGTGGAGAAGATGGTATCAACATCAGAGACTATTCTTGTTCCGTGTTCTACAGCCCCTTCTCCCCCATCTGCAGTGAAGACCATTTGCCTTGTGTATGTTGCTACCTTTCACATCTTTCTCTCTCCCTGTCACTCTCCCTCTCTGTCTTATCTCCACTGACATGTTTTCGTTCTGTGCATCTCTGGCTGACTGAAAATAATTTCCTTTTTTGCTATGCCAGATGTCAGAAGCAATTCTCACAATATACGTGCCCTAGATGCAACATTCGATATTGTTCACTTCATTGCTACCAGGTCATTTATTTACACTATCCCTCTCGTCACCTCTTTGTATCTTCTTTCACTCTCAAAGTGGTCCCTAATGATTATGTTTTCGAATATTTTCTTGCTATTTTTTACCAATATTTCTGGCTATTTAATTGCTGGGTGCAGAAGCACAATCTTCGATGCACAGAGTCGTTCATGAGAGAGAATGTAATCGAAGAAATGAGGCAGATGCAACAAGATGGTGAGACAAAAAGGAAGATGCTGGAGATGCTTAAGCGGGTCCACCTGGAAGAGGAGACGAACGATGCAGAAGTTGATGACGAATTTGAAGGTGGTTCTTTTATTTTCATTTATATTGAGTAGCAACAAGCATCATCTAATGAAGAATCAAGAAGAAACATGGAGTATTAATGAAGAATCCATGGCTTTTTTAATTTTTCGTGCTTTCTTGAACTTATATGCAATATTATGATTAACTCCTATGTCACCTTTTAAATATCGCCACTTCTCTGAACATGGCTCGCTTTTGAGAATGTTATGCCATCTAGGGTCTAGCACCTAGGATAGGGAAATTACCGTTAGGATATCTTGTTATTTCAGAACTCTCAAAGAAAATAATTATCCCTGTGGCAGTAACAGAAATTTCCATTCCTGCCGCATTGCTTATGTGCCTGTAAATCTACACCAGAAACTGTGTTTTATGCTGGACCCTTAATTATCATGTATGTTAATTTCTGTGCTTTAAATCAACTTTAAGATTATATTTAGGTTTTTTCTAACCCTTGAGATACATTCTTTAAATTTCTCAATATCTTAATTATTATGATTTTCTTTCTCAGATTCAATGCTTTCCCAGGAGACTATTCAGAAGGTTTTATCTGGTACGCCATTTCTGCTCTATCCAAAACATTCAGACGGTTTTAACCATTACTTCCCATATATCAGGGCGTTATAGAAACATAACGCCATGAGACTTTATTATATAGAATAAATAATCTTGATCTCCATTAGTGTTGCCCGCTGTCTGTATGCATCTCTCTGTTTCTTTGTCTAGGTATTTACACCTCATTTGCTTCTTTTTAGGGAACGATCTGAATTTGGAAGACCTGTCTCCAGAGGAGAGGAAGCAGTTTCAGAGAGCAATCACGTCGGGTGTGCTGAGTAAGATGATAGAGCCATGGGAACCATGGTGGCTGAAGCCATCTGCAAGAGCAATCTCGCTTAGACAGGATGGAACCCAGCTTGTGAGGCCAGTCGATGACCAGGCCAGCAGCGAAACGAGCTTGAGCGAGATTCCTCCCGGGCCAGAGACCCCATTGCTGCTTCTTTGTGAGCTGACAAGCAGAGACCCGTCTCCCCTCTTACCGGTTCATCTTCTGGACGTTCTATACAGCTACTGTTTCACTCTCCGCCTGTACAATGGCGACTGGCGGTGCGATCCTCTGGGCGCTGCCATGGTAGTTCTCAGCGTGTCGGCGATCCTGGAAGAGGGCAGACAGCCGGCAACAGTGCCTGAGGCCCTCGGCCACTGCTTGGCCCGGACCTGCTCTTCTGAGTACAAGCATGCTGGTGGCCTCCGGCTCGGCCAGATACTCCTTGACGACACCATGGGATTACTATTTCTTGGGAGCGATGCCCTGGTTTGCCTGCTCTGCGACCTGCAGAGGCTAATCCTGGCAGGGGGGACGATGCTCAGGTCCGAGAAGATGAGAAAGGAAAAGAATGTGGAGGCGAGGAGCAAGCTCAGGCGTGCAGACAAGAAGGTCTACTTCCTCATGTGCTGGGCCAATGAGCAGCCGGGGGAAGCCTGGTCTTCCTTGGCCAGCCTTGTCGAGGTGGAGAAGGCTTCCATGGCGGCAATTGAGGAAGCCCGTAACCTTACAAAGGAGCCCAGAAGGAAGCCTTTGATCGAGGAACTGTAGTGGGTGATCCTCAGAAACATCCCCAGGGTTCTCCATTTACTGTCTGATGGTAACATGGGTTTTACTCTGGAAGTAAATAGATCTCTGAAGAAGGTTTTCTCTTTCATCACCAAGGAACCAAGAAGGGAACCTTTGATCGAGCAACTGTATCGGGTAATCCTCAGAAACATCCCCAAGGTTCTTCATTTACCGTCTGATGCTAACATGGGTTTAACTCTGGAAGGAGAGAGATAACTGAGGAAGGTTTTCTCTTTCATCACGAATGGTGGAGAAGGATGCCCGACTCAAGAGGGAGAAACGACAATGTGTTGGTCAAGAAATATGCTCCAATTGTACACCTTGACGCCCAAATCAGGAGACCCTTCAAGCAACCGGCGGAGCTCGCTGGCGTGGCCGCAGTCTTTGGCGAGGAGCATGGCAAAGCCTCCGCCACCGGCACCAACAAGCTTGTACCCACAGCAATACTGGTCGGCGATGGTGAAGAGTCGGTCCACGAGCTCGTTGCTGCAGTAGGGGTCCAGCTCCTGATGCAGCCTCCACGCCTCCAGCATGATCTCCCCCAGCTCCTGGAGGTCGCAGCTCATCAGGGCCTCCCTCCCCTGCTTTGCTAGGGCGGTGAGCCGCTTGATGCTGGATATCAGCAGGTTATCCCGCCGGAGGTAGCGGACGACGACCTTCTGCAGCACTTGATGTGCAAGCCGGACCTTCATGCAACCAAGACAGAACTGTCACAACTATAGATGATGACGATGCTGACTTGAAAGACGGTTGAAGAGAGAGAGAGAGAGAGAGAGAGAACCTGGCCGGTGAACACCAGAAGAAGACGCTGTTGAAGCTCTGCAACCAGTTTGGAAGAGGCAACGAGGGGAATGATCTGCAGCCTCAGCGGCAGCCCAGGAAAGCTTGAGGTGCACTTGATCCCAGGGTACAGGCCTCCGATTTGATCCTGCCATCCTCCGCCGGTGCCCATGACCTGTTCCACGACAAGAACGATCCTGGCAACGTTGTCATTGCCGTCGTCTTCCTGCATCAATTGGAGGAGCCCCTTCACCACTGCTGCCGCCAATATGCTTGACGTCCCCAGGCCACTGCCGCGGGGAACCTTTGCCCACGTCCTGATCTTCAGACCCAACGCCGACAAAATCCTGCTGCGGATGATGCCCGTCGCAAGCAGGGCGGATTTAACAAGCCGGAATGGATCATCCTCACTGAAGGGGGCAGCGATAGAGGAAGGTTCTTCGATGAACAGCTGGTTCTCCAGGTCGTCAGATACGTGGACTCCCCGAGCTTCTGTCATCTGCATCATGATTCCAACAGGGAGGGAGCCTTCGAGGCCCACAGCCATGTTCAGGACGCAGCCCGGCCGCTCCAAGCTCCATGGCGGCGTGTCACTCCACCCTCCGACGAAGTCTATCCTCACTGGTAAGTCAATCCTCACTGTTCTTACTTGGAAAGGCATTAGCATGCTCCCACTGCGCGCATCGCCCTCGGAGGAATCTGACAGCAGCAAAGACGAACCCAGAAGAAAGAAATCGTTGAACAGATGCCAGAGTTGAAAGCATACGGATTCGACGTTAAAAGAAGAAAGCTTTTTACCTCCAAAACCATATTTCACAGCCGATGCGGTCTCATCAGCGACTGCAGCCCAGACTTTCTGCTCGATGGTGGAGGCAGCACCTTCTTCCCCGCAGGCCCTGAGGAGATCTACCTGCACCTGGTACGCCCTGCTCCGGGGGAGGACACTGGGGCTCTGATCTTGAAGCGTGGGGCAAAGAGAGAGGAAGTCCCTGCAGATTCCCACACCAGCGATCTCATTCTGCAGGATCTCTGTGCACAGCTGAGACAGGTTGCGACCGAGCAGCCCGTAGTTGATGCAGGCCTTGGAGATTTCAGCGGCGAGATTTGCCTGATGATTGCTCGAGCCCATGCAGAGCAGTGGGAAGTCGACGGATCGGTGCAGTTCCTCCAGGCTGATCCGGTGAGAGTCTCTCCACAGAGAAAGCATGGAGCCGTCACCGCTGCCGCCCAAGTCCATGAGCCACATGGCCAGACCAAGCATCTTGAAGTATGGTTGGATGGGAAAGACCTTCGCATTCCACAGAGATGGCTCGTTCACCCCCGAGAAAGGCCACAGATCCTTCTCATGAATGCCGAGTTCGAGCAAGATCTTCCTCCACGGCTTCCCACAGAAGGTGCCGCCCCCAGTGAATGGAGCCTTTGGGTTATCATGGAGACCACAGAAGATGACGACTCTCCCTGTGTGTCCCACAAGGGGGACCTCCCAGAGGCAGTGGCGGTCGGGCAGGATGAAGTGTGGCAGACTGCCGACAGGGTTATTATACCCGCTGTCTACCTCGATGTTTACTCCGACCACGATTGCTTGAGAACCAATCTGTATATTTCCGGACAATGATGAGTCGTAAACCAAGGAATCCTCACTGACTGCGACGCCTGGGGAGATTTTGCTGGAAAGAATGGTTGCAGAAGCAGCGATGTCACAGACAGTGGTCGCAGGGACAGAACACAGATGCCGCCGACCCACAAGTCTTGAGTAAGACCCGTTCAAGTGATCCAGAACCTCGCTGGAAGTTCCGAAATGCAAGAATTTAAGATTATCTGCGACCAAATGGAGTGGGTTTTCAATAAATATCAATGAAATCTTACCGTGAGACATGCAACTTCATGCTGGGTTTTTGGTATAGTGAAAAAATCTTTGGAGGAATCGATGAAGCGGGTGAGGTGCTATTTCAGTGATGTTGAACGTTTGTTCTGAATATATTTTATAGAATTTAATGATGAATACACATATTCTGAAATCGAAGCTCCCTTACTGGAAGTGAGGCGTACATAAGAATGTCAATTGAATGATGCCTATTTTGTAAATGCCAGAGTATTTTATATTTTCTCTGTTAATTTTATTCAGAGAGAGAAGTATGAAAGGGAGAGATGATCGTAAAACTTTGCTGAGAACAACATACGGTCGCAGTAGCTGAACATCTTCGGACCACCCAAGCCTTTGACTAATTTCTTCCCCAGAGGGCGTGTTTTCAACCATTCATGCCTGGCAGGCACCCAAGCTGCAACCAGATCTTCATATAAGCTCATCTGCAAATATCTGGAGGGATTTAGTCGTGATGTGCGCCTCACTTCCAGTAAGTTCTTTTGAAAGAAGCATGATGCATTTAATATTTTTCTATTCCTGTATGTATCATTAATAAATAAAAAACATCCAACAATTTGGACGAATAATATCAGACAGATATTGATGAAGAAATACCACAGGATTAGCCTGATTTTCTTTTACAAGCATGAGTAGAGAAGGTGCCAGAATTCAAGCCCCACAGTTTTGTTGCATGGAATAAATGAAATAATTTCACAAATCCTTCCAAACTATGAAAATTCAACTGACTAGTGGGAAACCAATTGCCTCCATCAGAGGACGAAAAGTTCAAATGAACATCTTACTCCTCTATATGTACCTCGAGAAAACTTTCATCAGAGTGAGATATGATTGTTTTTTTCAGATGTTTCACCTCATGGGTCTGAACTGGCATTACTTCGGCTATATTCTAACCTTAGCTAATGGAGAGCCAATGAAACTTTTTCGTGGTTAAAAACGGCTAAGCAGGGGACACCTCCTCTCCTCCCCCATTCATTGCTGTTAGAGAGATTCTTGGAAGAACGATGGAAAGAGCTGAGGACTTAGGGTAAGTAACACGACTTTAGCCGTGCGTCCGAATTTAGCAATGATCCTCAAAGTTCTTATGATACAACCATTTTATGATGAACAGATGTTTGTGATCATGCGAATGCTGGATTTTTCCAAGGACTCAGTCGATTGAAGGCTAGATATGAAAAAAAAGTTATTACAGATTTGAACAAAGAAGGAACGGCATTCAAAGGGCATGGTGGCCTTTGGGTGTGTATTTGGCGATATCTGTCTTACCAGGGAATGCCACTCGCGCAAGGATCCTCAGCTAGAGGAAATGGGGAAGGAAAGATCCTCTCCTATGAAGGAAGACTTTTGCGCAAGGCTGCGTTATATCTAGCCTAAACCTTTGGCACCCATCTTGATTCATGATTTCTAAGATTGCATGGCAGTGGAACAAATACAGGAGATGACATGAACTGGGGAAGCATCTCCAAACTCGAGGAAAATGGAGGACTTGGTACTATGAAGATCAGAGACTTCAATCTTGCCTTGTTTAGCAAGTGACCATGAAAACTATTTATCTGAGGTAATTGCTTTGAGCTAAAAGTCAACAGTCAGAAGTTCTACAGGACTGGCGTTGGTAACATAAGATCAAGCACTTCTAGCCGCGCAATTTGCGTATGACATTCTTTATTCAGTGTTATGCTAGTGTTGGGCTTGACCTTCGACTATGCATGAGAAGATACGTATGGTCTGTTCTTCGGTTCTAGGGAAGAACAGAACGCAGCGATGTGGTAGTAACTTTCTTTTGTCTAGAACTATTTTTCAGCCCAAAAGATTCACTTTGCACCACAGAAAAAAGTGTTCAGTAATACATGCATACTGCCTATTTCTGTGACATTTTTAAGATTCCCTGATATTTCATTTTGATAAATGAAGTGACCAGAATAAAGTCAACAGTACACCATGAAAGCAAAATATTACACCAGAATGTCTAGGTTTCGCACACTAGCACAAATGAGCATCACTACAACCATGGAAAAATTATTTAATCATTACGTAATAATCAATGCCCACTTATTGCAAGCAGCATAACCAGAATATTTATAGCTTTAAAGAGGTAAGGCAATAAGCTTACCTCTTTTCTGCTTTTCAAAAGCTCCAGTATCATTTTGTGGCTTGATCTTGCGAGAGTAAGAAGCTTAAGCCATGCTTTGCCCCTAACTGCAATTATTCCCGTATCTAGCAATGCTCTGCCATCATTTCGAACAGCATTCATTTCTATAAGCTCTTTTATTTGAGGCTTCTGTAAGAGATTTTCAACCACGGTAATTGATTCATTTTCTGACGCTACAATAACACCATGGTTGGAGGCAATATCAAGGGTAATCGGAACAGTGATTATGCATGATGAATCAGTTGGAATGACCATCATGGAAGCATCAAAACATGGAAGGACATCTCCAGTCATAATGAAGATTCCACCTGCCAAGGGGAGGACGAATTAATAAGTTAAATAAATAAAATTGAATTTCGTAACAATGTCTATCCTCTAGTAAGAATTATGAAAGAGGATTAAAGAAGAAATTGACGTTTCATTTGGAGTCTCTTTGAATTCAGATGAATTGAAGATTTCAAAATTGAACATTTTTCAGTAGTAACCTGACTTTCAAAGGCACATACATTACAAAAGAATCCTATTCTGACAGCATTTTCTATATTATTTGCATAATCTTATTTACATATGATTTCAAAGACACAATCTCTTATATGATAGTCTTACTAACTCAAAACATGCAGATGGTTAGAGATTGCTGCTAATGATATATAAGAGGAATAACCCATCAGGAGAAAATGTGTTATGAGAAAATTGGTTAATTACTAACGTCCATGATGTCCAAACAGAGCAGAAAAAGGAAATCATAGCAAAAACATGATACACTACAGATCTTCAACTGAACGTACCTGCTTGAGATAGCTTGCCTTTATGCAATATAACCCATCAAATAGCATTAGATGTTAACATAATTTGAAATTTATTTGAAAGCTAATTATAATTCATTGGCATATTCCAGCAGGAAAACCTAATGACAGGGTGCAAATGGTCCATTTCTGATAGATGCAACAATCTAGTTTACTTTTTTTTGGTAACCTTTGTTTGGGGATTAACCTGCTGCAAACAAAGTAAAAATGAAAGCAGACCTCAACAGTGATCCAACGAGTGTACAAATGCGTCATCAGCAAGGGCACAAAACTCCAAGGCATCAACCGGGCAACAAGGCACTATAGGAGAGCAAGGTCTAGGCAATGCCCCCCTAGATCACTTGAATGCTATTGATGAACCATGTTTGATAAAAGAAAATACTGATTTATCCTTGAAAAATTATACATTGGTAAATGACACTTTAGCTCCTCTTTGAATGCACCAACTGTTTGGCTAACCTTTAACATTTGATCATTTGGGAACAGAGAGCATGAAACAGGAAAAAGATATATCATGGGAAAGAGTTCGATCATTTTAATCTTTTCTGCGAATAGTGATGATATCTTGCAACAATAGACTAATCTTCTTTAAATGAAGCATCAGGATCACAGGCGTTGTAACCTTCATTCTTAAAAGCTTGCCTTGCACAAGAAGAAATTGCGAGAATATGATCAAAAAGCAGTGGAACGGGTCCATCAGGGTCGTCAGCTGCTAAATACGGAAGCGGAAGGAAAACTTTCCCCATTGGGTTTGCCCATGGAACCCTTTTAGAATCACCTCCGGCATGTAGCAATAGTATGTGACTCTTGACCATAAACTTTATCACTGACATGGGTAGAAGGTCAGTCTTGGACAGGCCATTGGGGTCATCATTCAGGTCACCCTGTACCTGTGATTCATCGATTAGTCCTGCCAAAAATCAGTACACAAACACATCTTCATATGATAACGAAATAGAAAATGCATGCCATAGAAAGGGAACTAGGTCGCAAAGGATATAATTTTATTAAAAAAATAAATAATAATTAATTAAAAATCGAAGAGCATGCTAATACCTTCAGCAAGTCCCAGTTCTGTCTTTCATTTCCCAGTGTTTGATAGGGAAAAGATAAAATAATTTTATTCGCAATTAACTCAATTAAAAGAATCACGTTATACCATAAATAAACGACCAGAATAATTTAAGTATCCTTGCAAACGACCAGAATAAATAAACGCAAAGGATATACTCATAAGATTTGGATAGAGGTAAGAATCCTTGCAATGGATTCAACACGCTTCCTGAGCTGCAAACTGCCAGGGAACTTAAGGTGAAAGAGCGGCAGCCATATTTATCTTTCCATTTAGCTGAAGAACGAAAATGGAAAACATTCTCTGATGTAAAAAAATAACGAAAAGTTATTAATCTCTGTGATATTATTTCTTAAATGATAGATAGATAGATTTGTCCATCTCCAGGGGCAGCAGATGTATATTTCTAGGTTTGATACCAAGAGAGGATCCATCACTCAGATCATCCCCCCAACACCTCAGATATATTTTATCATCAGACTGACAATAAGAAGTTAGCGCCACGCTAGTAAAAATCTGCTACTTTGGCTATACCACTGTGATTTCACTGTTTTCACTAACAACTATGATCTTCATTCAGCATCTAGAACCACTTAAAGAGAACATAATTAGTAGAACTCTACGCGATGACCAACCCCACTCTAGCAAGTGTATAATCTTGCCCATTAGCAGAGTCTCCGGCCAAAAAGAGAGCTCCTGATAGATAAGAAATGATGAATCGCCAACCATATAAAACAGACTATGAGAGCATACACCTTGCCCCCGCTGAGACCATTCTAGACTTGGATCCTTCTCATCTGTGCTAGATGTCGCTGACAACATATTTCCAACAATCTCATGGCCAATCTGTCGACACTGTCTTTCATAAACATACGACCATTTCTTACAAGAAAAATGCCCTCCTTAGATAATAGATTTTAATATATTTTTGGCTTAAAAGGAAACTGTCCGACAGAATATTGAACGTGCCCCGCTGACATATTTTGGAAGCCAAGATATGAGGGATCATTCTCATTGGATCACTGAAAAATTCTAAAAGACCACACACTTCGCCAGAATTGATAACCCAAGTAACGAATTTCAGCTTGAAGCCTCTGTAGCACCTCACATTGTTGCGAACCCTTTCTTTCAATGCATTGTTATCATATACGAACCACTGGGCAGCCTTTTCCAGGAGTTGGGCAGTAAATGGTGGAGAGGAAGAATGCTTGGAATGGATTACGGGCTTCGTCCACCCACAATATGACATAAAATCTTTGCAAGAAACGGGAAATGGAAGCAAAATCGCAGCAAGTAATGCAGGTTTCTAAGGCAAGAAGGAAGAACAATCGCAGAAAGTCAGCTTCCGGAGCAGTAGATAAGCGTTTCATTCCTCGGAGGTACTATTGAGGAGAGCTTGATGGGTACCTCGGGAACGAGGCCGAGCCTGATGATATGAGCGGAGAGCATAGCGAGCGCGTGCAGCGTGGCGGCGCCGGAGCCGATGCGGGCGCCCTCCGGATCGGGGACGGCGAGGGTGACGGTCGATTCGGCGATCCGGCCCATGCGCTTGGCCCTCCGCAGCTGCCAGTCGTAAAGCTCGGCCTGCTGGGGGCTCGCAGCGGTGAGCAAGATGGCGTCCCAAGTGGGCGCCCTTGCAGCGTGCCGGACGGAGAGACGGAGGCGGCACCATGACCTCCGTAGCACCTCCGCTACGTAGTCGTCTCCCTTGGAAGGTTTCCTCCTCCCGCCGCCGCCCGCCGCCCTCTCCTCCATCCTCCGCCCCCCTTCCCACGGCGCCTCCCTTCAACTGATGCCCGTAAACCAGACGCTAATTCGGTGGTCTCCGGGGATAGGGCCAAAGGAGAGGGTGTCAGCCCCTAGAGGCCCAAGTTGTAGAGACTGGTGAAGGCCCTGGGAAATTCCTTCATTAAATGCGTTCCTCTCCTTCCCCCAGTCGTCATCATTTATTGCGAACTCCAGATTCAGCTTCTATGAAGAAAAGTAATCTACCTTAGATATCATTTCATCCGAATATTACCTAAAGTTGGCGTGATTATTTTCGGAAAATCTCATATTTTCTACCAGCCAGAGGCCGTGTTTCGATCTCTCCACTGTCGTATCTGATCAAGGATCTTGCTCACGGAGTATTTGTTGCAGCACAGGATTTGTGTCGTATATCTCTCTACTGGATCAGAGCCCACACACAGTAACAGGACGATCACCTCCTATTCAGACTTCATGTGCGAATTCAGCCTGATCAGAGTCTCGTAGATCTCGGCCGTCTCTTCATGGGAGGTGTCCCCAGCAAGAAACACGCGAACCTTTCTCCCGTCCTCAATCCAGCTGCATCCAGAGCTCCTCTTCATCTTCTTCCCCCTCAAAAGTCGCATCATCTCGGCGGATTCATCCCGCCTTCTCGCAGAAGCGTACAACTTTGCAAGAACGACGTAGTTTCCGGCGTTCCTCTCCAACTGGATAAGCTTCTTCGCTGCAACTTCTCCGAGCTCCGGAAATCCATGGAGAACGCAGCCACGGAGGATTGCGCCCCACATCACGGCGTCGGGCTCCACCGGCATCTCCCGAGCAAGCTTGAAGGCCTCGCCCAGGTGCCCGGCTCGGCTCAAGAGGTCAACCATACAGGAGTAGTGCTTGACGCCTGGTTTGAGGCCGAATTTCTCCATCAAAGCGAAGTATTCATAGCTCCTATCAATGGCCCCCTCATGGGCGCAGGAAGATAAGACGGACAAGAAGGTGATTTCATCTGGGTCGACCCCATCTGACAGAAGCCGACGGAAGAGGGCCCCGACCTTCTTCCCAAGGCCATGAGCGGCAAACCCTGCAAGCATGGTGTTGCAGGCCACCAGGTTATGGTGTGAGATCCTCTGGAAGGCCGCCTCTGCAAGCTTTATACTTCCACATTTGGCATACATATCCACCAGGCCCGTTCCGAGGTGGGTACCTGAGTCCCAGCAGGATCTGATCAGGTGGGCATGAATCTGCTTCCCCCTCTCGATACTCCCCAACCTCGAGCAGGCGGGTAGAATGATGCCCATGGTGTAGACATCAGGCTTCAGACCAGAGGACTGCATTTCAGCAAACACATGCAGAACCGATTCATACTGTTCGTTCTCCATTTGCCCCGAGAGGATTCCGTTCCATGTATGGCCATTGGGTTCTAAGCCCCCTTGTTTCATCATGCCGAGGAGGAACCGGGCCTGCTCCATTTGGTTCGATCTTGCGTACCCGGAGATCAGGGAATTCCAAATGGCCAGATCCTTGGAACGTGCTCGCTCGAAAATTCTCCGGGCAGACTCTAGATCTCCGCACCTGCAGTACATCTCCACGAGAGCGCCGCTGACGTGGGTATAGGAGCTCAGGCCCCGAGTAAGGGCGAAGGAATGGATCTCCTTCCCCCGTCCCAGAGAGGCGGCTTCGGCACAGGCCATGATGCTGCTGCCCAGGGTGAAGGAGTCGGCGGCGACGCCTTCCTCAAACTGCATGTCTCTGAAGAGCTCCATGGCCTTGCCGGAGCGCCGGTTGTCAGCGTACCCGGAGATCATCGAGTTCCAGGAGATTGAGTCCCTCTTCACTCCGAGAAGTTCCATTTCATCGAATAGCCTTCTCGCCGTCTCCACCTCGCCATTCTCGCAGAACCCAACCAGCATCGTGTTGAAGGAAGCCGAGTTCCTCGAGGAGAACCTCGAGAAGATCCTGAAAGCGCTGACCATGTCGCCGCATCTCCTGTAGAAGTCCACCAATCCATTGATGATATAGGGATTGGAACTGTACTGATGTCTGACCACATAGCCATGGATCTCCTTGCCGATGGTGAGTGACTGTAATCTTCCGCAGGCAGGCAAGATGCTGGCGAGAACTCGCGCATTTGGCTCGACGCCGGCGGCCTTCATTTGGTAGAACATGCCGAGAGCCTCCCTGTCGTAGCCATTCTGAGCGAACCCGCCGAGAACTGCGCTCCAGGAGACGAGATTAGGAGATGGATCTCCAGACGCCCGCATTCTCTCCAGAATCTCCAGCGCTCCGAACACCATCCCATTTCCTGCACGGGCCGTCAGCATGGAGTTCCATGAAACAAGGTCGGTCTCCGGCATCTTCCTCAGGACCGATTCAGCATCTTCGGGGCTTTCGCATTTACCGTACATGTCGATCAGAGAATTGCCCAGGTAAATGCTCGATATGAAACCCAATTTGACGACGAATCCATGGAGTTGCTTCCCAAGTCGCAGCTCGCTCAGGCCTCCGCAGGCTCTCAAGATTGCGGGGAACACGAAGAATTGCAGTTCCATCTCTTCTTCCAGCAGCCCGAGAAGTAGAGATAGAGCTTCCTCGAAGAAGCCGTGGTCGACGCACGCGCTGAGGATGCTCGACCAGGTGTGCAGGGTCCTGGTGGGCATTTTCTCGAACAGGCACCACGCGCTCTCAAAGCTACCGCACCGGCTGTACATGGAGACGAGCTTCGTGTGCAAGAACTCGGCGCTGCCGGCGTATCCATTCTTGGCGGCGTGGGCGTGGATCTGCCGACCGGCACGGAGGCAGTCGCAAGACTCAACGGCGGCGGCGTAGCCAGCCGAGCCGGGGGACTGCGGGAGCAACAATTCCAACTCGTTCCGACCAGAGAAACTGGCGGCTGCAATCCTGAGAGCTGATCTCCTACAAGAGGAAGCGGCCACGGGTTGCCGGACGCCATTCGGTCCAAAATACCTACGATGGGGGATCATACCCAGCGACGCCGACGGAGCAACCGCGGCGGCGGCGGTCATCCTGGGCTGCTCCGCGGCCGGAGCAGTCTTGCCGTGGGCTTACACGGTGGAACCCTGCAGGCGTGCCGTTCAGCTCGGGTCACTCCGAGCAGGACTTCACCGCCGCAGTGGAACACATCCTCGTCACCGTCGTCGTTTCATCCGGCATAGATACGCGGAGATAATCCACCACCATTCCCTGCTTTCATCGTGCATGGTTTTTCTCTGCTGCGTACAAAACCCACTCCGTGCTGATGTCAATACACGGGGATGCAGAAACTTTGGTCCAAGGCATTAAACATACCACGCTTTTATTAAATAATTGATATTTTTAAATATATATATATATTTTGTTCATTTTGATATGAAAATGTTCCGTTGTAAAGATGTATTTTTTCTATTATTCTACGCCATATTTTAATTACAAGGAAATAAAATGTTGTCATTTATAAAAATAGTTAATAAGGAAAAACCCATCAATCTTGCTCATTATGTAAAAAGAAAAGTCCAAATTTGCATAGTTTTTCCACATATGTTTGTCTGCTCCCCACCCTTAAAAAATAGCAGCTTAATGAGCTATAATAGGAAACAGTTAGGGTTCATGGCTTTACTTATTGACATTTAGATGCATTTATTGATAATTAAATGGCGTGAAAACACACCATCGATTTAATATATGAAAAATAATAGCTATATTTGACCGCTCTTGCAAAAGTAAGCATAATGTCGACTGACGTTGATGTATATGTAGAGAGAGAGAGAGAGAGAGAGAGCATATTAATAAGCTTAGGAATCACAGATATCTAGTCCATTGACGGTGTGACGCATCCGGCGGAACGGAGAGGGAAGCCTCACGTGGGCCATGTAGTCCATTAATATTTTGGGCTACGAATCGGCACAGATCCTTGTCGGAGCGAACTGTAATGTTTGAAATTTCTCGACCTTGTCTGAGACAGGTGGAGAAATTTATTTATTAACCCGTGGAATTTTTGAGGCCAAGGTCATCGAATTCTCTGCCACGTTCATTTGCCAGGCTTAGAGTCAGAGTTCGCGTCATCAACACTCTCTCTCTCTCTCTCTCTCTCTCTCTCTCTCTCTCTCTCCGTGTGGTTGTAGCAGCTGCTTCGAAGGACTGAAACATCGGTCTCTGTGGACTGTAAAACCTTCCCACGGTGGCTCCGCTTTCTCCCCTCACCTCCTGCTGATCTACAGTAGGCAGCACGGTGACCCCCTCTGCTGCTGGAAGCTGCTACATCATTCCGCACCCTCCCAATCCCAATAGACCACGTTATTATCTCCCCGCAGAGAAGACTGCTCCGCTCACCGGCGTCTGCATACGGACGCCGCAGCGACCAATTTTCAGGCGCCGCCCTCCGGCAGTAAAAGAAGGAACAGTGGGAGCCTCTGTCTTCCTCGCTGACGATCTCCCTGCGCCTGCCTGACGCCACTGCTGCTTAGTGGGATGTTTTCCGGTCGGCGGCGGCGGGAGGGCGGCGCTCCGTCGTCGGCGAAGAAGGGGGTAGGGGGGAAGCACGGCGGGGAACTGTTGCACAGGAGAGACAGGATGTGATGGGCGGAGTTTTGGAGTACCTGGCTGTCACTGTGGTGCAACTCACCCGCCCCCATTATCGTCCCCCAAGGAAAGTTACTGTTGGGTTCACCCTTCCCCTCCTAATTCTATCCATTTTCCTATTTTTTTATTCTAGGCTGAATGATTCAGAAACCCGGCCCGGCGGGCCCAAACTCAACCCACCTCCTATTCTCTCTCTCTCTCTCTCTCTGAATAGTGACAGAGAGAGTGAGGTGACAGGGCTGTTTTGGGCCTGGCCCAACTTCCAAAGCTCATCATTCGGGCTCTTCTTCAAGCCCGGGGAATGTCGAGGACCTCAACTCGCATCACGAAGTCGATATATATATATATATAATAATGTGAAAGATTGTATGTATTTACGTACCCTTTTTATGTTGGAAAACCCGATGACAGTCCTCCCCACCTTTCTGATCCCCATCTTGGTAAACGGCCATGGCCGAGCTGATGGACCGGAAGGAACCTTAAAATGCTATCTTTCGCATCTCGTAACACCGTTCGCCGTCCGAGCTCTAGCCACTTCCGCCCCTACCTTCACCTCTCTCTCTCTCTCTCTCTCTCTCTGTCTCTCTCTCATCCTGTCCAATCCATGGGTGTTCTTACATCAGAGCAAAAAGCAGACTATTCTTCCCTGACAGTTTCAGAAACGCGATAAACACGTAGACAAACGAAAACCAGCACCGGGTTCTTCAAGATCTGCCGGTCAATAAGTTGGCCGTCGAGAGAGCAGATGATCTCCCAGATCTCTCAACCATCTCCCCGTTCTCGGCTGGCTCGTCACACGACGACCAGCTCTCTGCAACAGTACTCGAATCTTGGATTTGGTGGTGCATAATTTTATCGTAAAATTAATTATTTTTTAAGCTTCAGAAGAACAGAAGAGACGCGGCCGATTTTTTACGGGAAACGTGAATTCCTTTCATATATCCTAAAATTATTTATTCGGGATTAAGAGTCAAACGCAGGATCAACTTGGTCAACAGCTTAAGATCTACTGGGTTTTTTTTGGTTCGAGGGATCGGTGGAAGTCTCCCTCAGAGAATCTGACCGCTCGACGCGGACTGAGGACGCGGGCCAAGATTTTGTCGGGCATAATATCCTCGAAACCCCCCCCCTCCCCCACCTCACCCCCTCTCATTAAAATTTACAGAAATTGACCCAGAGCACGGGTGATCTCATCTTCCTCAGCCATTGGCTGCGTTCTTTAATCTGCATCACCATGGAGAATATGCCCACTCTCTCTCTCTCTCTCTCTCTCTCACTCTCTCTCTCTCTTTCCTTCATCTGTCTGGGAATGTCTCCTGCAGAAGTCACCGGGGGGAGAGAAGGGGAAACTTCCTGTTGTATGGCTTTCCTTGCTCGTCGACATGTGGGCAGGGCCACACGTGCGAATCCGGCACCGAACCCACTTCCCGGGGGGGGGGGGGGGGAACAGTGGACTTGGGGCGCTCAAACGACAGCCCGCACGTGCCTTCATAAATCTAACAACCCCACTAGGACGAACACCACCCAACCTCTCTATTATTGAAAGTCAGCTGACTCTTCTCTTCTAATGCGTTTTTGGGAGGGGGGGAGGGGCCGTCAAGGGGGCATGCTGATTGGATAGTCAGGGCTCAGACACACGTGCGCCCTATGGGTCGGTGGAGAATGCCCGTCACTCTAGATTGTTATAGTAATGCATGTCGGCTGTTGCCGACTCTATTCTCTCACACGTGTGAAAGAATCCTGTGTTCCACCCCTGATCTGCCCCTTGAATCTGCCGACAGAGCCGATCAGACGACAACCTTGAGTGAGAGAGAGAGAGAGAGAGAGAGAGAGAGAGAGTAACGTTGGAATTTATTATAGATATGCTGATTGGGAGTGAGAGAAACCTACGCTCAGATAACGAATATTAGTCTTCATATTTGATGTTAGTTGATTACGACATGGAACAGATGTATGTACGATATTGTGCGGGTACATATGACCGAAGACTTTGGGTCGGAAGTGTCTCAGCAATACGGCGTTCAGGGTCAACGATTGCGTTCAGGAATCCACTCCCCCCACGACTAAAACTAACCATCCACACGTTGCTCTTATCGCGTGTATGGAATTGTTCACCATCATGGTTGACGACAGGATGTACGACGTGTCTAAACCGTCCCTTGTTTTCTAAATTCTGGGGAGAGAGTGAGAGAGTGGAAGAGAGAGAGAGAGATTCTCGTGCGGTCTGCATCATTTTCTCTCTATTCTGGCCACAGAGAAGAAAGGCACCTTCTCGGCCGTCCAATGCCGAGTTGGCTGGCCAGCGCCAAAGCAGCAGGCTAATCGCCGTGTTTCTCATAACCCTTGTTGGGACGCCACATGGGGGGTGGCCCGCCTGCTCTCCGATAGCCATGAGTGGGATGGCCTTCATCTCCATCTTCTCTCTCTTCTCTCCTCCGCAATGGAGCATCTGGTCGGTGGCACGCATGGCTACGGGAAGATGTCATTCCAAAGCTTCCGCGGCAAGCATGGGCAGAGATCGGCGGCGCCACGTCGCGACGGGAGAACTCGTTTCATGTGGGTGGCATGTGCAGGTGATGACAGCTTCTCCCCAGTCCTGCCGCTGCCCACTCTCCTCCCCCTCCTGAAGTCGCCAGCCGGATCTATCAGCTGCTGCGGTGGCAAAGTCCGAGAGCTTCCCGTTGATCGCATGGTCGAGGAAGACGGTGGCCTCCCCGTGCGGCTTTTTCTGCGATGACCACTGCGATCAGTCTCCCTGTCCTTCCGGGCATAATCTTCTTCTTCTTCTTCTTCTTTCTTCCTCACCTGCTTCACCTCTGGTGCAGCCGCATTAAGGAATGGGCCCTACCTTCTCCCCCCGTGGTCGGGGGCTTTGATGGCTACCGCTTTTCCTTTTGTCGGGTTCTCCGCACTCACCCCGCCTCTCTCTCTCTCATTCTCACCGCACGCGCTTCGTCATCCTCTCTACCTCCCCCCCTCGGGCGGGACCCATCTTTCTTCCTAGTGGACAAGGCGCTTGATGGACGGGTGACCGAGTTAATGACTGACGATGGATCCACCGCAAGCAGCCTTCTTCGGTTGCCTCATTTCCCCTCTCACACCAGGCCACCTTGACTCCTCTCTCTCTCTCTTTCTCTCTCTCTCACTTACTCATCTCTTCGAGACCGTGCATCTCTGCAAGTCTTTAGATGGGAGCGAGAGTCAGAGGAGGGTATTTTATTGCGAGAATAAAGTGACGAGGGTTTTGAAAATTATCCAACCGCAGGCTCGCGGTGGGGGGAGGGAGGGAAGACACTGCGGCACTCACAGTGTATGCCCTCAGGAGGAGAAGCCTGTGCGAGGCACAGTGTATCCCTCCCCCACGCAGCGGCAGGAGGAGACCACGACTATGCCCACGTAAACGGGAATAGCTCGCCCCAAGCAGAATAGTATGTAGCAGATGAGAGAGAGAGAGAGAGAGAGAGAGAGGGAGCTACATACGCAGACGGGTCCTATCGTTGCACCGAAGACGACCCGCTCGTCTTCTCCCCCTTATTTCCATCGGCTAAACCCCAGAACACTCCGAGTCTCATTGGTCTTCTGGCGTCTACGATGGAAGTACGCGTGAAACTTACGCAGGGGGTGGAGCGGCCTCATCTGACGGAAGAGGAAGCGAGAGTCGCCGCGGACGGCGACGAGGGAAAGCCTGCGGCGCCGTCGGCTGTAGATGCCGACAAGGCCCCGGAGCAAATCGATTATTCTACGGAGCGAGACCTCAAACGGTTTGCATCGTCAAAAAGATAGAAAACGAAACTTCCGGTGGTTTTGGGCCTCTCTAGACGATGGTTTCTTCCAGGACGTGGAGGAGACGATCTAGGGAGACCTCTTCGTGGACGGCTGCGCTACAGAAAGATTCCGAGTGGCGACGGGAGTCGCGGTGTGTGTGTGTGTGTGTGTGTGTGAGAGAGAGAGAGAGAGAGAGAGAGAGAGAGAGAGCTTTTCTTCTGTGGATGGAGAAGCTTTAACTCTCGTTGGGTTGGTATATGATGAGAGGGCTGCCGCTTCTCTGACCAGACGAACTATTCTAGACGACAGAGGAGGTGATGCCTGTACAATGAAATATTTAATATGAAGATATATGTTTTCTGGGACCTAACAGTAAAATTACAATCGTATATCTTATTACGTATAATAACAAAAGAAATAGCTACACACACACACACACACGCCTACAAGCATACGGCACCCCCTCTCTCTCTTTCTCTCTCTCTCTCTCTCTCTCTGAAAATTCCACTGTGGTGGGTTGGGGGAGCCGGTGAGGGCAACACATAAAACCAACCTCCCACTGAAAATCGTCCAAGGGAGGAAGCTTTCCATTCTGCACCTGAAGGGAGAGAAGCTTTGAATCCGCAGGGGGAGAGAGATTAGAGGCGCTGCACTTTGTTCTCTCTTTCTCTCACTGGTTTCTCGTCAGGATCTGGTTGCAGAGACGACCTCCAACCAACAGAAGAGAGCTTTGCATGGACACCGCTCAATGGCCCCAGGTAAATTTAACCCCACGCGCCTGCTAGGCGTCTGGTTCTTGCTGTGACCTTCCTCCTTCCCCCGTCTCTTTCCTTGTTTTTTCTGTTTTTGATGAATGGAGGGTCATGCTCCTCCCTCCCTCCCTCCCTCCCTCTCTCTCTCTCTCTCTCTCTCCCCCCCTCGCTCTTTGTTTTCTCTCTCATCTCTCGTTCTTTGAACCTTGCTTCGTGTTTTGGATGCTATTTGGTGATGTGTGTTGATGAATTTGATGCTGATTATACAGACGTAGATCTCCAAACCCTCCCAGTATTCTCCTTCTTCAATCCCTTTTAACCTTGAAAACATCCCAACCTTTTCGCTTTTTTTCCTCCTTTCTCTCCTGCTTTTGCCGTGGTGGCGGCCATGGTTCGTTGCAATCTCTCCCAAAGCGATATCGCCCTTCATAAACTTTTATCTCCTCTCTCTCTCTCTCTCTCTCTCTCTCGCTCTTCCTCCCCTCTGCCTTTTGGTTTGTGGTAGTGTTCTTGAGAGCATATAGAAGCCGCATTCACCCTCGTTCAGGGTCTCCTATAATCATCGAGAGCCTGTGATCCCCTTCACAGATACACCCCTCCCCCCTTCCCTCTTCTCTCTTCTATCTCTCTCTTCTTTATTCTGGAGTGCATAAAGAAGACACCTCGAGCTTTCTTCCGGTCTCGTCTGACGATCTTCGGGGTGTGACATGGGGCTATGTTTTACAGGACATGGGCCTGACGAAGTCCTCCATGGAGGGGATGATGGTGCCCTCGGGATGCACCACAGCAAGGCCTCAGCTGATGGAGAGGAGACCGAGGCCGCCGAGGGAGCACGCTTTGAACTGCCCCCGCTGCCAGTCGACCAACACCAAGTTCTGCTATTACAACAACTACAGCCTTTCCCAGCCCAGGTACTTCTGCAAGACCTGCAGGAGGTACTGGACCGAGGGGGGCTCCCTCAGGAACGTCCCCGTTGGCGGGGGCTCCAGGAAGAACAAGAGATCTTCCAATTCCTCCTCCTCCGCCACTATCACCCCCCCTTCCTCCACCGGCAGCACCCTCGCGTCGACTTCAGCCACATCGGCGAAGAGGGCACTGGATCACCCCCATCCTTCTCCTCCGCCCCCTCTACCCATCGCGTCCTCGACTCAGACCTCCAGATTTCACCAAGGACAGGATCTTAACCTAACCTTCCAGCAAACTCACAGGACCGGGGATTTCTGCTCCACGGTCAGCCCTAACCCGTTGACTTGCTCTTCCGCCGCCAGCAGCGGCGCTCAGTCGGCCATGGATCTTCTCCGGGGCGGGGTCTCTTGTAAGGGGATGAGCCCCTTCTTGCCGCTGATGATGGCGCCCGATGGCGGTGCAGTTTACTCAGCCGGCTTCGGCCTGCAGGACTTCCGATCGAGCTCCATTAATTTCCCCCTGGATGGGATCGCCGGAGATGGTGTGTATGGTAACGTGCAGGACGGCAGTGGGAGGGTGTTCTTCCCCTTCGAGGACCTGAGGAGGCACGTTTCCTCAGGTGATGCTGACGTGGACCAAAGTAGGGGACAGGGAGGTGACCCCTCTGTGTTCTGGAATGGGGTCATTGGCGGTGGTGGTGGGGCTTCATGGTAGGAGCTCAAGCAGGAGAAACAGGATACCCAAAACAAAAAATCAAGTCTTTGCACAGGTTTGCCTGGCTGAGGAAGGTGGAGGCGATTTGTGTTACATATCCCCTCTCTCTCTGTCTCTCACTCTCTGGGGGTTTGATCAGGGTGATGGTGGAATGATGGTATCTGCAAATATCGTTGAGACTAACAGCATATCGGACTCTTGGGAGTTCCTCCCCCTCCACCCTCTGATTTCAATTCGTTTCTTCTATCCTTTGTATTTCTCTCACCCGTCGTTACTGTGGACATGTGAAGCTTCTTTTAGTTGGCTTCGGAACCTGCGCTCATTAGCAGGAGAGAGGTTTTTTGCTGCGAGGAGATTAGAGAGAGATAAGAGGGACAGCGAGACAGAGAAGAAGGCGGTCTAGAGTTCTTCTCTTCTCTCTGATAATTATTGCACCAGAACCTATCCACTATCCCTGCGAGCTGCTCGGCTCACTCATCCACCTTCTGATCATACTTCTCTCCGGATCTGATCATATCATCAGTTCTTAGTGAGTGCATGTAGATCATTCGAGTCTGTATTGATGAAAAAAATAAAAAAATAAAACCACATTTATTTTTGACTATCTGTTCAAACCAATTCACTTACAGTGGCATTGTGTCCATTAAATATTTCCATTTAATATATTTTCCTTAGTTTTCTCCAATCTCTCCCTCTCTCCCTCCCTCCCTCCACTCTGGCTCCGTCTGCTCATGCCCACAGAGATTCTTCCGGCTATAGTACTCTAGGGAGAGCTCATGGGCAGGGAATGGGTGGGCAGGATCCCACACCACCACACTCCGAGGCCCTCTTTCACATGGCCATTACCGTAAATATTATTATCTAGTCACATATAGTTTTAACTACTAGATCACCTTCTCTATATAGATAATAGGGACATTATTGTACATTAGTAAAAAACTAGAAGGCTTTGTGCCGTCATTCCCCCCCCCCCCCCCCCCCCCCCGCGCCCCTCTCTCTCTCTCTCTCTGCCGCCACCATGTGAGAGAATAAATGGGCACAGACTCTCTCAGTGCATCCCTCCTTGGGTGACCCATCGCCTTCTTCGTTGTTTAATAGCGGCAGATTTTCTCTTCCCCATGCAGACCCCTTCTGAAGCGAGCCGGGGAAACATTCCCTTTGGGGGCTGAGCTGTGGGGGACGCCTCCTCTCCCTCTCTGAGCTCGCCATGGTTGGGCTTTCCTTCCTCACAATGACTGTTATGCTAGGACAAAACGAGATTTCAGGATCGTAAAGCGCCGTCTCTCCGCTATATGATGAACCTGTATTTTCTTAGGGCAAACGTTAAGATGCGGATAGAAGAGAGAGAGAGGCGGGGGGGGGGGGGGGGCTGTTCCTTCCTTGTCCATTTTTCCGTGAGAATAGAGAGAGAAATAGGCCTGATCTTTCCTTCTTCGTCCATTAAACGCAAGGAGTAGTAAATGGGGCATCTTATATGATCCTTCTTCTTTGCCCATTTGACCCTATTAGGTAGACAATCACGTCTGATATTTCCTTCTTCGCCTATTCTTTCCAAGCGGGGGGAGAGAGAAAGAGAGACAGAGAGAGAGGTGCATGGTGGACCCTGCTACTAATGAGCTTAGTTTGGTGCCCCATCGCAGGCATACGAGACAAAAGGGAATAGAGAAGATACATGAAGAAGAGCACAGTTTCCTGTCGAATTCTGAGGTTCAGACACTTACCATGGTTTTCTTCTCCCCCCACTGCACTGGGAATGGAGCCCTGCGGCGGTGTCTCATTCGTTTGGCCTCTTCCTCCTGATAGTGAAACTCCGGGGGGATTCCCCCACCGGGGGCACTGGGCGATGCGTCTCGCCTTCCTCAAGTAACCCCTATTAAATCTTCCGTGTTGAGAAGGACTTTCAGAGAGAGAGAGAGAGAGAAAGAGAGCGAAAGAGAGAGTTGGGGGGGGGGGGGGGTTTCTCCTGCAGCGACATCGGAACCTACAACGCAATAACTCTGTCGTCCCGGTTTTAGCTGGTCAAGGTCAGCGTGTATAGTTCTATCAAGCTTCATGCTTCCAATTTTCCCAAGGGAAGAGAATCTAACTTGGCGTCTTGCACTTGCCAGTATCTCGTTGGTACTTAGCAATATGCATCCCACAAAAGGAATGCCTGTTTCGCCCGACTACACATCTTCCCTCTTAGAACCCCTGCAGCCTCTCTGCACTCGTGTCTGTGACAGAGCGAGCGAGCGAGCGAGCGAGAGAGAGAGAGAGAGAGAGAGAGAGAGAGAGAGAGAGAGAGAGAGAGAGAGGAGATCGAATTATTAACATGCTCATCGCATACGTAGTACTTGAAGTCGTTATAAAGTTGCACGGGGTTAGTGCGATCCAAACATTATTTGTCAACTCTCCAAGTATTGATATGATCCGCCGACAGCCAACTTTGATTTAAACATCGTACTTGACCCTCTATAATATGTACCACTGAGAGGCAATGAAAGAAGCTTTTCGAATGACTGATAGGAATTTTTTTGACGTGGAGATCATTATCAGTCCTTTCAAGTTTGGATCTTTAAGAAGAGCTAGAGAAATAATCTTCCATACTCGGTACCAACCCATCTCAGCCCACCAGCGAGCGAGAGGGACAGGTGGGCCTTCCCCTTCTGTCTCTACCCCTACAAATCCCGAAGAGAGAGAATGAGACGCAGAGGGAGAGAAACGAAAAAGTGCTTTCACTTCTGTGTCTCGCACAACGAAGCACCAGTCTGATAGGGAGAAAGCCCTTGAGATTCTGGGCCTTTACCCGAGAACTCTATCTTCTTCCCTCCCAGCTACCACACCCCCGCTCGCCCCATATACGGCCAGTTCTTCAGCCTTGCAGTACGAGCAGCTGTTGTCCGTCTCGCTGCCCGCGGCTGCCGGAGTCTCCGTGGCTCTGCTTGCGGCAATCCATCGCCGTCCCTTCTGATCTTCTCTCCACCCTACACCGCCCGAACTCCAGCGGAGACAGGCCCGCAGGAGTTCCACCGCCGCCACGTTGAGCGGAGCCGGCGATTCGCCGCCTCCGCGGGAATGAGAGCGGCAACCGAGTGCAGCAAACATAATATTGTAATATAATGCAATGCAAAGACTAAATACCATCCTTTCCATAAGAAAATCTACCTAGTTCTCGCTCAGATGTATTGATTCTACTGCCGGAAAAGATAGAGAAAGCACCAGGGTTCCCCATCTTCCTCGCCCTTGCCTCAACAGCAACGTTTCATTAAGCATTGATAAAAGCAAGCTCCATACAAAGTCCACCCGATCGGTGGGCCCGGAGATCCAAAACACGTTACCAGTTCGCATAATCATCGGACCATCAGAGTGTTATGACGATCATCTACAGATAATTTTAGCAAGCTGACCTTCACCTGCTTCCTCGGAAGCATACCCGAAAATAGTCTTCCTTAACTGGAGCTCCCACGATCAAGAGCCGGCAAGCACCTGGATATGATCTCCACGGCTAGTTCGATCTCCTCCTTGGATATTATCAACGGCGGGACGAGCCGCACGATGTTGCCCTTCCCTGCCGTGAGGACCAGAAGGCCGGAGCTCAGGCACTCCTCGACGAGGGGAGCTGCCGGGACGTCCAGCTCGATCCCCGCTATGAGCCCGAACCCGCGCACCTCCTTCACGTGCCGGCTCCCCCCCAGCTTCTTGGAGAGCAATTCTCTCAGGTGGACGCCCTTCTTCAAGACGCCCTCCAAGAACCCGGGGCTCTGAATCTTGTCGAGAACCGCTAGCGCGGCGTGGCAAACCAGCGGCCCTCCGGCGAAGGTGCTGCCATGGTCGCCGAATCCGATGCTGGCGGCGACCCTTTCGGTGGCCAGGACGGCGCCAATGGGCAGGCCTCCGGCCAGCGGCTTCGCAAGTGTCATTATGTCGGGGTATACGCCGAAGGCCTCATGGGCCCAGAGGAACCCGCTCCGGCCCAGCCCGCATTGAACCTGGAGAACCCACATGGCAGCCGGAATTTCAACGAGGGTGGATGGTTTAGGACTAATCAGAACGATGTAGATGAAATATTGAGAGAATTACAAGTACTTTAAGCCCACCAGAAAAAAATAATATTTCTCCATAAAACCCTCAAAGCTCTCGATGGGTCTCGTCTCATGACTAAAACTGAGCCTCGTGATCCGATCTCATATGCCAAAGGCAAAAACCATTGATTGCAGAAGCCTATAGTGGGCATGATCAGATAAGCTATGGCAGGATCTTGTATTGAGGCAAAACGGATTCCATAAACTGTGGAGGATGATTTTAAAGTGTTATGAGGCCACCACATTATGAAGCACAGGAGCAAAGCAGTAACAAGAAGGAAATCAACAGGAGATGCTCACCCTCTCCCCTCTCTTCCCCCATTAATCTCAAGGAATATATCTCGATAGTCCGCTTAATCCATCTCCATTCCTCATCCCGTTGCTCCACATGAACTGTAGCTTCGTCGATGATCACTAGTAATTAAATTTGAATTACAGATTAAATGATTAGAAAACATGAATCATGGTTTGTGTTCTCCCACTCTAGCTCCACTCACTGCCAATCAGTCTCTTTCAGGTTGCTGAAACAGGGGATCTCATGGATGTTTATCAGCGCTTGTCTATATACTTTTATACCAGCCTAGACGAGTTCATTGCACCAACCTGGGATGATCATGCCGAGCTTGACATATTACGGTGTAGCCTAAGGGGATTCTAGGAATTGCGGTGTAGGGTTCCCTCCCTATATAATTCGAGAGAAACATCAATGAAAATCGAGGCAGCTTTCCGCTGCTCCTCCCCTCTGTTCTCCGAAAAACAGAGGAAACTACATCAGTCAACAAGAGGGGCTGAGACCCTGGATAAATGACTAAATGACTACAGCGTATAAATTCCTAACAAGTGATTAGATCATCGGATACATGAAAATTTTCCACTAAGGTTAAAACACGAAATTCTACAGCAAATAAGTAGTAGTCATCAAGAGTATGAGTTTTAGAGCGTTATTAGAGGGCTAATAATCAGGGTGAACCCATCTGAGTGAAATCATCATCAATGACTATAAGCTGAAATAAGCACTTTCAATAATCTGAAAAAATCAATTTTTGCATAGAAAAAACACTGTAGATATGTGCGGGAGGAGTGCTTTGGGAGAAGAAATGAAGCGATACTGACCATGCCCAGATGCCAAATAAAGCTCTTACCTCATCGAAAACCAGGAGTGCACCAGCTTCATCGCAAGCAGAACGCAGAGCCAGTAAGAACTCCTTGGTGACGCTGTATATTCCACCTTCGCCCTGAATTGGCTCCACGAAGACCGCAGCCACTTTGCCAGATTTTATAGCGTTCTTGGAAGCTTCAATGTCCCCGTACTCTAGGAAGGTAACTCCAGGCATGAGTGGCTCAAAAGGCGTCCTGTACTGCTCCTTGCTCGTCAGGGCGAGGGCGCCCATCGTCCGGCCATGGAAACAATTGGAGAAGGCGATGAACTCCGTAGGAGCTTCTTCATCGCCAGAGTGCGACGACCTCTGAAATTTCCTGGAAAACTTAATCGCCGCTTCATTCGCTTCTGTTCCAGAGTTCGTGAAGAAGACTCGGTCGGCGAAAGAACAGTCCACCAGTCGTTTTCCGAGCTCAACCTGCGATGCAAAAGATGACGGAACGATGAAGAAGCCCGAGATCAAACCATCATCAAGCACCACCATTCCGATTGACGAAATAATCAGTAGACAACGCGCTTCTTCTGGCTAGATATAAATCTCAGAGAAAGAAATCTCTTACCTGGGGAAGAGTATAGTAGATATTGCTGACGTGAGTCAACGTGCCTGCCTGCTCGACCACCGCCTTAACCCAATCCGGGTCTCCGTGCCCGATCGAGTTGACGGCGATCCCTCCCGCCATGTCGAGATACTCCCGCCCTTCGACATCGTAGAGTTTGCAACCACGGCCACTCTGGATGACGACCGGTGTTCTTGCATAGGTCCTGACGAATACTTCTGCCTCAGTCCGGATAACTCGCTTGCTCTCCTCGCAATGTAGCCGCCCGCCAAGATTCGCCGGCGGCGGCGGCGGCGCCGCCTTTTTGGGCTCGGAGGCGAGACATGCAGAGACCCCGGAAGGGTGGGCACGGTCGACGGCCGAAGCAGATACTCCCCAATTCTCCAACCCAACAAACCGAGGGAATGCTGAAGACGCCGCCACCGCTGACCCAGCTGCGAACCAGGCGGAGTTGGCGAGGAACGCCTGGAGAGGGGCCATCTTCTGCTCCTGCGGGAGCGGCGGCGAAGAGGAGCAGCGAGCCGAATGAGATACTACGATCAATCTGGTGGCGGGTCAGCCCGCGACAGGAGGGGAACCCAGAAAAAAATGACGCCTTTTGCCCCTGGAGAGAGATTACCCTAGAGCGAAGACGGTCACATGGGCCCCCCCCTTCTCTTCCCTAGCCGTGGCGGCCTGCTACGAAGACCGTTGCTGGGGTGTTTCTCTCTCTTCCGACCGTGCAGCAGGGAGAGAGAGAGAGAGGGAGTGAACAAACCTTGGAATTCGCCGCAGGGAAAAAGGGAAAGTGGAGAGCGCCGGACGCCGGAAAGACGGCTGTTTTGATAGGGGTTAGGGCGTTGTTAAATTTAAATAAATTTAATTAAAGCCCAAGAAGGCAACTATTTGATATAATCCTCACAACCGGACCAGATACAGCAATTAAAGCTCAGTTCAAAGTACTTTAAAAAGCCGAGCTACCCACTTCTCAAATCTTCCAAAAATGGCAAAATATTTCCTTTTTTTGGAAAATTTCGGATTTATCCAAGAAATCCCTCCCACTCGGCCTTTCCCCAAGAAAAACTATTGCACCGCAAAGATATTATTTTCCCATTAATTAATTGGTACTTTTTGGGGGGAAAAGTGCTGATATTATTTGCCTTCAAGCCCAAGAGATAGCACATGGAACTAACTCATCGATAAAGCCTATGAGGAGATCAACTAGACATGAGGGAGGAGGGAGGGCAGCCTAGACAGAGGAATGAAGGGCTGAGGAAGATCAGGCCGTACATGAGAGATCAGACGTCGGGGGATCATTGCAAAGGAGTAGGATCATGAATGGGGAGATGGGTCAAACCGTTTACTGAATAGGGATCTAGGGATGGGGTCCCCTGAACAACGGATGAAGTATAAGTTGCGTTGACCAATGAAGTATAATCTACCATCTGAAGTGTTCATCAGAGAAGGTGAGCTGGGTCAAACCCAGACGAGGTTCAGTCGGTCAACTTGCAGACATTGGTGAACCTCTGGACGGCATTCTGGTACTGGGTTCCCTGCACATGGAAAAGAACTACATAAAATAAGGCGCTGATCAAGTGATGGATTCTTGTTCTATAAGAAAATGGCGTGTCGCATGGAGTATGTGAATGAAACCCTTTGAAGAGAAGAGGGCACCTCCCAGTAAAGCTGGCCACAGTCCATGCACTGCCAGAATTCTAAGTCCCGTTTGAAGAGGCAATTGGGAATCACTTGGAAACCCTTTGAAGCTGCAACGGCTTCTTCAATACTCAATGGTTTCTGAATGAAACGACCGTTGCATTTAGAGCAACGTGACATAAGCTGTTCCTCGGAGATTTTCAGCTGGAAGGTTTCAATCACCTGCCATCAAACGCAAGTCTATTGGTGAATTGTTTCTCAGTAATTTCGGAACTTTGGAGGATAATACGCCATTTCCTAGGAAAATCTCATGAAAGAAAACCAATTTTGTTTCCCCCAGTTAGTCCTTTCATTCGGGAAACATTGCCCCACATATATCCAGCTGTCACCGTTCCCTGGGTAAGAAGTCAAACCTGAAAGTCTTGGGTAACATCTGCCAAAATCCGGGAAAAATCAAGACTTGCTATGTTCAGATGAAATACCCTCTTCTGGCGATAAATAAAGAGAAAATCTTTGATGAATTGATGGGTTTCATTTTGAGCAATAGTAACGAGTTTCTCTTATCTGATTTTTTTTTTTAATCGAGAATAAAAGAAGAAAACCACTGAAGAAAGAACAAAGAAGTTGATTTAATTTTTTTTCACAATAATTTAGCATGCAAGGAGAAATATACCTCCAATAGTTGGTCGTTCTTGATTAAACTTTTCAGCTTATATACTTGATTGCCTATCAAATACTGATGCTTCAAAAGCTTTGCATCTCGCGTTAAAATAACCCTTTTTTCTTTGTGCGCCTGTTCTATCAACTGCCTGAGGGCAAGGCGATTGTTGCAACATTCAATCATCTCATACAATTTAAATGTTACTTTCCACGAAGAAGTTAAAAAAAAAAAAAAAAAAGAGTCTGTCCAATGAAAGTACCTTGGTTCGGGCTTTTTCACAGAAGGAATTGCAGCATCAATTCCAACACATCGCAAATATTTTGCTAAACCTTCTACCTGCCAATGTTCTGCCTGATAAGCTCTATTTGTTCTATTCAGGGAGAATAACTTAGCTGAGACTCTCATACACTATGGTCAACATATAAATTTAGTAAGGAAAACACGTGGTGGAATCAAAAAGCTCGTACCATTACATCGCACAGAAACCTTGGGCATTCGTCCCCCCCACCAGCTGAATCCCATGGTGGGGGACCCTGCCAATCACTGACCATTGCCAGATGATCTTTAGATTTCCAAGATGCTGAAGGCTGCCTTCTCCCTTTCCGTTTTGATGTCCTTGGTTTTCTTTCCGACTCTTGCAAAAGAATCCTTTCGCCGTATTTTCTGACAATTCCTGACAGGGAGATATCCAGTGGAAGAGTCGATTCAAGTGAAGGTGTGGATGTGGATTCTGAAGAAAGGGGGACACTTGGGAGAGCATAGCCACTTGATTTTACGATATCGCTTGCTCTGCCAAACTTGATTCCCAAAACATTATCACAGACAACCGGTGCCTTGAAAAGATCTTTCAACCCAGAGCTCACTCTAGATGAATAGACCTCCAAACTGTCGGCAAGAGATTCATCTGCAGCAGAGTTAATTGCAATTCTAGAAAACATAATAATAATGCAGTCTATTGTTGAATAATGAACACGGCACAGACGATCAAACAACATTAAGTGAATCTATTTAACAAAGGAAACTTCATAGCGAACTATTTTCCGAGAACTAAGATTCAACCCCGTAGATGCATTTGATTTTTGCCAGGATTTTATCCTATTTCAGTCACATGATTGAGGACTGAAGAATGAATGAACCTTCTTCGGCCTTCCTACAGGTTCAGAATTCCCTACACTTAGGTTACTTAAATGATGCAAAAGCACATGCTCACGTAGTTCATCTAATTGGTACACCATTTTCACAAGAAGAAAATTGAGCGCCTTCTGAGCGAACTCTGACTTGTGAACAGACCAATCCTAGACCATTGGCATATCCATGATCGGAAGAATTATCTTTTCAAGCTAGGGTCCATTTTAGTGGCCTTTTGAGACAAGAGAATAAAAGGCTGGGGAGTTCGTATGATAACGAGCTCGATTTCAAGGGTCAGCAGAAAAAATACATGGCATTCTATTGATAGAAAAAACTGTGAACCGAGAAGAAACTAAATTTCAAGAGAGAAGTCTTTGAAACCATGGCCGACCATCTCGAATTGCGTGCCATGCTATGCTCATTAAGTTTGTTGTCTCACATTTATGTTGATCTAATCGGTAAAATTCATAAAAATAAAAAATAAGAATCTGATCCTTTAATTATTTAAAAGACAGCAACTACAAAAGTGGAGAAATTAAATTAAAGCCAATTAAGTAATAGAAAATGTCACTTACCAGGTGAACAACTTTTTATATAAGTGCACCTCCCACTTATTCTTTGAAGTAAAATTCAATCTGACCCATTTCTCAAGGTTACCCCGCCAATAATCAAGTCCTAGTATGAAAACTAGCATACTAGCCCTGCTATGTAGTGTGGGATGATAGCCTCTTCGACGGAAATGTGACATAACATGCAAGTAGTTCGCATAGCATAAATCACAATCTAAACCATAAATCTTATCCATGAATTCGGGGTTGGGTTAATTCAGATTGGTAAGTCTTATGGCATCAAAGCTTATGTATATATTAGGAATCATCAATCTACGAAATCCGTTGAGGAATGATGAAAGGAAAAATAAAAGAAAGAGAGATGACTTTGATATCAGCTACAATATCTTTAAGGAGAGAAAGAAAAGTAAAGAAGATAAAGAGACTAAATTAATATAATATAATAAAACCATATAAAATAAAAATACGATAAATTTGGGAAATATTAAGTATTTAAAAGAATAAACTCCCAGAGACGTGATCATCTTTTGTCATCAGTAACTCATATACTTTTGGTCGATATAAGAAACTGCCTTTTATCTAGCATTTGCATATTTCAATGAATCCTGAGAACTATGATAGGGCGTAAAGTGGAAGAAGTTTTATAATAAATACTTTACGAATATCCGTCCGTCTACAGCTATGCCACAAAAAGGAACATATGCAGGATTTTGTACAACTTTTATAAGTTTGTACATAGATGATGGAATAAATCCATGCCTCACTAGTTACCCAAAATTTCATTGATTGATAGAAGATACCCAAGCTATCAGTTGATTGATACCCAAAATTTTATAGACAGAAATCAAGATACCCAAAATTGATTGATACAATTTCTGTATGGTTTCCTAATCAGTTGAATCTATCAGGTTATTTCATTGACCGAGATGAAGAAAATATTTTTAGAGGTGCTATCTTAAGATAAAATTACTGTCCTAAATACTAGCAGAAAGTAATAAGAAACGCTGGTCATAAGCCACATTATAGCAGCACAGGGTCTTCTAAGAAAAATAAAGAAGGTATGTCCCCAGATTTTTGCACCTTTGACTACGAATGACTCGCCTATACATTCAACACTTCGAACAACACCTTAACAACTACACTCACTGTAACTTGAATCATGCAAGTGATTCACTAGTGCTGTCAGAGACAGAAAAATGACATTTTTAAGAATCCCTTTGCCAATAGACTTATGAGTTTTCAACCAAAATTCTTAACCAGAAACGTCTCATGTTTAGTGAGAGGGTTTAGAACCATGTGCTCGTTCCTGTCTTACATTTAAATAATTAACCGTGGTTATGGTAGTTCACGTATGAAATTAACATGAGATTCGTCCTTAGGGATGGTTGCCAATGATCATATCAAAGGGCAGTTTCCAAGCCAATACTCTGATTTCAAAAATTGTATTTTTTGTCCTAACATGGACAACTTTATATGGAAAAACTTCCCAACGTACTGGACAGGGGTTTGAGTTAGATAGAGTTTTCAGGGAAGCTTGTGGGATCACATCAGAATTGAAAGAGTTCTATTAAAATACAGGCGAGATCAAGGATTTATCAGTCATAACTCATCACATAAACGGATGGAATTCCCGCGAAACAAAAATGTATTTTCTGTACATTGGCACTTTTAGATATGTTTAATGTATACAGCATGATGTTTTCATCACATGCATGTCCACGGAGCGAGAGAGAGAGAGAGAAAAGCAGAGATGTGAAAATCACCAAAACAATATATCTATCCAGGGTAGTCATTGAAGACAAAATAAATCATTTTAAATTCGTCAACTTTATATTGTTCTTTAGAACTGTAAAGTTAAAGCGGAAAATGTGATATCTAACATATGGTCAGGTATCACGAAAGACATACCTTGGTGATTAAAACTGCATTGAAACACATCGAATATTTCAAGCAAGTAGTAAGCATCTGCAGCTGCATACAGTTTCTGTTCATCCGTAAGAGGACGAATTGACCAGTCACTACATTGGAGTTCCTGGATGTACATAGCATGCATCAGATTTGTCCTTCAATAAGGAAATAAGAAAATTATAAGAATCACTTGGCTATCATTCAAGAGAAGAATCTCTAGACATAAAAATAACAAATATGATGATAGACCAAACATTAAATAAAGATACTTATTTTGAATCTAAATCTAGAGGATGGTTTATTTTTACAAGGATACACGTCCAGAATAGTCGAGAATGAATCTTCTCTATTTAGCATATGATGTTATTCCACTACATGCGCCTTTTCTTTCACGATTCCATCACTTCCCAGATGATAATATAAACATCAAACATCAAGGTGGAGGTCTATAGTGACCACATGCTGACCTGCCCCAGAAGCCTGTGAACAGTGACTGAATAAAACTATTGTTAGCAGAAATATGACTATATGTAAGAATCTTCCCCTGTTAAGTCATAATGCGACTAGAGTATGACTCTACTTGGAGCCAAATGACCAGCCTAGTCATCTAAAGACTGGTTTTGCTACCCCGAGTTTGCAGGTACAACTTAACGGATCGTTTCCCATTCAATGCAGTTTGTTTTGACTTAAGTTTTTCTCCTGAAGTTGACCTATGATCTCTGGAATTAGTCTATTCTAATCTAAAATGGGAATGCAGGCCACCTATGATTTCTGGAATAATTTTATTCTAATGCAGAAAGGGAATCCAGACCAACCTTACAAAAAGTAACTCAGCTTTGATTGGCTGATTTCAGGCAAATATATCCTAGTCCGGCTGGCTTTTTAAGCCACATGTTGCTCCTACTCTTGGGTTTCCATTGTATAGGTGGAGAACGAGCTCTGAAAAGAAGAGGAACATAGAAGCATAAAGTGCAGTAATAACAGCCTTCCTCTTCTTGTTCTTGCTGTCCCCCTGGCTCAGAGAACCGGTGCTTGGTCCACATCAAACAGGTGACAAAGAGACGCAGATTTTCTGAAATCCCCTGATTTGAAAATTGTTCGGTGGGGCAACTTCTTCAAAGTGCTTCCAGACAGGTATCTTTACGAACAATCTAGATACGCTGGCTTCTCTTCTATATCCAAGCACCAGTGGGTTGTGATTCAATGACAGGACCCTCAAAAATCTGGATCCTCGTTCCACATTTCACATCTCCAAGAAGAAATCTGGTTTTTGAGCCATGTCATAGTTTATTCTCAAAAAGCAGGAGAATCATGACACCATTTTATTTAACTAATCCAGATTACATCGAAAGCTTTGGATGTTTTTCCCTTCTCTTTCAGCTTCCAAGCTCCCGGACATGGTACCTACACTCTGAAGTCTCACAAAGATTCACCAATTTAAGTGACAGACTCTCAGCTTCAAAATACACGCAGATGCCACCCTCAACAAACCTGCCATAGTTGTGAACATATAACCCTCGTTTGTCAAAGATTAGAAACATCGTGAGAATGCCAAGAAGGCAAAAAAGGTGTTTGGAGACCGTATAGGCTTTGTGTTTAAATCGTATTCCTCTATATATGCAAGACTCCGCATAAAGGCTTATTTTTTTACTTTACTCGAAAGAACCAACACGATGTCAACACTAATGGCGCTACTTAGTGCACTAGCAGAAAAGTAAATAAAGTCCTCCATATGAATTTTTGGAAACTTGGGCTAACTCACGATCTGACCTTCACTTTCGATTGGATATGCGCTAGTTGAAGATCAATCTAGGATTTGAAAAGCTTGGAATGCAGCATATATTCTTCCTCGTGTTTCTTGCTCTACTTGAAACCGACCTTCTTCTGTTCCTTCCTCCCTACCCTATCCGGTTTCCTATCGGACTGCTTCAAGAATCGCTTTGATTCCCAAATTATGGACATAAAAGTTTTAACAAATTGCCAAGATGCCTCCGTGATGAACTGGATGTGTATGACAGATTTGTCTGGAGAACCGAAGCAAGCCATTGAAGAAAGATAGATCGAGGTTCCCAAAAAGAAGAGCTCTTTTCTTATGATGCTGGCAGTACTGCTAAAGAAATTTGGAACATTCCCCCGCTTACAGCAAACTAATCACAATAATGATGGAAAATTAGACTAAGTATAAGTGAAACAGGTCGTAGGTGGTCAAACCTTCGAGAGAACAACTCCAAGCACTTGTTTGCAAATTGTCGCCAAACTCTCTGATTGCTTTGGAGGCCTTTTCCCGTCTCCTGTGCAACCAGTCTTCAGATAGTAGTATACACTAGTAATATCCATAAATGGTTCCACCTGTCCACATGGATTTACAATAAATTAGTCATTTAACAGGCGACATTGCAGATGATGCATCAACTCAGAAATCAAAAGACTTATCCGATAAAGTTGCCAATGAGATTAGGAGATGTTGCATACAACTGATATATCCACATAATGCTAAAGGTAAGATAGCTGAATTTTTGGTCCTCCCTTCTCCTCGTCTTATTGTGAACCAATAGCATTTGTGCAGGAAGTACGGTAAAATTTTCGTGTGCATTAGCTCAGAGTTTCAAAAGACTATTTGAAGTCAGAGATGGCAAGTAAGACTAAGATATGATGAAGTAAATAGATGAATTCAGAGAGATACCACTACGACAATAAATCAAGAACATAAATAAAACCGCCCCCACAAACGTAGCCAGCACCTTTATTCTTCCCAGTTGGTGGAGCTGAACCAATCGAAGAAGGAGGGATGTGAATCGAAAATTGCCAGAATTGACGACGAATTTGAGGAACATGATAATAAGTCGAACGACTCTCGTCTCAGTAGAAAAAGGATAAGGAGAGCCCGAAAGAACCGACGAAAAAATTCACACAATTACACCGATTTAGGTCGCCCAGATTAATATCTAGTTTTCAACAGCTCCATATGATAATCTCGGGGGGGACTGATACCTTGTCGAAGCCCGGATGGCAGCCCTGGGCCGCGAATGTGGAAGACAGGTAAATGAGATCCTGCTTGAATCGGAAGCCCAGCTTCAGCACGTGAGGCGACTCAAACACATCCCTCAGAGTTCCCCAAAATTCGGCGAGCTCCAGAGCGAGCAGATCCACCAAGAACACCCGCGTCCCTCGACCAGCGGGATCCGTCGCCTCCCGGCAGGCGATCTGAAGGAGAGTCACGGTCGGGAACGACCGCAGGGCGGCGGAGGACTTGGCGGTGCCCTCATCGCCATCGTCCTCGCGGGACCAAGGCTTCCACTCGGCGTCTAACCCGACGACGGAGGAGCGGGCGAGGGAACTCTTTAAGAGCTCGTATTCCAGGGACTCGACGGCCGTCACCAGATAAGTCTCGACGGGGATCACCATCCCCTCCCCCGATCCCGTTGCAGAGGAGGAACCGGCCATCATCTCCCTCTCCTCCACCATAGCCGGCCGTCAAGGAGTCGTCCCCTCCCTTCGGTCTATCCCGGTCCGAATCCGCTATATTTTTGGGCCGGGCTGGGCTGGGCTGGGCTTTGGTTGGGCGCATGGTGGGAGTGATCCATTCCAAACTTGCTTTCTTCTTCTTCGGCCGCAGGGGTAGTGATCCATTCCACCGCCGGCAGCGGCGGAATCTCCGCCGCCGGGAGGGATAGATGCAGACAGCGATAACGGCTACGTACATCCGCCCGCCTTCATTTCGGGATCGGCTCGGGCAGGCATATCCTGGCACGTCCAATCGCCGCCACAGTCCGCCGTCGCGGGCTCCGGCGGCCCCACTCAGCTCCAGTCTAATCAGTCCCGGTGCACCGGAGAGGGATCTCAGCATTCCACGTGCAGGTGCTTCTCCCATGCATGCACGGATCGCTGTTAACAGCAGAACAGTGAGAAGAGAGAGATAGAGAGAGAGAGAGAAGGAGGTTTTTAGACTGTAGTTTCCGATCTCTAGCGTGGTGGGAAGATCGTCATGGTCGACACGGCCACCGAGCACGGCTGACGGCGGTGGTAGCTCCACGGGGCGGTGTAGCTTATACCACGTATGGCGGTGTAGCTTACACCACGTATGGCGGTTCCTTTCCTCCACTTTGCGGACTCGATTTACTGGCCGGGAGCGGAGCTCGTGACAGTAACAACACCCAGAGAGAGAGAGAGGAAGAGGGAGAGAGGAGGGAGAGAAGGGCCCCGAAGGTTTGTTGGGAGACACGGGCACGCTTCTCTGCGAGATGACGTGACAATGCATTTCTCCTCTGTCAGGCTTTATCTTGACTAACGTAGCGGCGTGGAGTTTCCTCCCACCGGGGAGAGAGAGATAGAGATGAAGTCGACGACAAGCTTCCCATGGATAGCGATATAACTTCCCAATTCACCGTTTTCTAAGTCGAGAATATTCCATTTTTCAGATCGCTAATCTCTAAAAAAGGGTGAAAAATCGTCGGTCGATCTTGGAATTATCTCGTTCCAAGATTAAAAAATCCTTGGCGAGAGCCCCTGCTATATGGTCACTTCATCTCTCTCTCTCTCTCTCTCTCTCTCTCTCTCTCACTCACTCACTCACTCTTTCTATCTCTTCCTTACCCTTTTTCAATGGCGGACGGGGGTGTGAACTTTACAAGTTCCTTGTTCAAAAACTCATCGTTGAGCTTAACAAAGTCACAAATGAAGCATATTTCTGACGATTTTTGTAAAGGTTAAGTCCAAGATATTGTAATCATAGTTTAGCTTAACAGTAGCAGGCTAGTAAACATGCATTTATCTGGACTACGGACTTAAAATCACCAAAAAAATTTATAGGATTATACTTTATATTAATTTATTGTCTTACTATTGGGTTGGGTGGGCATTAAATAAAGTCAAACTTGTTGAATTATACATATTTTTTTCTTGAAAAATCCGAAAATAAATGTAACCCATAGATTTCTACAAGGGATTTATTCGAGTTTTGCATTTATATTGTGAGAATGAAAGCAGTGCCCCATGAATTTCTATACAAGTTTTAGATGATGACATTCAACCGGTGTCTAAAAAAGGTTGTAAAAGTAGCTCGGAAAGTTCAGCTTTTGTATGCAAGTTAAGACAGAAAAATTCCCCAAGTAGTTGACTACTATGAAAAGCTACATCTATTTTTATTTAGGACGAAAACCATCATATAATTACACACGTGGGAGGCAATGAGCTATGGGTGCTCTTAAAAGGCCGAACTTTTCCGAGCATGGGCCTTATATTTTAAGCCTGTAAAAAATAAACTCCAACGCTCTCTCTCTCTCTCTCTCTCTCTCTCTCTCTCTCTCCCTCTCTCCCTCTCTCCCTCTCTCTCTCTCTCTCTCTCTCTCCCTCTCCCTCTCTCTCTCCCCTCTCCCTCTCTCTCTCCCCCTCTCCATCTCTCTCCCTTTCTCTCTCTCTCTCTCTCTCTCTCCCTCTCCTCTCTCTCTCTCTCTCTCTCCCTCTCCCTCTCCTCTCTCTCTCTCCCTCTCCCTCTCCTCTCCCTCTCCCTCTCCCTCTCTCTCTCTCCTCTCTCTCTCCCTCTCCTCTCTCTCTCTCCTCTCTCTCCCTCTCCTCTCTCTCTCCTCTCCTCTCTCTCTCCCTCTCCCTCTCTCTCTCCCCTCTCCCTCTCTCTCTCCCTCTCCCTCTCTCTCTCCCTCTCTCCTCTCTCTCTCTCTCTCCCTCTCTCTCTCCCTCTCCCTCTCCTCTCTCCCTCTCTCTCTCCTCTCTCTCTCCCTCTCTCTCTCCCTCTCCCTCCTTCTCTCTCTCCTCTCTCCTCTCTCCCTCTCCCTCTCTCTCTCCCTCTCCCTCTCTCTCTCCCTCTCCCTCTCTCTCTCCCTCTCCCTCTCTCTCTCCCCTCTCCCTCTCTCTCTCCCTTTCTCTCTCTCTCTCTGCTCCCCTTCTCCCCTTACCTCAGTCTTTGAAGGGTTAAATTGTGCAGACTATTTTTCTAGATTTCCTTTGAAGCAGGTTAGAGTGTACGGGTTCATGATGGTTAAGATCTCTCATGTATCAATATAACCTATGAAATCAATCAGCTATGTCACCTTTTAGTGACAGAAGTAAAACAAAAATTACCAACATTTTATCCGATGAAAACCATCATAAAATATTTAATGATCCAAGGGAAAAATAGAATTCGGAGAATGAAAGCTATGTAAATCAGCAGTATTATTCAATTATCCTAGAAGTCACCCAAAAGGATACATCAATCAATGCGCCGACTTGATAGTGTTCCAGGCCCGCTCTCCGCAAAGGCCTTCCATCCTCGCCAATCTCTCTCCTCGCTCCTCTCTCTCTCTCGCTCTTCACCCCCACCTTCCACCTCCCATCTCACGTCGTTCTCAGCTCAGCTGTCAACTCTGCTCGTCTCCTCTATGGACGGGCACGCCATGACAGGCGGGTCCGCCACCCAGTGCGCCCCCTGCCGCCACATGATACAAAGCCTGGAGCTTTAATGGCTGGTCTGTTGATTCTACGTTCTCTCTCTCCCCCGCCCCCCGCTTCTACGTTACCAACTGTAGACAGCTCGCAGCTGGGTGGTCCGTAGGGCCCTGGCTCCTCCATAGCCCTCTTGCTCTGGAAAGCCTTTTCTGTCAAGAATGTTGCAGCTAGTTGTCCTCTCTCTCTCTCTCTCTCTCTCTCTCTATCTCTATATATATATATATATACATATCTATCTATCTTCGACTTTTCCCACCATATCTGCATGTGTACTAACCATTGGCCGCGGGCTTTTAGCCTGACAGTGATCGATGGTATTAAAAACAGCTCTCCAGTTGCATATGAAGTGACCCGAATAGATAGAGAGACAGATAAGTTGCTTATCTCTAGAGAGAGAGAGAGAGAGAGAGAGAGAGAGAGAGAGGGTTCATGCACGTTGGTAGTGGTAGGGGGGAGGGTAGGTGGGTGGTGAGGGAGTAAAGTTCTGCCGTCGCGCTAACGAGGGAAAGCCTCATCTTGTGGATAATCTGATCCTCAAAGGACGGATCAAGGTCATCGCTTCGAGGGACCGCCCACTTGCTGGTCCAAAGTCAACTGAGACACGTGCCAGGGAAACTTCATACGTGCCTACCGCTCTGAAGACCCAAAAAATGCAAATATTGTGCATTTAATATGTTTATCTTCGTTCGCGGTCCCATGAATCCGGCAGACGTGGATGCCACGGATTCTAGACTTTCTCATCCAGAAGATGCTGAGTTGTCAAAGCGAGCCTTGATGCCGCTCCTCCGTCCACGTGGACAAATAAGGCGGCCCCGTTCCTCATTTGAGGGCAAGGTCCGATGTGGCCCAACCAGTTCTTGTCACGTCCCTTGTTGGAAACAGCGACGCCTAAGTCGTACTCTAGTTATTTGTCGTTTTCTAATCGAGGAAGAGAGTGACACCGTCCGTCCCATGGCCGCTAAGTTCCGTTGACGGGGTGAGGATGGGTGGGGGATCTTTATCAACGGTCAAGATCAACGCAGCTCCCGCGAGCATAAGTCAAAAATGGCCGGAGGGGGGGGAGGGGGTTCAACGTTGGCGAATATCTTGCGTCAAAGAGGAGTAGCGGCGGGGGCGGGCCGCTTGTGTGGCTGGTCAAAGGGAAAGCGGTCGAAGGCGACCGCGTGTCATTCGTTGGTCCGAACCACCCACTGGATGACGAACCTCTTGTGGGTCCCATTGCCATCATATGACGTCATATAATCACGCTAATTATCGAACTTCAAGAGGCCCATGCTTTTAATTAATAATTTCGACGCGACAAAAATCTACGAATTTCTTTTTATTTTTTTTCTTAATTAACTCCATCTCCCGGTGGGTGGTGATGTGGAGCTACTAAGGTAGTGATAAGTGATTATTCACTTTATTAGGGGGGTTACACGCAAAATACCTGTCGGCTTATCGAATCACCGAATCCGAAATCAGATAAAAATCGCGGCGGAGGAGAGAGACGATGAGACGGGCGACCAACCGAACCCCACCGGCGCCGTGCTCCCACACGCTTGTGAGCAGCTCCACTCGACCGGGTCCGCGAGCCGGCCGGACGATCCACCAGCCGGATTCAGCCCGTTCACTCGGCCCGTGCACTCGGAATTGCAAGGCGAAGTCCACTCTTGGACTCTGGTCTTTAATAATTAATTAATTAATTAATTAATATCTAGAGAGAGAGAGAGAGAGAGAGAGAGAGAGAGATTTTCTAGAAATCAGATTGTTACTGACGGAGATGTTTTTTGTTCGGTCAAGTTCTGGTTTTTATTTACAATATTTTTGTTTTCAGAGGGTGTTTATAGGAGGAAAATGGATTGGGATAACCAGTGGAGGAAGCTTGCGTGCATCACAGAGCAGCCCGAGGTCTGTCTGGGAAGAGGCCCGGATTACTGATTTGACTCAGGGTTCAGTCCTTCAATCGCATCCGATCAAAAAGTCCTCTTTTTTGGTTGGTTCTTCCGATTCCGAAGATGGTGGTCTTCTTTTTCGTGGTTAATCGCGAGTGGGTTGAAGAGATTTACTGCGATTTTTTTTATTGGCCCCCGGCAAGAACACGGACAAGGAGCAGCGGCGGAGACCAGCCGCCTTCATCGAGCAGGAAGGGAAGTCACCTAACGTGGGCCGTCGGATCCCGGGGGCTTCGTCCTCTTCTCCCCGGTCCTCTGATTTCTCACCTTCTCCAACCTTCGTGTCTTTCTCTCTCTTGCTCGCTGAGTGTGTGCCCCTGTTTTACTGTGCGATGAAGCCCATTTGGTCAAGGGGAACGCGGGGGGAATTTTCTGGTCCTTGGTCTTCTCTCACCTGAGGGGGGAGGAGTTTAGATAGGGGAGCGAGAAGAACGGAGCGCAGAGGAAAAGAAGAGGAAATAGGGGCGCCGGCGGAGGAGAAAAGAAAGGTCGCAGGGGCAGGACCGTCGAGATCTGCTCCAACTCCTTCCTGCTCGCCTGCTTCCGCTTGGAGGGCCCTGCTCCTTCTCCCTCCCTCTCTCTCTCTCTCTCTCTCTCTCTCTCTGAGAAGGAGGAAGAGGAGGCGAACCCTCCGGGTGGCTGGTTTTCTGCTTGGATTAGGAGGAGGCGCAGCGAGGTTTTGCTGGATTTGGAAACCCCAATCGAGGCGTTCTTCGAAATTCAGCGGCGCAGGGAACCAGATTCGGCGGCCTTGAGCTTGGGATCTGGATCTTTTATTAGGTGGCGGAGATCTGGATGGTCGGTTCCCCCCTTCTCGGCGTTTTGATGTGAAGAGAAGATGACGGATGGTGGCTTCAACTCCCCGAAGGAGGAGGACGAAGAGGAGCCGCAGTTTTTCGACGCCAGCGACGACATCTTATCCGCCTCCGAGTCGTCTCCAAGTAGCCCGTCGCCACGCCAGCGGGTAATCCCGACTCTGGATTTCCTCCACTGCGTCTGTAGGGACCTCCAATCCGGCTTCCTCGCCGGAAGCCTGGAGAGCGTGGAGGACCGGCGGCAGAGATTCCTGGCGTGGATGCGATCGAATTCCATGTTTAGCCCCGGCCCTTGCTCCTCCGCTGATCAAGGGATCCCAGCGCAGGAGGAGGAAGCCGCGGAGGACGGCGAGAGAATCGCAGCCGGAATCTCCGAGCTCGACGGCGGCGCCGCCACCGCCGTGCCCGGCCTCTGCAGGATTACGAATCTGGACGACGGCAGAGTCTTCGTGGTGGATCGGCTGGGGCAAGACGGCGCTGTGAGCGGGCTCCGCGAGGTGAGTTCGGACAGGGTGCTCACCGCCGACGAGTTCCACAGGGAGCTCGGCCCTTCCTCGTTCGTCCGGCGGTTCATGCGGAGAGAGGATAACATGTCGACCAGCTCCACCGCCTCCACGAAGCGGAGGAGAACCAGGTGGCTGAGGAGGCTGGGCATCGCCGCCTGCATCATGGACAGAGGAGATGAAGAGCCGAGCGTGTCGTCGTCTTCCTTCGAGGCCGATGCGTCTCCCAAAGACAGAGTCCGCAGATTGAAGGTCCGAGCATACAGGAAGATCTCCAAGGAGTTCTCCGGCGTCTATACCGGGCAAGAGATCATAGCCCACAAGGGAGCTATCCTGGCCATGAAATTCAGCCCCGACGGGCGCTACCTGGCCACCGGTGGCGAGGACAGGGTGGTCCGAGTGTGGGCTGTGGCCGCTCAGGAGAGGACCCAGGAGGACGATCTTCCAAAGGACGACCCCTCCTCCATATATTTCTCTGTGAATCAGAACTCCGAGCTGACTCCCATCGGCACCAGCAAGGAGGAGGAGCTCGGACCAGTGAAGGGCTTGAGGAGAACGACGGATTCTGCCTGCATCGTCATCCCCACGGAGGTCTGTAGGATTTCAGAGGAGCCCTTGCACGAGTTCGTAGGCCACTCTGGAGACATCCTCGATCTTTCCTGGTCGAAGAACAATGTTAGTATTTTCCCGAAACTAGTTTCGTGTTCTGCATCTCCATGCTAAAAAATTTCTCCCTGACTTCTTCCATGTTTTCTTTTTTCTGTTCTTGCAGTATCTTCTCTCATCTTCCACGGACAACACTGTTCAGCTGTGGAAGGTTGGGAGTGATTCCTTCGGGAAGGTCTTCTCTCATGGCAACTATGGTGAGTGCCCGGATACCCTCTGAAATCCCGCATGTGCTTTCTCGCTCTATGATTCTCATCCCCTCTCTCCACCCCTTCGGATGCAGTCACCTGCGTCCAGTTTAATCCCAACGACGAGGGCTACTTCATCAGCGGCTCCATTGATGGCAAAGTTCGGATTTGGGAAATATCCAGCGGGCATGTTGTGAAATGGATCGATGTGAGGGAGATTGTCACTGCGGTGTGCTTCGATCCCAATGGGAAGGTGGGTTCATCTCGGAAGACTTGGGCGCGCTCGGTGAGTCAGTGGGTTGACTTTTTGGGGATCGATGAGAGTTCTTTGCTTTGACTCTTGCAGGGAATCGTCGTGGGAACGATCTCAGGGCGTTGCCTGTTCTATGATTCATCAGGTATCCTATGATTCCTCTCTTGCTGCCTCGATGAACATGTTTGCGGAGAACAATTCTGATTCCATCTTCAATCACCCACCCGACAAAACCCATAAGCCAAGTGAGACATAAACGCAGAACATTGCGAGGAAATTTTGAAGAAAATCCTATGATTTTTCAGTCTTAATGTTAATGACACCTCTCAGGGTTGACCCCTGAAGGATGATCGAAAATCTTGAGACCTTCGCCATCCTCTGCCATGGAAGCAAAAGTTTCACTTGATTATCGTCGATGTCCGTTGACCAACATCAGATGAGCTCCTTCTTACTGATTTCTTCCTGATGGGCCAGATCGCCGCCTACAGCTGGTCTCCGTGGTGCTCCTGCAGGGCAAGAAGAAGTCGGCCTGCAGCAGGATCACAGGCTTCCAGGTAGCCGTTTTGCAGAGCTCAATTTTTTCCTCTCACTGAACCCCGCTGCTGATCCTGGTGTAAACCCTTCTCTCTCCTCCGATCTCCAGTTCTGCCCGAGCGATTCTCGGAAGCTGCTGGTCACCTCTGCAGACTCCCAGGTCCGGATCCTCGAAGAATTCAGCGTCGTGTGCAAGTTCAAGGGCGAGTTCTTCTCCCAATTCCTCCACTTCTCGTCGATTCAGATGGAGGGGAAGTGTCTGTTTTTGCTGAGCAAGCGCTCTCGTTCTGTGCAGGTCTCCGGAATTCCGGGAGCCAGATTTCGGCTTCGTTCACCGCCGACGGGAGGTACGTCGTCTCCGGCAGCGAAGACTCGAACGTCTACGTCTGGAACTGCGGGGAGGAAGAAGATCGCCGGCCGACTCGGGCTCGGAGCGCCTCCTGCTACGAGCGGTTCCCGTCGACGAGCGCGTCGGTGGCCGTTCCATGGCCGGGGGAGGAGGTGAGCCGGCTGGCGGCGGCGAAATCGCGGAACCTCGCGCGGCAGATGGAGATCCTGAGGAACCTCGCCGCCGTCGCCGGCGGCCGGAGCGGGCTGTACCTGTCCGCCTCCGGCGGGTTAACGTTGGCCCAGAGCTTCTTCTCCGAATTTCTCCTGCCGAAGGGTTCGGCGACATGGCCGGAGGAGAAGCTCCTTCTCCCGTCGAGGTCGCCGGCGGGGGCCGTCCCCGCTCTCCGGCGATCTCAGTGCAAGCTTCTGCGGGCGTGTTTTCAGAGCCTCGCGCCGCCGCCGCACGCCTGGGGACGGGTGATCGTCACCGGAGGGTGGGATGGCCGGATCAGGTCCTTCCACAACTACGGGCTCCCAGTTCCGGCGAGCTGAGCTCCTCTGCGCCGCCGGCGGGCCGGAGCATCCCGTGAGCTCCGGCGAGGTAGGGTGTGGACCAAAACTGTATCTACGCAAGCAAGAGTGGTCCAGGAGCTTTAGCCGGTAGAGGGGTCTAGAGAGAGAGAGAGAGGAAGCTGGTCACGGGTGGCCCAGCGGGTCCAATTATTTGGAGATCTTTGTGCAGAGTAGAGGGAGAAGATTTGGGAGATCTTCCCTTCTAGAGTTACAGTTGGTGCGTCGTGTAAACCTCCCCGGCGGGTTTGGGATGGCTCAGCGGGCGGAGTAAAAACGAGCAGCGGTGGTGGCGCTGCCGCCGCTTGTTCCCTTCTCTCTTCTGCCAGTTTCCTTCTTCGAACGGGAGACGGCGTTAATTTATACAGATTCTTTCATTCGTTCTCTCTCTCTCTCTCTCTCTCTATCTCTTTCATCCGAGACGTTATCTTCATCTCAAGTCGGGGACGTACCTCCATTCCAGTCGCTGCAGGGCTCTTCGACAGGGAGGATGGTGTAACCATGCAAGCATGCACGTACGGGGGTGACTGTTCACGTGCGGAGGAAGGCAGAGGCGCACGGATTCTGTGCCTGCCCTGAAGGCGGAGGTAAGGGGTGCAACTCTACAGTGGATCTCGCGCGAGGGGACCATGGAGAGGGAAGGCGAGGAGAGAACTTCTCTCAGTCTCACCTATCCCACTGAGAGTGTAGAGAGAGAGAGAGAAGCTATGGTTTTTCCTCATATTTACGGATTCTTCGAGCATCGCTGCTGTCGGTAGATCGTTGACTCTGAAATGAGCCGCCACTGTTGCTTGTACGACCACTTTGGTCTGCTTACGTCGACTACCCCGGCCATGAAAGAGCCACATCTCCCGAGGAATTCTCATGTGAAAATTTCCGTGTGAGCAAACTTTCAAGAATATTTCACCCTAAGAATTCCGGCCATGCCATAGAGAGAGAGAGAGATGGGTAGAGAGAGAGAGAGAGAACAGGGTACACTAGAAGGGCCAGAGGTCGCCCCAGAGGGACTTGCGGGCTTGGCGGTGGAGCATAGGGTTCTTGCTGCGGGTGACCACGACGCGCTCGAAGGCGCCCTCGGAGCCGTCGAGGTTGCGGGCCCGGCACACGTCCATGGCCACGTGACGGCCCCTCCGCACCGGGGGGAACACGATCCTCCCCCAGCCGCCGCCGAGGCCCGCCCCCCCGCCGCCATCTTCTTCCTCTTCCTCCTGCTCCTCGCCATTCTCTTCCGCTTCCTCCATATCAGAAGGGTACAGAGCCACCTCCCTCTCCAGCGAGCTCTCCTCTGCTCCCGAGTCGGACTCTCCGCAATCTGAGCAAGGAAAAATGAACAGCTCTCAGAGAAGACTCTTGAGCTCATGGTTAGCAGCAAAACAAGAACGTTAAAGATCCTGGAGCTTGGGGGGGGTGTGAAAAAGATGACCATAATCGATGACGACATCATAGGCATTTCGTCTGGCGTGTTTTTCCAGTGCGGCGAGCTGGATGCCGTCCAGGGGCCATGTTTCCCTGAAGAATTTAAGGTTTTCACAGAGAGTCAGCTCAAATCACTCCATCTACCATTTCGGGTGGTAGCCATTATATGGAAAATGATGTAATTTAAGTGCTGTTCTGTCCATTCAGAGCTTGAGAGATCACAAGAAGCAAGAACCATGAATGCTAGTTTCAAGGTGATGATCTGTTCAATAATCTACCAACCAAAATTTTCTACTGATGACGCCAGTTCATTGAGATGGATGAAGATGCATTGACTTCTTCAGACGCAAATATGTCAAAAAAAAATAATAATTGACGGAACTAATTTGGAGACTAGTGGGGAGCTTTTTTTATTTTTTTATTTTCCGAGGATTAGCATGAATCTGAAAACTGTTTTAGGAGATATCATCCATTCGATTGGATGCCGATCTCCAGGGGAAAGAAGAAAATTCTGGACACCAATCACCACACTGGGTTCATTTGATCTGATTTTACCTTGGTCTGCTCCCCCTTCTGAAGGCAACATAAGAGAATTTCTCATCCTCAAAACCACGCAATGATCTGCCCTTGGAACGCTACACAGTATGAAGGAAATGGAAAAAGTCAATGTAGTGTCAGGACGTTACCAAAATGACCTCCATAAAAAAATACCTACTTTTGGTAAAAGAGGCAGAAGGTCAGCCACGTTTTAAATACAAAAACTAGACTTGACCGAGTAAAATTAGATAAGGATTATCCATTAAATGCTTTGTTGACAATATGGCACTCATGAAAGTCAACGTCAGGGGTAGTTGATCGCCGCCAACCAACAGATTTTCGGCTAAATATGCCATAAGAACCTTAGAAAAAATCTCCTGAAAACTATCGCCCTAATCAATGCCAAGACATGAGAAAATTCTCTGACGCATTCATAAAGAGGTTTAACTTTTTGAGGATGGCACGCACCTTGTACATGCGTTGAGTAGATGTCCTTTCCAACCGCTGAACGAAATGGCAATATTTTGTTGAATTCTCCAACGGGCAAGGGCCATCATGTGGACACTAATAAGAAAAGATAGTGAACCAAGTTCAAACATCGATTCATTATCAGAGAATTTAAAGAAATCATTCACAGCGTTCATCATGAAACCCACTGGAGCAATCACAAAAGCGCCATCCTTTAATGTATTCACATCATCAGTAATATCGTCTGTTTCACAGGGAGACACTCTGTCTCTGGAACCATCATCCATCTTCCGGCATTTCTGGGGATCAGTATGAGATCGTCAGTATGCTTCTGTTATTGGTGGCTGGAGAACTAAACCAGAATATTAAAAACAGTACAGATTTAATCCTTCGAAAGAGAATGAAATGAGATAATCTCCTTACCCTCTTGGACATCCATAGAATATGCGACCGCATTTGACATATAATTTTTGATCCTTGAGGCGTTCCGGGCTCAACAAGAATCTAAATAAAAACCGATAGGATATCATTCAAGTAGCTAATAAATGGCACATGGTTCAATAAACAAGGTATCCAATATCAGACTTTGCAGAAGTACAGCTCTTGAACGCTCTTGAAATTTTAAACTACAACAAGTATTTAATCAACACTCTTGAACAGCATTTACAAGAACTGTGATAAAAAGGGCATATTTTTTGCTGAATTCCATAAGTGATGAGAAATATTTTCAAACTTTGAGATAAGGCTAAGCCAAAGTGTCCAGGAGCTGAGGAAAGCCAGAATCGTGACGGGCAGAGAATAAAGACAATCTTACCTTTCGCCCAATGAAGAATGAAAATGACAGTTAGAAAAAAAGTTGATATAAGCTTCGTTAAGATCATTTACCCACGGAATTCCTTTTAAGATATTGAGCTAACGTCATCGGTAGGTGTAGGGCATAAATTCGCATTATTTAAGAAACTTAGTTTTAACTCAGTTGAAAAACTCGACTCCACAGAGCCAACTTTAACATTAAGTAAAACATTAGAATCTAAATAAAATTTCACTAAGAACAACAGCATACTTCAGTTAACACCTTGGATTACCGGATAAATGGGGAAAAATAAATAAATTCCTCAAAGAATATGTCTGGCAAGTTAACAAGATAATCGCAGTAGCTACATCAAAACTCAGGAGTTCAATTGAGCGTACCAAGACATCTTTTGTCAGGCTCCAAAGCTGGCGAACCAGGGTAATTCGATCACTCAATGATGGTATCTCTCCAAGAACATAAGACTTCAATGAGAATTTTAAAACAAAAATAAAAATCAGGAACATCGTCAAATTCTACTGTGTTCTAAGAGTAAACAATAAATTTATAGTAAAAAGTGAAGAAAAACCTATATACATAACATGACGAAGATAAAGAAAATAATTACCAGTAACTGAAATTACAGTTCAGGCATCGAAATAGGAGCAACCTATTGAGACAATGGTTCTCTATCATCATCGAACGGTATTGAAATAGGAGGTATCAATGTACAATGTCCCAGTATCACGAAAAAAACATCTACAAGCATAATGCGTACTGAGTCCTTTTGTTTAGAAACCAAGTGACAAGAAGACAACGTTCGAGGCAAAAATAGTCCCTCCCCAGAGTCAACCCTTTTTGTCTTCTTCATCCATTCCCTTTTTCAAAGATATTTGCAGCAAAATATTCATGTGTCTTTAGTAAGAAATGGGCTTTCAATATTGACAGGGTGAAATCAGGCAAGCACATCACAACAGTCTCCCCATAAAGAACATATAGGCAGATTAGAACAAAGAAAATGTCTTTACACGCCCATTATTCTGATCTTGTTCACCTAGTTTCAACGCAAGCTGATTTATCTTTAACTATCATCAATAAAATGACATTTTTTATATTACCAAATATTCCTAGACTATGGTCTTTCAAGGAATACCCTGATTTTATTTTGATTCATAAATAATTTTCCACAAAAAATCGTGTCCCAGGAAACATGGTAGTTCACGTGCAGTCCGCTGACTACACAGCCACCAGTTTAACTTGATTAAACTAAGTGATAAAATCTGGACACTATCCTCGGGGCATCATTCGCACTACACAGGGCCCAATATCCAGTAGTACATGGCTGGTTCTCTTGCACAAGTGAGGAGGGTACCTCTTCATATTTTTTTCTCATGTTGTAACCGATATTATAATGCACAAGCAAGAAGAAGAAAGAAATGAAAAGCAGGGTTGTGATTTCCAGGTCAGGTCAGAAACGCGTCTCCTCTTTTCTGTCGTTTTTCAATGAATAAGATTTCTTATTTGCGATGCGTAGGATATCAAAGTATCTATTAGTAATAAACCGTACGGTGAAACTAAGTCAGATAATATACATTAGTTATAAATGACGATTCGTACCATTCCCAGATGTAAATAAATTTCAAAAAAACCTCACTACGCATCATTATACTGGAAATGGTATTCCACATGTTCTAGGGAATCTGCACTATTACTACTTTCGTTTCTTTTATCCCAGTGAGGGCTTACTTAGCAATGAAAATTACAAGGAATACTATGGAAAAAATGACCACAATATGAAGGATTTGCTCCATACTCTAGAAACTTTTGGATCACCTGACCTCTTTTTTGTGCATATCTAATAAATCGGATCAAGCAGGAAAGGCTCATGATTGGAATTGAATATCTGGGGAAGATGCTTAATTTAACTTCTGAGGAATTGAAATCGAAGATCCATGACAAAAAAGGACAACTAAGCACCATAGAAGTTGCAGAACAGAACTGATCACCATACCGATGTAACAAAAAAGGCCAACTAAGCACCATACCGATGTAAACAAATTCCATTCAATAGAACTGATCACCACTGTCGTGTTGGACATTTAAACAGATATAAAAGAAATTCCAAATTAAATATGGACTTACAGCAATTACAAGGTCATGCCCCCTCTCATGTTTGCCAATTTCACGACTCAGTGCTTGAAGACTGTCATAGCTTCGAATGAGAGGCAGATTCTTTGAATCTGAACAGAACCAAGATGACTATGTTAACCATGCTGATACTCGATAAGTCATATATCTTAAGAAAAAGAAAAGAATCCAATACCCACATACTTTCAGAATAACCACCATGAAATAATAAGACAGTAAAATGACTAGAAGAAAGTAAACCTCGATGCAATCTAAGGGTTTCAACGCTAATCAGAAACTTAAGTAGACGTTTAAAAGGGCATTTACCAAAAACTTTGGATTATTCGGCAGTTAACAATGTGATTAGTAGAAATAACATGAAAGAGATTAAGGATAACATAGAGTCCATGAAAGAGAGAATAACATTCTGGGTTAGATGATTGCATCAAGCAAAGATGAAGTTGGCACCAACTTCTTACCCAGACAATATATTAATTGATATAGAAAAGTGATTATATTAATTGACTCCATTTCTATCAACAAAAGTTAGAATACATTATGGTGGATCAATCAAATCCCAATGAATCAAAAAAAAGATAAGCGCCCCAACCGGGGTTACATTCCCAAATGTGCAAGACCAAGTGAGTCAACAGCCGCCTCTGAAAGGATATTATCTCACAGGTGCCTAATTGTTCATAAGAAAATATTTCTGTATTCTGCTGAGGCATGGAGGAGTAGATTCTTGGAGCAACAGGATGAGTCAACAAAGTCCCCTGGATATCATCAACTCCATGGCCTGATCGACTGAATCATGTCCATGGTTGGTGCATCACAAAACGTTTTCCAAGGCAGAGAAAGGACATAGGTCTCTAGAAAACATGCACCAAGACACTTGGATAATGACTGGTGTTCCAATAAAAGGTTTAGAAAAGAATAGTCAGCCCCTAAAACCCTGAAACTGGTTATGTGTAGGAGCGGCAAAGTTTATCCTCTCCTTTGTTCGAGATGATCCTGTGTCAGAAAGAATAATCAATGACCACTTTCAGCTAAAAAATGCATAGCACGGTCAATTGACTGAGCAAGGGGTCAGTACAGCATCCCCAATATAAGAGTTGATGCAGATGCTTCGGAACATTTCTCCTCCCTATATTAACAAGTGCAGGCCAAATGTTTTCTCGAGAAAATAGGGTACAGACCCGAGATGGGAGAAAACAAACCACATGTTTTTAAGCAAATACATATTTTTGGGATGTGTTGGATAGGAGGTATCCTGGGAATTTTGAATAAAAACAAGGATACTACTGAAATATGAAACATGTATGAAAGTGGATGACAAAAAGAATTGAACAAGAATTTATTAAACAGCCATGAGGGGGCTCCGAGTATAGAAAAAATGACTAAAAAGACAGACAACTCACTTTGCAAAAGACTCTGGCAAGCTCGTTGCATTGATTTAGATGGCTCTATCAAATTAACGTGCTCTAAGGAATGAGGCCAAATCAGACAACTCACTTTGCAAAAGACTCTGGCAAGCTCGTTGCATTGATTTAGATGGCTCTATCAAATTAACGTGCTCTAAGGAATGAGGCCAAATCTCTTTCATTGCCCTGCAACACAGCAAAGCAGTTTCACTTCAAAGGGCAACTGATGAATCCATATACTATTTTGTCTTCCAATCAGAAAAAAAACGAAGAAATGATTACTAACAGAGGAACCAGGGTAGAAGAGGTCACCAGATTGCTGTCCCAGGCCCCGCCCCAAAGTCCAGAACCCTGGAGGGGGAGAAATCTGGCAATCTCCGCCGGACCTACAGCAGACGAAGGCAGAAGGACAGAATAACCGGAAAAGCATAAATTATGAGACGAATACAAACCACTTGTTCTGGTGAAGCTAGTAGACAAGAATAAAATTACTATCCACCAACCTATCCTAAGCTATTACCTCACGAAGTATACGGCGGCAAGCAGAGAAAACTGCAGGCATGCGGGAGGCGACGTAGGCGGAGGTCTCATCATCGTGGTAACTGAGACCAATGTCGCCGTACGAGGACCTGATCTTCCAGCGTCGGGACCGCATATCCACAGACTTAAGGGGGTCGTCGATGAGCTCCCGGATAGCAGCATCCGCGATCCCCAAGTTGGCCTTCTTGACGCTGCAGAGCGACTCCGATAGCAGCAGCACCTTCCGGTGCATGTGTGTACCATCCTTCTCTGCGGATGCCACAACATTAACATGCAGCCACGCGCGAGGAAAAACACTGGAAGAGACATACCAATGATAGAAAGAGTGGTGGTCACAGAAGCCGGCGAGCACCTCGGAGGAACTTCTTGATGGCGCGGCGGAGGCGGAGGGGAACGAGGGAGATGCCCTCGGACTGCCTGGCGGCGGAGTGAAGCGTCTCCGGCGTGAATATCCTCTTGACGGCCTCTGGCACCAGCGACTGCGCCATAGGGACGTCTCTCTGCCCCGCGCCCCCCCCCCCCCCTCCCTTCCGCCGGTTACAGAGAAGGGCATAGGGATGGCGGTTCGACCCGTTTGGACTAACTTCGGGTCAGCCCGGCCTCAGGCCTGGCCCGGCATTTGGTTGCCTTCCACAGGTCTAGAGGTGGATGCAGAGCCATACTAGAAAGGAGGAACATGGTTCTGGGTGTAGAACGGCAGCACCAGTACAACATACTCATCCTTGTGCACATGTGCAAAGTGGTGTGTTGATACGACACAACACATATCAGTGTGGGCATGGAGCATGGATAGAGCTACAAGCTTTCTATGAGGACATACGATTTGAGTTGGGACGACGATACAATTTGACCATGCGGATATTAGCGAAACGGAAAAGATTGAGATGCCCTAAGTAAATTATTATATGAGGGTAAATAAGTAAGGTTGAGGAGGATATTAAGGCATTGCGAAGGAAAGAAACAGGGAATAAGAAAGAAAAGAATGTTTTAGGTGGGAAGGATTCTCACAACATGCGCTATGATTATGTAGAACTCCATGATTGAAGTTCTATGTGTTTTTATCCTCTAGTTTCTTTCTCTTTTATCTTTGGGGTTGTATCAATGATTTGGGACCATAGATGCTGCATCAAGTAAAGGAAGGACCCAACCTTCATGTTTTTCAACTCATACAACACCACCATCATAGGGCATTGCTCCATACCCCAATGTAATCACCTCTAGGCCCTCCACCCAATAGTACTGTTTTATGTCTCAGGGGAGAATTAGCTTGACCATTGAACGTTAAACCTACTCCCAAGCACTTGCCCCCCTAGTTTTTGGGCGACAACTCAAATTATTTGGTCTTTTGAACTGAACTCCAAGTTTAATCATATCCCTAACATAGACAAACTTGAGATGATTATGTTAGGGATGGAAGGAAGCACATTGGGTTGATATCATTGGACAATCAAGCGCTATCCTTTTCAACATTGGGAGTACCTGCACTCATAATTGCTCAAACACCTTAGAGCATAGTCAAGCATGATATATATTAGTAGATCATAAACCTTAGGCATGATGGATTATTGGTCAAGCCTTGGGAAGCTTTTGAATCCATCATAATATTCATAAAAGATATTCTAGCTCCCGTTCTAGGAAATGCCTATATCTATAGAATAAAATTGAAAATTCAAGTAGAGATGTGCATGTGCAAGGTAGAAGGGTTATGATAAATCATGGATCTCAAGCAGCTGAAGATACAAGACTCTATGGACTACTAGACACACTGCTACTTGACACACATCAATTCATGGGACAATATGGGAACCAAAGAGTACACCTTCATTCTTAAATTTTTCCTTCCCCACTTAAAACCACACTTGCTAAGAGCCACTTGACCCCTTTGGCACCATACAAACCAGTGGGGGTTTGGACAAAAGGACCGCATGTTAGAATCAAAAGATAATTGTAATTGATTAATGCTGAATTCCAAGTGTGGAGAAAAAAAAACTCATGTTTCCACTACAAGAAACATTATTAGTGGGGTTATCCATGTAATAAACAACTGTAAATTTTGAATGTTAAGGATGGCATAGATAACTAATTTTGAGATATGGAGGAGGTCATAGCCTCTTGAATATATATCTCATTCTTGCTGTAGAGGAATCATTAAATGAGTTGTATGAGATGTCTATTTTTTTTCAAACTAGACCTCAAATTGAGATACCATCAAATTAGAATGAAAGAAGAAGATATCTACAAGATGATATTCAAGATCCATAATGGATTTTACAAATTTTTTATGATACTTTTTGGACTCTCAAACATACTGACAACTTTTCAATAATTAATGAATCAGATTGTCAATAATATCTTAATTTACAACAGACCTCCAAAGAGGGGCATGTTTCACCACCTTAATGGCCAACAATCTACATGTAAACATCAAGAAATGTGTTTTTTGTGAGCCCCATATCAAATACTTAGGACATTAGGTTTCAGCTAAAGGAGTTGTAATGGACAAAGAAAAGATATTGACAAGTAAAAAGTGGTCCACCCCATCTACCTTACTATCAACTAAAGGATATTTTAGTACTAATGAGATATTACCATCAATTCATAGTTGGATACAAGATATTGTCTTGGCTGCTAACATAACTGAAGAAAGTTTTTTCAAATATGGTGACAAGACCTAACAAACTTTTGAACACTTGAAACGAGTAATAACGATAACACAAATATTGACCTTAACATATTTCTCTAGGATTTTCATGTATATGGTTTGGGCATAGTTCTTATGCAAAAGGGCAAACCAAATATCTACCTTAGCTACTATATATATCAACATGAACTGATGGCTAGTATGTTGGCTATGTTGAAATGGGATGACTATTTAATTGGGAGTCATTTCATTAGTCAAACATATCAAGTAAAGCTCTATTTCCTCATGAATCTACGCCAAATGTCTCCTAAATTTCAAAAATAGGTTTACAAATTGATGTGATTTGATTTCAACATCAAATATAATCAGGGCATCCAAAATAATCCAATATACTTACTCTCAAGACCATCAAGCAATTTCTACATCTACGACTTATTCGTGTTCAAAATTCTACTATGTGATTGGTGTGTCTAAATAGTTATAAAATACACATTGAAAATTTATAAAGTCAAATTTTTGCAATGATGATTATAGTTATGTAATGATGATTTGTCAAAACATAATAAGTAAGCACTCTATTCTTTATCTTAGTTAAAATCTAATAAGAAATTTAATTTAAATTCTTGATTAATTCTAAAATTGACAAAAGAAAATAAGAAAAATAAGGAATCAATTTCTCTTGGTCAAGTGCGTCACATGAGAGATAAAAATATGGGGGCAAACTAAGAATACAAGAAAAAGAACATAATAAGAGAAAATAGTCCGATGTAGATTCCTAGTGTCATCCAAGTATTCTAGAGAGGAAGAATATGTACCCAATTTATATTGTTAAGATATTCTATGAAAGTAGTAACAAATCATTACTTTCTACTATGTTACCCAACAAAAAATAAAAGTAGGAGAGCATAGTTTTCCTTTAATTTTTGCGTCACTCAAGAATCAGAGGAGGGAGGGGACAAACTGAAATACAATTCCCAACTATGTAAATGAGAGAGGGTTCTCATTCTTCTGATGTGTCACCTAGCAAGGAACAAGAATAAGTGGAGTTTATTATGAAAGCTATCAAGTCGTTGTCATGCCAATGCCATGCCATTCACTTTGTTGTGTCACATGTATAACCTATAAATGAAGGAAAGCTTGCCATCTCACCCTCATATGCCGCCATTGCCATCATGTTGCCCACTATTGTTTGCCACATGGGGTAGAGTTATTGTGTAGGCTGCGAGCCTTAACTCCCACTCCTTGGTTTTCCTCCTCTCTTCCATTTTAAAACCCCATATAATGGGCTTTCATAATGGGGCTATTCTAACTCACGAATTACTACCAATAAGCTTTTGACGATGAGAAAAGAGGAAAAAAAAAGAAACAAAACATGTTTCTCAAGATCATGTCTTAGATTTCATGTTAAATTATTGTCAAAAGATTAAAATATATATTTTCATCAGGTTAATATTTAGATTTAAATAAAACATTATAAATATTTCAAATATATATTTTTTGTTTTTATTTTATTTTATTAACTTTGTCTTAAATTAAATGATAATTTTTATATAAAAATGATTATTTAATAGTGATAGATCTAAAATTTAAGTAAAAGTGTTAGCCAATCTAAAAAATTTAACAAAATAAGGTATGTCATAATGACAAAAGATGACAACAACTCTCATCATTTCTTTTAGCATGGGTTATTGTTATACAAGGGGCACCTAATAGTTATTTCTAACTCTAAAGACACCTGATAAGATTTCATTATCATGAGTTAATAATTAGTAAATAATATAGTTTTAGCCTTAAATCATAATAAATAGACTTATATTTATGTTAAAGTGTGAAAATTGATTTTTAATTGATTAACGTGAATTTTTGAGTAATTATGTGATTTTATATGAATTTAGATTATTTTTATAGTCTTATTTTTGAGATAAATAAAGAAAAAGAAATAAAAATAAAAATAGATTTTAATATTTTTTGTAGTTAATTTAGTAAATAGAATAAATTCACCTAAAATATGTTTACATCAAATGTATGATTTTGTTAATACATTTAAGTTATTATCATATCAAACATAGATGTCCTATCATATAACATTGAGGTTTTGCTAGTCCACAATCTTAAGAGTTTTCGTTAGATCTCTTTTCGAAATCTAAAATATGATGGTAGAAGTTAAACTAGTTAAAAAATAATAAACAAAGTTTTGACGTCATGGTAGTAATGTGTTTGAATCTTGAACATTTTAGAAAGATTGTTATGTAATGTCTATGGTCTCCAAAACTCTCTTTAAACAAGGATGACGTCAGTAATCTCTAAATATTTTTCCAAGGTGTATAAATCAATGAAGTGAGTCGTCAAATCATCTTTGACGACTGACATCTGGTGGATCAAAAAAACAATGACTTTGTGGTTCTCCAACAGCTATGACCCGATGAAGATCAACTAGATGGAGGTGAGATATATCTTAAGAAGCTTTATTCTCAAGTCCATGTAGTAAGAGAACTCTTCATTGCATCTCATATGTTCTTAGGAAATGACAACTTGTCTCTCGACAGATCATTCTTTTCTTAATGACATTTATTTATCGATCAATCAGATATGATTTATTAGATGAATTTGTGATTTTTTTTAATCTAAAATCATTTGATAATTTCAATAATTTAAAATAAATTATGATTTAATTAGATAAAAAGATGAGTTTTAACTCTAATAAGATTCGAACCTTTATTGGTCACCTGCCTACATGAGAGGGAGTAAAATAAGTATATAATTCTCTTAAAAAGTGATATCAAAGGTATATCTTTCTGAAAAATAATGAGCATTTTAAGTATTAAAATTATTAAAACCTTTTAGGTG